TATAAGGTCCCTTATAAACCCAAATAAGGAAGATAAAAAATGTCCACAATCCTACCTAGAAAACCTAACTCTGTTTAACCCAGGGTCCGGCCCACTCGTGCCCTGGGACCAGCGGCATCCTCGCAAGGCCCGAGGCAAAGTAGCCCATGGTGCCATCGTAAAGCTCCACGTCCTCGATTTGGGTGGTTGTCAGAATTAGGGTCCCTTTTTGGGTCCCTGTTATAATACGGCACCTAATATTTAGGCTACCCAAAAAGGGACCCTAATTTTGACAACTGCGGGTGGCTCTCTCAATTCCCGCCCCTCTTAGGCTAATTGTTTTAAGGGTGCCGCACTATTCTGGGGGCTTAATACGGGACTCAAACGGGTTCAATCCGGGGTTGAAGAACAGTTCGGTAAGGGTTCTTCGGGGTTGAATCAGGGTTTCAGGATTCAGGGCTCAAAGTTCAGGCCATGGGGTTCAGTTCAAGGTTTAAGGCTTTCAGGTGTCAGGACCCTGACAGTTTAGGGTAGCCAGAACCTTCAATCCTGAAGCCTAGCAGGGCTTTAAGGTCAGGAACCGTAAAAATGACCCGAATGCGGTGTCGGGGTCCGTTGTACTATCACCCTTCGGGATATAAAGCAAGTCGAGACGCTGTGGCACAGACGCCAACTGCTGCAATGCGGACCAGCGCCTCGCATCACCCCAGCTCAAACACTTGAGTCCTTCTGGTTTAGAGCTTTAGGGCGTAGTGTTTAGAATTGAAGGCTTCTGCCGGATCCTGATTAAGTTTGCACCGTCTTTGGGTCAGAGGTACGTGCAACTTTATCACCACAATGACTTTGCCAATAGTCATCCGTAACATGGCCCCCTGATCCGTGAACTATACCCTTAGCCCCAAGCCCCCAAATTCAGCCTTAACACTACATGGAACTCCCAGAAACTGGACCATAGCTTTGTGTCAACAGCAGGATCCCCCACATGAGGACCCGAAAAAAGGACGCCTGAAATAAGAAACACCCCTAAGCGCTTATGCAACCTAACCGACCAAAGTTTGATCAAAACCTGTGTATCTAGACAGGCCTAAGTAGCCAAAACACGTGAACCCTAAACGCTAAACTCCTAAATCCCTCTGAAACTCTAATGTTCACACGGACACATTCTCGGCCTCATGAGGTAGGCATGCACGAACAGGCTCGCGGACCAAATCCTTTTTGGTTTGGGGCTTTTAAGGTTTTAAGGCTGAAGGAGTTTTATGCCCGTTTTCAAGGGGTCTAACTAGCATTTGAAGAGAAAGGTTTAGGGCTTAAGGTTTAAACTTTAAAGCTTAGGCTTAAGGGAAGCTTCGGGTTTCAGGGTACTATAGGGGGTCGGAATGAATCGCAACAATATCTCTTAGAAGCTGCCCCCACCCTGTAATGGTGGTATAATAGGAATATAATAGGGCCCCAATATAATCCCTATAGTCACTATTACAGGGTGGGGGCAGCTTCTAAAATATCACCTAAAGCTCCCCTTGCAATTGGAGTACATAATCTCCCCTACAAAACCCGCTCCAAACATTTTTGGCCCCTACTTGGAGGGTTCAGGGGTATGGGTAGTTGTAAGTGGGTTATGACCCTACTTATGCCCCCACATTTAACTACCCATGACCCTCCTAGCAGTTCCCAAACAAGCACACCAGTCAAGCGGGAACGAAGACCAACAAACCCAGACCAGAAGGTTTCTCAGCGGCTAAACCATGTTTCGGAAGGCCTCGAAGATGCGTTTAGGGCTTCTCGGGTTTATCGTGTTTTGGGGGCTTTACGGTTTCGTTTCGTGCTTCAGGGTTCGACTTTGGGATTGAGGTGATTCGGGCCGAGTCTCTGCAGATTTGGGCCCCACGATGCGCACCACGTGCTTGTCGCGTCCCAGCATGACTGTCCAGCGCCATGCAAGCAGATTCTTTGGGTGGTGACTGCATGTCAATCCGACAAGACTTGAAGCTAGAACGAAAACCGACATATATTCCAAAACGATACCCAACTCAGGTGCGAGACCTTATGTCCTGACTCCTGTCAACGGGTCAAGATTAGGGTTCAGCGTCTAGGAGCTTAAACCATCAAGCTGCACTCAAACCATCACACTCTCACTTGTGCTGATCAGGTGGTAACCTAAACCCCAAAAGCCCCAAACCCCTAAACCATACACCGTATCCCCCTGGCCCCTGCATGGAAACACTGAGGCTCCCTTCGTCAAGGATCCATTCTAGTTTTGGCCCTTCCAAGCACGGCAAAATATTCGCAAAACGATCCTCTGAAATGATGAAGGTATAACGTAATCAAAAGGCTTACAGGGCATTGCTGAATAACCTTTGCAAGATCATGTGCAGCTATACGGAGAGACTCGTAGCCTGGATTACACTCCTCCTACTCCTCTCACATGCTGCCGGTAGAAACAATCGACGAAGTTGAAACAAAAACTCACAAGTCACTTAGTTGGTAAGGTCACAAGCCCACAAAAAATGGCACACTTTCAGCTCTATTGGATACAGTGTTATCCCAATACCTACTGCCCCAATAAGCCAGGGGAATAAAAGGTTAAACTTTCTGATTCCTATTAAACTGTAAGAACCCAAAAAGTTTAAAGGTTGGGTATTGGGGATCTAAGAATAAATGCAGGTGTAAAGTGTGCCTTTCCAGGGCGGAGGATGGCTGTGTGCGGTTCCGCATTAGGAGCTGAAGGCGTTGGCTTTAGGTTTGAGGTTCAGAGTTTAAGGTTTAGGGACCGAAACCCTAAACGCTAAACCCTAAGCCCTAAACCCTAAACCCTAAACCCTAAGCCCTAAACCCTAAACCCTGAATCCCAAACCGTTTGAGGCGTTAGACGTCAGGGTTCGGACTTCGCTCCTGGAGCTGTAGGCGACGGGCGGGTTTAGGGTCTAGGGTCCAGGGCTTACTTCAAGGATCATGGGACTTAGTAACTAGGGTTATAATTAGGGTAACTATACTTATAACCCCAATTAAGGTACTTATAACCTTACTTACTAAGTCCCATGATCCTCCAAGTAGGGTTTAGGGTTAAGGTGTTAAGTGTTGATAGGAAACAAATCGAAAGTCCAGCTCCTCTATGGCTTCAACGTTTAGCTCCAGGGGCCCTCAATCGCTTTAGGGTTTAGGGTCCAGGGGCCTTCAATCTTCAAAGACGCCGGGCTGAAGCCTACTTGAAGGATCGGGGACTTGGCAAACAGAGCAAGTAAGCTAACTTTAGCTAGACTTACAGCAGCCTATACCGTCCATTAAGGTACTTCTGACCTGTCTCACTAGGGCCTCGTACCCGTGAGGATCTTTCGAAGTCAATCTGAAACCCATTATGCCACTATCAAACCCTATGAAATCGGGATCTATGGGGGGTTCCTTTAAAGGCGCCCTTTACGGGATCTAGAGGGGTTCCTATAAAGGAAGACCTGGGGATGAACGCCCAAGGCCATCGCAAGCCTTGGACAGACCGTCAACCCCGCGAATCTGAAGTAAAACACCTGCCGCAGTTAACAACTGAAACCTGTAATTTGGGGGCCTTAATGTTTAGACTAGGGTTTTGGCTGTAGTTGTAATAAGGAACACCCAAAATAGTAGCCGGGCGCGGGATTTAAGAGGTACCTTGGTTTTAAACAAAACACAAAGGTTTCTGGTGTCAAAAAGCGAGTTTTTGACCGACATCGGCTGTTTACCATACGATCAGGTGGTAAAGCTGAAATACGCAGGTCCCGCCCGGGAGAGGTGTGTTTGGTAATTAAGTCTTTAGTGCCGTGTCATTGGTCAGCTGTTTGGGTTTCAGGGGTTAGAGTTTGAGAAATGTGCCCAGCACCGGGGGCGTCTTAAATATTCGGCGGTATTTAAGAGCCAAAGAATAGGTAATTCGGTAGGATTGTGATAAAGAAGCAATAGGAAGGCTTTGTCAGAGCAGAACTTGTGTGGAGTCTGTAAGGACCCCGAGTAATGTGGGAATTGCAAGGAAATCCGCACTTTGTAGACACTCACAGGGGAACAGGGGGCGTCTTGAATCCCGCGCCCGCCAAATAGAAAAGGCAATGACTGAGGCCATTATAGTACCCCGCAAAAATCTCGAAGCAGCAAGGCTTTTTGGCATCTTACGGCGCCGGGGACATCATGGTCGCTTTGCAGCGCCGAAGTTCCGGGAAAAGCGTGAGCAGTTCTGGGGTTCCGGCCGTTGGAAGATGGCAAGGCACCGATCATCACTGTCAGCTCTTATGCTCCGTTAAAGGGAACTATAGGGGTTCTATTATAAGAGGGGTTTTAGGGTCTACTTAAAGGTTCATGGTACTTAGTAACTAGGGTTATAATTAGGGTAACTGTACGTATAACCCAATTAAGGTACTTATAACCTTACTTAGTAAGTCCCATGATCCTCCAAGTCACTCCTAGTTTAAACATTATCAACAGTACACTAATCAATAGTGCGACTGCCCACCGAGGCATTGCAGCTTTACTTGAAGATTCTCTGTCAATGCTGTCGCGAGCTAAATTTTTATTGACTGACGACGGTGATGATGGCTACGACAGTCATAGTGAAGATGATGGCGAACTGATGATGAAGCTGGTGGAAATGATGGTGATGGTGATGGTCATGGCGATGGCGATGGCAATGGCGATGGTGATAGTGATGAAGATGACGATGATGATGATGATGACGATGATGATGATGACGATGACGATGATGATGATGAAGATGACGATGGTCGGCACGGTGAAGAATCACGTGCGAACGACACTGAAAGATGAGGTCGTGCATCATGTTAACTAGTGAGGCTGTTGGTTATTCTCTTGCTATGGCACGTGGCCGCTGTCCACAGTATTGTTGCTACGATATGCATATCCAGTATTACGGGCTCTCCTGCTGTCTGCACTGAATCTTGTCTCGATGCCTAGAATTCCATCAAGTGTTACTAGCAGTATTCATGCCCCCCGGGCGGAGCCGACCCCAGCCACTTACCACCGGAAGCTACCGAGGCTATGAAGCGTCACTGGATAACGCAGCAGCCGCAGCACTGCTCCGGATATTCCTCCGCGCTGACACTCATCTCCTCGCCGAAAACCTCGGTTGTGCTGTCAAGGCATTTACTGTGTTTCGTATGCTCAGGGATGGTAGTAGCGGCTGCTTTCGGTGTCTCGCACTATTCTAAAACTACTACTTCTACTACTACGACGACTACCACTACCACTACGGCTACTGCCACTGCAACTGCGACTGCGACAGCAGCCGCTGCTGCTGCAGCTGCTGCTGTTGCTGCTACTGCTACTGCTGCTGCTGCTGCTGCTGCTACTGCTACTGCTACTGCTGCTGCTGCTGCTGCCGCTGCTGTGCTGCTACTGCTACTGCTACTGCTACTGCTACTGCTACGGCTACTGCTACTGCTACTGCTACTGCTACTGCTACTGCTACTGCTACTGCTACTGCTACCGCTACCGCTACCGCTACCGCTACCGCTACCGCTACCGCTGCTGCTGCTGCTGCTACTGCTACTGCTACTGCTACTGCTACTGCTACTGCTACTGCTACCGCTACCGCTACCGCTACCGCCACCGCCACCGCCACCGCCACCGCTACCGCTACGGCTACTGCTACTGCTACTGCTACTGCTACTGATATCAACAGCTCGTGCCGTCTTTGGTTTCAATCCCTCTATTGGACTTTGAAGTGGCTAGGGGCTAACGGGCATAGGCTTTGGTTTCATAAAGGTTCCTTCAGGGAACAGGTCCAAAAAAAAGCCCTAAACCCCAACCCTGAAACGTGAACTCTGAACCCTGAATCCTAAAGTATGGTACTCCAGAAAGTTGGAATATCATTATCGTAACCCCTTTAAAGTAAATTACAGGGGATCCTACCAGTAATCCATATCCCAACTTTCTGGAGTTCCCTGTAAGGGTACTATAAGGGTATTAAAGGTACCATAAGGTCATTACAAGGGTACAGGGGTACATAGATGGTTTAGGGCTTAAGGGTTTATGGGTGCTTTTCGCAGTCTTTTCCAGGCGTCTGGTCTGAAACGGCCCTGTTGATTCTGTTGACATTTGCGCTGGAGTTCATGGTCATGTAAGGTCAATGGCGCAATCAGTCTTACGGAGTCGTTGCACCTGTCAGGCTTCTATGTAACCTTTCCTTCAGGACTTCGTCTTCAGGGCAAGCGCTTGAGCCCAGCGACAGAGAAGGAGAACTCCTTCCCCTTCCAGACCGCCAGAACTTTGCAGGACGGGATTTGCTTGACTTCAAGCTTCCTGTGAGGAAGCCAGCGAAAAGGGAGCCCTGTTGCGGGCTTTCTTTTTGCGCGAATATTTGGACCCACAAACCACCAAATCAAAAAGCATCCCAAACAGTGGCCAGGTTTCTGCATGTGAAGATATTCGTCTTTGCCAACACCATGTCTGGTGCCTTGCTGGATCAGCTCGATGAGCGCGTTCTTCCTGAGTCTCTGTTGGGTGTAGGCTGGGTTCAAGGTTTACTTGGAGGATCATGGGACTTAGTCAGTAAGGTTATAAGTACCTTAACTGGGGTTATAAGTATAGTTACCCGAATTATAACCCTAGTTACTAAGTCCCATGATCCTTTAAGTAGGGTTTAGGGTTCAGGGTTAAGGGCTTAGGGTTTAGGATTTAGGGTTTCTGAGTCTGTTTTGGGTTTAAGGCCTCGAGACCGTCTCACAGCCATGGAGAATGCGAGCAGAGACAGCACCAGAGCTTTCAGTCAAAGTGTTGCGATGTTCGGGATAGGGTTTAGGGTTCAGGGTTTAAGGGTTTAGGGTTTAGGGTTTAAGCAACTCGGCAAATTCAACAGAAGTGTTTCCTTGCGTTCTTGCCCCCCCTAAGAAGCGAAATAAGAAAAGTATTCTTGTGAATCCCCTTAAGTTATGTTAAAGAAACATGAAACATAATTCCTAAGAGCAGTGAACGGTTTGTCCCGAAGCACAACAGGCTGGGAGGACCATGGCTGGGGACGAGTAGTGGTACTGCTGATGGACAAAATCCTGCACTGCCCAAAAATCCTAGGGTTCCGTTAAAGGGAGCTCTTCGGGTACCTTTCTGGGGTTCCTTTAAGGGATCTATAGGGTTTTGGGGTTTCGGGATATAAATCCTGCATTACCCATTATAAGGAATATACCACAGTTCCCATACAGGATTTTGTCCATCAGCCGTATGCATACTTTAAGTTCCTGAGTAGGCCCTGTATCATAAGAGCACCCTTGTTCCTGCTATTCTGTTTCAATAAAGGAACCCAACAAGAAAAAAAGTACAAAAGAGTACCACTCAGCAATTGGGGGTTTGTGCATAATTATGGCTGCACTTACCCTACTTGTGAAGGGTTCTTATAACCAGGTTCTAGAAGGAGCTTCGGGTTTAGTTGTTCAGAACATTCCCAATTTTTTGGGTTGAGGGCCGCATTTTCAGGCTCAGGGTCTTTGGCTTGTGGCGGGTTTTTGAGGGCCTAAGCCCTTAACCAATCCCGTGAACCCTAAGCCCCCAATCCTAAACGCTAGACCCCAAACACTAGACCCGAGACCCTGACATAGTTGCTGCGGTCATGACCCCAAAACCGTGTACACTTTCAGTTCTACGGGATATAAAATACAAGATTAATCCGAAAAGTGCAAAGTGTACTTCTGCAGCAAAGCCCTCTATCAGAACACTATCAGACAGAGATCTACATGCTTGAAGGATCAGGGGACTCAGTAAGTAGGGTTATAAGTCCCCTAATAAGGTACCCTTAATACCCCTCTCCCTAAACCCTAAACCCTTATAGTGCTTTTAAAGTACCCTGAATACTCCTGAAGTACCCGTGAAGGAACCCTTAATACCCCTATAGTACCTTCAAAGCAACCCTTAATACCCATATAGTATGCTTAAAGGAACCCTTAAAACCCCTATAGTACCCAAAAAACTACCCTTAGTACCCCTCTCCGCCAAGCCCTAAACTCTTGACCCTAAACCCTAAACCCTTATTGTACTATAAGGGCACTATAGTACCCTTAATACCCCGAAAGAACCCTTAAAGGAACCCTTAATACCCCTATAGTACCCGAAAAAGGAACCCTTAATACCCTACAGTACCCTTAAATTACCCCTATAGTACCCTAAAGGTACCCTTAATACCCTATCGTACCCTAAATAGGTACCCTTCATACCCCTAAAAAGCTAACCTTAAAGGAACCCTTAATACCCCTAAGAAGGTACCCTTGGTACCCCTCTTCGCCAAGCGAAGCGCCGTTGGTTGGTAGGGAATGGAAGAATGGAAAAAGTTATAATTGTCCCCCATTCCTCCATTCCCTACTAACCAAAATTAAGTTCTAGGATGATTAAGGCCCCTATATTATAGTACCCTTATGGATCCCTTATAGTAACCCTTATAGATCCCTTATAGTAACCCTTATAGAGCCCTCCATTCCCTACCAACCAAAGGTAAGCCAAGCGTCGGGTCGGGAGCGACGTTGGCCCGGTGAAACTCCTCCTGCGCTCCGGGACCACAGCCGAAAGCTTCCGAGGCTTCGGTTTTTTTGGGTTCCTTTAAAGGGTACTTTAAACGTTCCTTTAAGGGATCTAACGGGCTAGGGTTCCTTTAAAGGGTACTTAAGGGTTCCTTTAAGGGATCTATCGGTTTTAGGGTTTAGGGTTCCTTTCAAGGGTAGTATAAGGGTTCCTTTAAGGGATCTATGGGGTTTCGGGTTTCGGCTCTAGGGTTCCTTTCAAGGGTACTATAAGGGTTCCTTTACGGGATCTATAGGGTTTCGGGTTTAGGGTTCCTTTCAAGGGTGCTATAAGGGTTCGCTTAAGGGATCTATAAGGTTTCGGGTTTAGGGTTCCTTTCAAGGGTGCTATAAGGGTTCCTTTAAGGGATCTATCGGGTTTAGGGTTCATTTAAAGGGTACAAAAAGGGTTCCTTTAAGGGATCCGTGGGGTTTAGGGTTTAGGGTTCCTTTCAAGGGTAGTATAAGGGTTCCTTTAAGGGATCTATGGGGTTTCGGGTTTAGGGTTTGGGGTTCCTTTCAAGGGTACTATAAGGGTTCCTTTCAGGGATCTATCGGGTTTCGGGTTTTTTGGTGTTTTAGGGTTCCTTTCTCGGGTACTATAAGGGTTCTTTTAAGGGATCTTTAGGGTTTCGGGTTTTTTGGGGTTTTAGGGTTCCTTTCAAGGGTACTATAAGGGTTCCTTTAAGGGATCTATAGGGTTTGATAGGGTTTCGGTGGGGTTTTGTAGGATGGTTATAGGGTTTCGATAGGGTGTTTAATGGGCTTTGAGGGGTTTTGTCGGGATTCTGGGTTTGCTAGGGTTTAGGGTTTGCTAGGGTATTATAGGGCTGTGTGAGGTTTTCTTCAGGCTTCTTTAAGGACTCTAGGGTTCTGCTATTGTTTTCGCATTCGAACCATTCCTGTAGGGTTCAGACCATTATTTTAGGGTCCGGACTATTATTTTCGAAGTCGGACCATTATTTTTTTAGGGTTCGGCCATTACTTTAAGGTTCGGACTTTCATCTTAGAGTCCGGACTATCAGTTTAGGGTTCAAAAAATTATGTTTAAGGTTCGGACTATTATTTAAAGCCTCGGACCATTATTTCAGGATTCGGACAAGTATTTTCGAGTTCGGACCATTGTTTTAAGGTTCGGACTCTACGCATAGCATTTCAGGGCTTAGGGCTTACCATTGCAGTACTGCTACAGCAGTACTACGGTATTCCTACTACAGTACTTCCACGGCAATACGACTGCAGTACGAATAATTAGTTGAAGTTTAGGGTCCTGGGATAGGTGTTTAGGGTTAGGATGTAGAGGTGCTACAGTTCCATCACAATATTGCTAAAGTGCTGCTACAGTACTACTACAGAACTACTGCAGCAGTACTATAGTATTATAACTTAGAAATGCTATTACAATACGACCACGGCAAAATCACTGCAATACGAATACCCAGTCTAAAGCTTAGGTGTCGGGTGTAGGAGTTGCTGAGCTCGCTAAACTCGCCATACTCGCGGAAACTCACTAAACTCGCCGAAACTCGCTGAAACTTGCCAATACTAACTGAAATTCGCTAATACCTGCTGAAACTCGCTACTGTAAAACTCACTCTGCGGCCAACAGCCCAGAACCCCCAGCCCAGCCCAGCCAAGCCCGCGGGTCCTGGGAGCACCAGCTAAAACTCATGAAAACTTATTAAACCCGCTGAAACTCGCTGAAACATACTTCATTACGCTTAAACTCACTGAAACCCGCTAAACTCGCTGAAACTCGCCGAAACTCACTGAAACCCGCTAAACTCGCTGAAACTCGCCGAAACTCGCTGAAACTCGCCGAAACTTGCTGAAACTCGCCGAAACTCGCTAAACTCGCTGTACTCGCCGAAACTCGCTGAAACTTGCCGAAACTCGCTAAAACTCCCTGAAACTCGCTAAAACTCGTTGAAACTCGTTGAAACTCGCTGAAACTCGCTGAAACTCCGTGAAACTCGCTAATCGCTATACTCGCTGAAATTCGCCAAACTCACGCAAACTCGCTGAAACTCGCGTCGCGAAAACTCGCTGAAACTCGCTCTGCGGCCAAGAACCGAAAACCCTGACCCACTTAAAGGATCATGGGACTTAGCACCTAGGGTTTAACTATACTTATAACCCCAATTAGGGTGCTTGTAACCTTACTTACTAAGTCCCATGATCCTCCATCATAGACCCCTTATAGATCCCTTTAAGGAACCCTATTATAGACCCCTATAGGTACCCTTAAAGGAACTACTAAGTCCCATGATCCTCCAAGCAGCCAGGGCACGGGTCCCAGGGCCCCCCAGCCCGAGAAACGCAGAATGCGAAACCCCAACGCATTTCACCGAAAACCCAAAACACTTACCTTTGGTTAGTAGGGAATGAAGGAATGATAGTAATATATAGTATAATAGTACCCATTCCTTCATTCCCTACTAACCAAAGGTAAGAAAACCTAGACCCAAGAGTAACGCAGGAATAACAAGGGTGCCCTTTTTGCTTTAAAGGAGCTTATAAGGGAACCTGAACCCCCAAAAAAGGGAATAAGGGCCTACTCCGGGTCCTAGAAACCCAAAACAACCCAAACAAAAACTCTCGAGTTTAAAGAATGGAAAAACGCACCCTGCACCCGAAGCAAGCTCAATAAACCCTAAACCTAAGGTTCTGGGATTCAGGGCTTGGAGTTCGAAGACCGTGAGCTTTAGGTTGTCGGTCACTGTGCTTCTAGAACTGCGTTCTCAACATTCCTAACTTAAGCCGTAACACCTTTGAACCCTCGTCTACAGAAGTTTTTCGAGCTCAAGGCTCAGTGTTTAGCGAGACTTATAGAATCCGGTTATGATTCAGGTTCAGGGTTTAGGGCTTATATAGGTGTTGGTATCTAGTAGGGGTATCGCGGTTATGATTCAGGACGTAGGTCAGCGCCTGGATCCTCCATCCTGAACCTCAGAGCCTTGCATCTTCCGACCCTTCCCAAGAACCCACACATCTTCAGACCCTTCCCCAGAACCCCAGAATCCTGAATCCTAAAATGCTTGCGGTTCGGTTAGGTTTAGGGCTTACTTGGAGGTTCATGGGTAGTTATAAGTGGGGTTGTAAGTCCCCTAATATGGTTTATACTCATGATTACCCCACCTATAACCTTACTTATAACTACCCATGAACCTCCAAGTAGAACCTAAACCCTATACCCTTATAGAACCCCCAGAGATCCCCGTAAGGGGACCCTTGAAAAGAACCCTCGGGTTTGTCCTCCACCCACTTGGCTTGAAAACACATCACCCGGCCAGACGACTCGCGGAGCTCCTCGTTGCCCGCTTTTTTGATTCCAGGGACCTAATATTATTATTCTCATTATTATTACTATTATTTTTATTACTATTATTATTGTTATTATTATTATTATTATTATTATTACTACTATTATTATTATTACTACTACTACTATTATTATAGGGGCCTAATTAATTACCTATACCATTTTGGTGGTTCCTGTTTATAAGTATAGTATAGCGGGCCCGAAGACGCTATTCTAGTATTAAGGCCTCTATATTGCGGCAGACTCCTTGCATCCTGGCAATGAGCCCTGCATACGTCAAGGAATATTCCTTAATCAAGGGACTCTCGGTATGTAGGTTAGGTATGGGCCTCTGGCTAAGAATCCTGCTCACTTAAGAAGGATTACGTTGGGGATCCGACCATTGTGGTCGCTGAGGAAGGACGGAGACGATGGCTTTTCCTCAAGGGGGTCTACATTATTGGCATCGATAATGTGGGAACCTGATTCATAAACCCTCGGCCTAAAACCCAAAACAATAGGATTCATATAAGGAACCCAAAAGGTCCAAGGTTTCTTAATCAGGTTCCTTCATTACTGGAATCGCTGTTGTCTTGCTGCTGATGACGAGAATTCAGACCATGACGATGAAAATGACCGTTCCGATGACGATGGTGATGATGATGGCGATGACGATGACGACGATCATGGCAATGACAATGATGGGCAGGATGATGAAGATGATGGCGATGATGACGGTGATGATGGCCATGATGACGATGACCATTACGATGCTGATGATGATGGTGGTGGTCTTGACGATGATGATGCTGACGATGAGGACGGTGAGGATGATGAAGATGGTCAGGATGATCAGGATCATGAGAGCGATGAGGATGACGAGGATGATGAGGATGATGAGGAGGAGGAGGATGACGATGATGACGACGATGGCAATGACGATGACGATGGTGATGATGATGTCGATGGTGATGATAATGATGGTATAGGACGACGAGGATCAGGATGGGGATGAGGAGGGTGATGATTCGGGTGATGGTCATAGTGATGGTAATGATGACAGGGAAATACTATTAAAGTAAAAAACCCTGTGCTGTCAGGGTGTAGCGCTGGACTCCAGCAGATTGGGTGATTCTCTTGCGAGCGAAAGCAGCTGAAACCAGGCCGGCTAGCTGAAACTCTTGAATGGCAGGGACTGTTGCAGATTTCGTCCATCTGTTTATCTTTTCGGCTTTAGGGCGTCAGGGTTTAGGACTCTAGGGTTTAGGGTTTAGGGATGATCTTCCTGGATGGTCACCGGTGATTCTGCCGCACTCCATTTCTTCTCCCATTTGTGGTTGCTGTGCACCACGACAAGCTCAGAGAAGCCTCGACTTGCTCAGTTTCCCGGGAGGAATAAGGTTCCTTTGAGGGCCTTGTAAGGGCATGCTGTAAGGGTACTATAGGGTTCCGTTCAGGGGTTCCTATAAGGGTATGCTGGATGTCAGGTTGGGGTTTGAGTTCTAAACCCTACTTGGAGATTCATGGGAACCATAATTATAAGCCATATTACGGGACTGATAACCCCACTTATAACTACTCATGAACCTCCAAGTAGGCTTCCTTTGAGGGTTCTTGTAAGGGTATGCTGTAAAAGTACCATAGGGTTCCTGTAAGGGGTTCCTATAAGGGTATGCATGAAGGCTACTACAGGCTTTAGGGTTGAAGGTTTTAGTATTAAGGTTCTTGCAAGAGTTCCTTTTCAAGAGATTTTGTTGGAGTTGCGGTAAGAGTCACTGTGAGGGCAGGTTTGACTAATGGAGCCTCGACACTTCGACGAGGGTCTTAAGTATAGCATAGTATGGACGATAAGGGAATCATATTCCTTATTTAGGCTTCAAGACTGCTTTGTGAGTCTTGGGGCTTGGCGCTGCTCGTTTTCCAATTATTTGGCACTTGCAGCTCTATTTGGAACCACCTGCGATCCTCCTCGTAACAAAGTCTTGCCTGTTTGTATCGGGAAGGCTTGCAGCACATCGAAGACCAAATGTTTCGGGGTTTAGGGTCTAGCCGAAAAGAAAGCTGAAATTTCGGGCATGCTACCGACAAACAGGCCGGAAAAAACACCACCCAGCGACACTACAGACGCTCTTAACCCAAAAACCCTAAAACCCAAAACCGCGAAGACCCAAAACCTTAGATCACACACTCAATTCAGAGGAGGAACTCAAGAACATCCCGCACCCTTCGCAGTCTTCGCAGGTAACTCTGCCACTTTCCTTGCACCTCTGGCAATGCTTCCACCCCTTGCTGTCGCAAGGCTTGCACCAATACCAACCCGAGTTCTGGCAGATGCCACACTCTTCCTCTTCCTCAGCGTCGCTCGAGCTTGAGCTAGAGGAGCTGTCTTTCTCTTCTCCCTTGGAGCTGCTCTTCCCACTGCCCTTCCTCAGCTGAGTTTAGGGCTTTAGGGCTTTAGGGTTTAGGGCTTTAGGGCTTTAGGCTTTAGGGCTTTAGGGCTTTAGGGTTTAGGGCTTTAGGGCTTAGGCTTTGGGGCTTTAAGGCTTTAGGGTTTAGGGTTTAGGGTTTAGGCTTTAGGCTTTAGGCTTTAGGCGTTAGGCTGTAGGGTTTAGGGTTTAGGGAGAAAGGAGGGCAACACGAAAAATGCCCCCACGAGCACTCCGGGTAAAGGGGATCAAAGCTTTCCGGTAACAGAGGAGCTTCTCCGCGCCTTTGGAGCTGTCCATGGAGCCCCTACCCTTGCCTTTGTCTTCCTGATCGACGTCGCCTTTTCCCTTGGAGCTGTCCTTGCCACCACCCTTTTCTTCATGTCCTTTGGAACTCTCCTTCCCCGCGCCCTTCCTTAGGTGCTCAGGCACAGATCACAGGGATTAAACATTCATCTTGACGTAGCGACCGTGTCACAGGAATGAGCACCCTAAACCCGAAACCCTAAGAAATTGATCCGAAACAGCGGAGCTTCTCGATGGAGCCCCTACCTTTGCCGGAGTCGTCATAGCTACTTTTGCCTTTTCCGTCCCCCTTGTCGTCGTAGCCCTTGCCTTTCCTCAACTTTTGAGGAATGGTAGGTAAACGAGAACCCCCCCAAAACTGCAAAAGAACCCCTATAGAACCTTTTGGGACCTGTAACAAAATACAGCCCTCATAGAACCCTTACGACCCAACCGCAGCAGGAAGAAAATCAAGCCCATCCAGTGAGAGAAGAGCTTCTCCGCACCTTTGGAGCTGTCCATGGAGCCCCTACCCTTGCCTTTATCATCCTGATCGACGTCGCCTTTTCCCTTGGAGCTATCCTTGCCACCACCCTTTTCGTCATGTCCTTTGGAACTCTCCTTCCCCCCACCTTTCCTTAGATGCTCAGTTCAGGGAAGCTCACTCAACATGCAGATCTAGACCACACCTACGAAGTTCAGGGAAAAGAGCCCCTCGGGAAAAATTGAAAAACCCTAAACCTTAAAATCCCCTGAGCGGCCCTCCTCTAAAGGACCAACACTTGCCGACTGGAGGAATTAGGGTTTAGGGTTTAGGACTTTCAGAAAGGCATCTCTCCACTCCCACTTGTGGAGCCACGACCCTTGCCAGCAGTGCCTGCAACAGGGCTCTGAGGCCATGGCGCCCCCGTGTACTGCCCTTGGTTAGTAGGGAATGGAAGAATGGTAGTAATAGTAGTTACAATTGCACCCCATTCCTCCATTCCTTACTGACCAAAGGTAAGTGGGTAGTGTATCCCCGTCACATTCCTAAAGCCTTAGATGAGGACAGCCCTTCCTGTGTCTCAGACCCTAAGCTAACCAGGTCGAAAGCAGACTCCAATCGATGATCTTATTGGACCTAAACCCTACACCCTAAGCCCAAAGCCTCCAACCGAACCGTATACCCTGAACCCTAAACCCAAAACCTTCAACCGAACCGTATACCATGAGGAGCCGTAAATTTACAAAACACGACTGGGACTCCGACTAAGACCTACTAATTCCCATTACACCCTACTAGATCGTAAACCCCAAAGAAGAAGACTCCTGAACCCTGAAATGTCTTAAATTTTAAACCCTAAACCCTCAACCCTGAATAGTTGCCCTGAATCTACCACACTCTACTATTCATGATACTACGAACAACATAAAACCCTGAAACCCCAAAAGAGAACCAGGAGGATCCCCCAGCACGCGGGTTTAGGGTTTAAACCCTCCCTGGTATACTTGGCGGTGGATGGTTAGTTCTAAAGTGGGGTTAGATGTCTCCTAAGATGGGTTATAGTCCTGGCTAGCCTACTTATTGCCCCACTTAGATCTACCCGTGAACCTCCAAGTAGGGTTTTGATAGCCGACAAAGTTGCTTCGAGGATTCCTGTTAAAAGGGTCTGTAAGGTTGCTATGCGAGTTTGGTACAGGTGGCTTTCGTAATGATGCTGCTTGCGGGCTCCCTTGGTAACGTGTCAGAGGACCCAAACCACAAGTTTAAAACGGCAAGATGCATGCCCAGGATTGACCTGCCTTTCTTCTCACACTTCGAGCACCATAGCCATCTCTTGCCGTTGCACTTCTTACACCAAATCCATCCGTATCCTTGGTACACTGGTACGCTGGATGCTAGGTTGGGGTTTGAATTCTAAACCCTACTTGGAGGTTCATGGGTAGTTATAAGTGGAGTTGCAAGTAGGGTAACCGTAATCCGAACCCATATTAGGGGACTTATAACCCAACTTATAAGTACCCATGAACCTCCCTACAAATGTGTATCATGGTTGTGTCGGGATATTGTAAACTCCAAACATTATGTAATTACATAAAGTCTCTTAGGACGTAAAAGATTTGATCGGATTTAGAGCTTGCCGGGGTTTGGGATGAGGTTTGAAGCAAGGGCTTGGGGCTTGAAGGATCTTCAAGTTGAGGGTTTCGTGTAGGCCTTAGGGCTTGATTAGGGTTGAGGGTTTAGGACCTTAGGCTGCAGGCCTTAGGGTTTAGGGCTGTAGGGGTAGGAATAGGTTTTAGTGTTTAGGGTCTAGGGCTTCGGAAGAATAGGGTAGAGTTCGTAAGTGGTTTTTGCAAACTGTACCTATGAGCACGTCTATAACTCTACTCAACTCTACTCATTCCTACCCTGATCCTCTGATCCTCCAAGTACATTCTGCCATGTGCAAAAACATCTCAAGGTTTAGGGATTAGGTTTTTTGCACACCCGGGTACGCCCCTTATCCACTCCGCCGACGCTGGCCCCGTGGGCACTCAGGCACTCAGGGATTAGGGGTTTGGGGTCGATGGTGAAGGGCTTAAGGCTTCAGCCTTCAGGGTCAAGAATGCACGGCCTAAGGGTTTGGGGGTTTAGGGGTTTTGGGTTTAGGGTTTAGGGTTTGGGTTTAGCCACGAGGGGTTTGGGGTTCAGGGCTGATAAACAAGCCCAGGTACCATCACACGGCTTGCAAGTTATGTTGCCCCGGCCGTCGCATTTCTGGCACTGGGTCAGCACGTCCGAATAAGGGACCTCGGGCCCCTACACCCTAAACCCTAAACCCTAAACCCTAGAACCTAAACCCTAAACCCTAAACCCTAAAACCCGCTAAACCCCTATCGGTTTCAGGTTTCAGCTGTAGGACTTGCGGTCTTGGGTTTAGGGCTTTAGGGATTTTAGGGTTTCGGGCTGTAGGGTTCAGGGATTTTAAGGTTTTTTCGGGATTTTAGGGTTTTGGGGGGTTTAGTGCTCTAGGGTGTAGGGCTTCGGGGGTTTTGGTTTGAGGTTTGGGGTCAAGGTTTAGGGATTGGGCTTCAGTGTTTGAGGCTCACGGCTTTGAAACCTTGAGTATCAGGTTTCCACTGAATCAACTGCTGCGAACAGGCGCAGCAACATGCGGTTGTCGATTGGGTGCCCCGAAACAAGCAGCCAAGCATGAACCCAGAAACCCCCGGACCCTAAACCCTAAGCCCCTTACCCTAAAACCCCTAAGGCTAAACCCTGAACGCTACAGTTCAAAACATCCTGAAGCTTAAGGACCACGAAGATCCTTGACCTCTCAACAGAAAGCCAAGACCCTAAACCCCAAATCCTAAACCCTAAACTCCACGGGGGTTTAGGGTTCAGGACCCTAAACCCTAAACTCCAAACCTCAAAAGCCCAAACCCTGACAAAGGGGCCTGAATAATTAGAATAGGGTTTTGGTGCCCATTATATATACTATAATTGCTCTATGCACTGGTAATCATCAAGGCCCCTGTCATAAACCCTCGAGTGGCGGACCTTGTAGCGCTTCGTGGAAGACTCGAAATGTTCCGGCTGCGGGACGTCCATACTCCACTCGCCTGTGGATCAGCCGAAGGAGCTTAGGTTTAGGGTTTGGGGTTTAAGGTTTAGGGTTCAGGGTTTAGGGTACCTAATAGGGTTGCTGTGAAACTGTTGTGGGCCAAGTCCTGGGGTTTACGATAGGAACTTTTTTCTAGTTGGAATAAGGTTTGGGGCCTATTCAGAGCTCACTGTATAGGGACGATAAAGAGGCCCAGGATTTCTGGAATGCCCAACAAACAGACAGCTGACGCCCTAAACCCTAAACCCTAAACCCTAAATCCTAAACCCTAAACCCTAAACCCTAAACCCTAAATCCTAAACCCTAAACCCTAAACCCTAAACCCTTGTTCATGCAATGGTTCCCAAGCCTCATAGAGACGGCCTGCCAAGCCCTGAAACTTGAACCCTAAAACACAATAGGGCCCCAAAAAGACACATAAGCAAAACTTAGGATAGTGATATCACATATAAGCCCCCTTATAGGGATATCCCCATAAAATGCTTATGCTTATGTGCTTTCTTTCGTCCCTACAAAAAGCAACACCCCAAGCCCAAAACCCTGAACCCTTCTAAATATTGCCATGTCGCCAGGTGGTGTGCCGTCCTTATCCACGTCCTCACCCTTGTAGGGCCCCGACTTCTTCTCAGTGGAGCGTGACTCTGTGAAGGATGTCATCTTCATGTACCTGGGTTCCGAGGGACTTGAAAGCTAATTTTGTCGGGCCTTTGTAGCTAGTATGGTGCTTAGTCCTGTTTACAGAGTTTCGGGGAAAAAAGTAGTCAATTACAACAAGGAACCCTACAAGCATCTATTCAGGGCTTATTCTTCGGTAACTATAGGGCCAAGTCCTGTTTGGGCTGCAACGGCAGGACACCCCTAACCCGGACTTAGGGTGTATGCCCACCGGCTCTTAAACCCTCTTCTCCAATAACCGGGCCCAAAAAAGTTCCAACTTTTAACCCCCAACCCTTAAACCCTGAACCTTAAGACCAGAAACATAAAGCCAAAAGCTTAAAGTTAAGTTATTCCATAAGACATCTGAGTAATCCCGCTGTCTACTGGCTTTTAAACCGTAGTAATGTAGGAACCTGATTAAGAAACCTTGGGCCTTTACTAGGGCTCCGTATATGAACCCTACTATTTTGGGTTAGAGCTCAGGGGTTCAGGGTTGGGGGAGGGAATTGTACTGAACCCCTCTCTCACCCCCCAAACTCAAAGCCCTAAACCCGTAACCCTAGACCCGAAATCTTAAACCCACAAACCCTAAACCCCGCACCCTTATCCCCAAACAAAATTCCACTCAGGCGCCTAACCCTAAACCGTTATCCCCTTCTAGAAACCTTATATGCACCTTTGTAAAACCCTCACAGGAACCTTCAAACCCAAACCAAATCCGAGTCTAAACCCTAAACCCTGAGCCCTAAACACTAAACCCTAAACCCTCAAGCCCAGGAAAAGCAGAAATTGTATGTTTTGACATGCGTGTTGCAGTGTTGCTGTGTTACCTGCCAAAAATCGCAAAAACCTTGTCAAGAACGCACAAAGCTCCGGACCAGAAACCTTATACCCCAAACCCTAGACCCCAAAAGCCGCAAATCTGACGGAGGAGCCAGAGGTCAGACTGCATCATGCTCTTGATCTCCATCTCCTCCACGGGCTTCTTTCCCCAGCCTGGGACCGGATTGCGCCCGTGAGGGGCTCACGGGCAAAGCGCTTTTTGTTTAGAAGTTGAACTTTAGGGTTTTGGGCTTAGGGTTTAGGGTTTAGGGCTTCGGGTTTAGGGTTTAGGGTTTAGGGCTTAGGGTTTAGGGTTTAGGGGCTTAGGGTTGAACCACACTCCCTTTCCGAAGATCCGAAGTGCTAGAATTTTGCCCTCAACTCTGAAACCAGTCACACACCCTCTGGTTCAGTTGCACCCATTTCAGGGTTTAAGTCTCTCTTAGGGATTTTTAGGGTTTGGGATTTAGGATGCAGGGGCGTAGGGTTTTGGGCTTACTGTGCGTACGGCTTAAGGGTTTCTAAGGGCTCGGGGGCTTAGGATGTACTTGGAGGATCATGGTAAGTAAGGCTATAGGCACCTTAATTGGGGTTATAAGTATAGTTACCCTGATTATAACTTTAGTTACTAAGTCCCATGATCCTTTAAGTAATGGTTTACGGATGTAGACGGGCAGGCCCTTCCTCAAAATTCCGAAATCTCGGGCCTTAGAACCCTCCGTCCTCTTGCGTGGCATACAGACCGGGAACTTGTCCTATGTGCCTCAGTGCTGCTTAATTCGATGCTTTTGTGTTTAAAAATTTGATGATCTTAGGGGTGGCTCTGTACGCGTTAAGGGACGCTACTATAGAACCCCATAGTACCGTTTCCCTCCTGCGACCTTTAAGAAAGTGCTCTGGGTCCCCGGCAGCAGTTCTGCTTGACGACATTGTCCAGGGCCTGCCTGATTTTGGCAGCAAGGGGGTCTAGGGCCTGGGGTCAGGGTTGAGGGTTTTATTTGCTGTTCAGCACCTTTTTCCGTCCGCCCATACTGTCTAAGCAGGGTTGAGGGTTTAGGGTTTAGGGTTCATGTAGGCGGCGGCCTCAAGCCGTAGAATCTTTCTCAAACGCTATAAGCCCAGGAATTCCATACCCTGCAACGCCTTTCTCGCCATCCGAGCGCCGAAGCCGATATCCTCATTCTCCTATAATATACTATACTATACCAATCTATATTATTATTCCTTATTATACTATACTATAATATACTATACTATACTAGACCAAACTATACTATTCCTTAATATACTACAGTGTATTATGCAGCATACGACACGAGCTACAGTCGAAACACCCAAGCTTCGAGTAGCTTTCACTTGACCCTGAGGCAGCTCAGTCGAAAGACGAGCCCTTCAAGGAATACATTCTAGGATACCCAGTAACCTAAGAATAGAAAGGCCTCTCTTTTTGGTATTGGGTAACTTTATAAGGAACCTAGGACTACAAAAAGGGAATAAGGGTACTACTGGGCATCCTAGCATTGCAGGAATCTTTAGGGCTCCGGATTTAGGGTTTGGGATTTAGGCTTCAGGGTTTAGGGTGTTTTCAAAAAATGGTACACTTCTAGGGTTTCGGGTTTGGGATTTAGGGTTCAGGGTTTAGGGTTTCGGGGCAAAGGAACCCCCCTTGAAGGAGCCCCCCACCTGACGCTGTCCGGTGTCCAGATGACCGCTTGCTGCTGGAAGGAGGAGAGCTCCTGGCCTTCGACCAGCGAACGCCTCTCCGGGGCAGTGGTCTCTGGGTGAAGGTTTCCTTGGGGTTTAGGGTTTAGGGTTTAGGGCGGGTTTAGGGTTTAGGGGTTCCTGGGTGAAGGTTCCCTTGGGGTTTAGGGTTTAGGGTTTAGGAGTTCAACGGGGTGGTTTTTTTAAAGTGCACTAGCCCCTTTCTCCACTGTGCAGAGTCAGAAACTCGCTCAACATTGAGCGTACACTACAACCAACACTCAGGCGTCTTGCGGTTTAGGGTTCAGGGTTCCGGGTCTAGGGCGGGTTTAGGGTTTAGGAGTTCAACAGTTCGTGTTTTCGGCTGTGATGCAATGCCTAGAGCTTCACCTAAACCCTAACTCCTAAACATCACTTCAACCAGCGAACGCTTCTCTGAGCATGTCTTCTGGGTTCCGGCTTAGGGTTTCGGGTTCCGTTACAGGGTACTATAAGAGTTCCTTTGAGGGATCTATAGGGTTTAGGGGTTAAGGTTTAAGGCTTACGGTTTTAGGCCAAGGGCTTAGGGTTTAGGGATTCGAGTTAGGGCTTAGGTTCAGGGTGCAAGTTGGTTTTGGGTTGAGGGTTTCCCAGAGAGCCCAATACTTGGAGGATCATGGGACTTAGTAAGTAAGGTGATAAGTACCTTAATTGTGGTTACAAGTATAGTTACCCTGATTATAACCTCAGTTACTAAGTCCCATGATCTTTTACGTACCTCTTGAGTATATCTTACATCGAAACGTTAAGCCCCCCTATGATTGAAGGCATATTCCTTAATCAAGTGGCATTGGTCTCTGGGGTGAAGCTTCCCCTGGATTAAACAAGGAGTTTCGGGTTGAGGGCTCAGCTTTCGTGTTTTTTGCTTTAAAGTCATGCTTAAAGTAACTTCTAAACCCTAACTCCAAAACATCACTTCAACCGAACCTTGAGCCCCAAACCCTAAACTTTAGACCCCTAAGCCCTAAACCTGAAAAGCCCCAGCCCTAAACCCTCAACCCTGATCACTAGGCCTATAGCCCTAGCCCCTAAGCCGCAATCCCAAACCCCAAACCTTGAGCCTTACGCCCTACTTAAAGGATCATGGGACTTAGTAAGTAGGTTTACAATTAGGTAGCTATACTTATTTATAACCACAGTTATAGCCTTACTTACTAAGTCCCATGATCCTCCATAATAGAACCCTTATAGATCCCTTTAAGGATCCCTTTAAGGAGCCCGATTATAGGAACCCCTGAGCCTCAATCCGGCCTCATTGCTCCCAGCGGCCGCGGCTGTTCCAGGGATAGACGCCCGCAGGCTCCCCAGCGAAGGCACCGTTTGGGATCCGGTTTAGGGTTCCTTTAAAAGGGTACTTTCAAGGGTTCCTTTGAGGGATCTATGGGGGTTCAGCGTTTAGGGATTAGGGTTTAGGTCTTAGGGAGTGTTCGAGAAGAGATATTGACTATAAGTGGTACTGTAAGGGTTTGGGGATACGGGCTTCTATGGAGTTACGAGTTTCGGGGCTTAAGGATGTCGAGGATAAGGTTTTTGGACCTGCATTAGAGACTTGGCGATATTTTGAACTCTGAACCCTACGGAGCCGTAGAGCCTTTGTCTCATTCAACAACCCTCTCGAAACCTCATCCCCCAATCCCCTGCGCCCGAGACCCGAAACCCTGCACCTCACATCCGAAACACTAAAACCCGGAACCCTAAAGCCTCATCAAACCCTAAACCCTCAACCTAAAGCAAACCCTAAGCCCTAAACCCAAACCCCAAAAAAACCCTAAACTATAATGCCATGATCCCCTCATGAACCGAAAGCCCATGAGCCGGCAGACGAGACCCGAACTCTTGAGCCAAAGTCTTCGGGGTTAGACATCTTCGGTGTTGAAAGGAGTTTTACATGAGGGGCCTGAACAATTAGTAAAGTAATTCCTCAGCGTCCCGTGATAGAACCACTACATGCTACTACTATAATCTGCCCCAGACCCTATTCTAGCTTAAGTCCATTATCTTCGGGGTGCAGAGCTTGGGACCTAGGACTGAAACTGCTGGAGTTGAAGCGGAAAACAGGTCCGGCGCCAGAAACGGGACTCCTCATACCCTACACCCTGCACCCTAGACCCGAAAACCCAGACCTCTAAAACCCAAACCCTTAAACCCCAAGCGCTCAAGCCCAGAATCCCTTAGCCATGAAGCCCTAAGCCGTAAACCCTACGGCCTAGCCCCTAAACCCTATAGCTGCCTTAAGGGAACCCTTATAGTGCCCGTTAAAACGAACCCTGTAGGATCCCCTTAAAGGAACCCTAAGGCTTGAACCTGTCAGCCCTTGAGCATCTTGGTAATGTAGGAACCTGATTAAGAAACCTTGGGCCTTTGTTAGGGTTGCTTATAAGAGGATGCCCAGTAACCTAGGAATAAAGAGGGCTCCCTTTTTGGTACTGGGTAACTTTAGGGCTTTGGGATTGAGGCTTTAGTGCTTTGCTGGTCAAGGATGGAGGTATAGGGCGATGATGTATGGCTAGGCACGAAGTTCAAACCTAACCCGACACCTAAAACCGAGGCAATGCCCATGCCTGCACGAGGAAGCTTTTCGGGCTTCAGGGATCTTTAGGGTTCATGCTTTTGGGGATTAGGGAACAAAGATTCAAATTTTGGGGGGGTTTAGAGCCTTTGGTATTTGGGACTGTGCGAGAAGGGTTTAGCGGGATCAGGGATCAAGGATAATGAGATACTTGGAGGATCATGGGACTTAGTAAGTAAGGTTATAAGTACCTTAATTGGGGTTAAAAGTCTAGTTACCCTAATTATAACCCGAGTTACTAAGTCCCATGATCCTTTAAGTAATGAGATAGTGACTGAGGCTTAAGAGTCGCAGTCGTCCCGGGTAAGAGTGTAGGTTCCAAATGAAACAGCCTGCTATTGCTACGTATTATCCCGACTCTTTCGTCATCTTGAGTTCCTGCTACTTCCCCTGAGGTTACATCCTCAAGCCTAATCCCTAAACCCTAAAATCCTAAACCCTGAGCCCCAAACCCCTAAACCCTAAACCCTGAAACCCCAAACCTTAAACCCCAAAGTTTCGGGTTCAGGGTTCCGACTGAAGGATTTCGGGTAAGCTCTGAAGCATCAGGAAGCCCATCGAGCTTTCAGGTCGTCGAACACGCTACCCAGAGGGTCCATATACACTACCATTATGGAGTTAGGTTCCCAAAACCATAATAGGGATGGTCTTTTGGGACCTAATTCCATAATAGTACTGTATATGGACCCTTTGGGCTAGTTGCTATAGGGGCCGTAATAATTAGAATGGGTTTGGCGTCGTAATAATTAGAATAGGGTTTGGCGCATGTATACGAGTGTAATTGCAAGAAGGAACCCAAGGGAAGACTGATGCCGCTTGCCCGGGCCCTGCGCCCCATTTCTCCCAAACAAGCGTCGGTCTCTCTTTTGGAGCCGCTTTGGCTCGCGGGCAACTCGGGTTTAGGGCTGTGGAGTCTCGGATTGATATCGGGGCCTTCATAATTAGCATGGGGTTTTGGGGCCACTATACTATAACTAGAATGAGGAACCACCAAAATAGTATTGGCAATTATTTTTAAGCCCCTATATTAAGGTTTGGGAGTTGAGAATTAAGATGTTTAGCTTTGGTGCTTTAAGGATTCACTGATGTAGACTTCTTTGCTGCGGGCTGTTGGGGTTTCGGTGTGGGGATTTGGAGGCGCAGGGAAAGCTGGAGGTGTTGCAGGGCCCTGGGAATTTCAGAACTTTGCGTTGAGGGCTTCAGTGTTAAAAAGTCCTGGAACCTTCCTAAACCTAATGCGCTCACCTCTGCTACAGCGTGGGCACCGGAGAGTTGATAGAGGGCGATTTCGCCTGCGCAGTTTCCATAGAGTTCACGGTGAATTCAGCCGAGGGTTTAGCAATAGAAGTATGTAGATATCGTGACTTGTCTACAAGCAACACTTGCAGCTACGTGGTGTTACGGTTGATGATATAAATCCTGCATGACCTTAAGGACCCTAAACTATGGGAATTATGGTATATTCCTTACTTTGGGTGATGCAGGATTTATATCATCAACCGTATGACGAGCCGTACATTACAGGTGTGGGGATTGGGGCTGTGGGGCTGGGGGCTTGGATCTATATGGCTTTCCGCGTAAGAGTCAAAGGCTTCCCGAAACCCTCAAGGCTAAACCCGGAGCCCCTAAACCCTAAACCCCAAAACCCTTGTAGAGCCCTTTGAAGGAACCATTATACTACCCTTTACAGGAGGTCTTACAGTACCCTTTGAACTAAACCCCTCAACCCTAAACCCCAAAGCTTAGAGGTGTGGAGATCTAATGTGGACACTCGTGTTCAAAGCCCTGTCCTTCAGGTATAAACATAAGGCGCCCTAATGATTTTGCTACATAGGATTCTCAATCCCCGTTTTAAAGGAATCACACCAAGAATGCCTGTGCACATGAGCAGAATACTGCCGACCAAGGGGTAGGAGGCTGTTTCGGAATCCCATGCTTTGCCCTATTTCTGGCCTCGTTCCTACGATTTTAGTGGACTCCACAAGCGGCGACTGCGGCTGCCATGGGTAGCAACCCCGCTGTCCAAGTTCGAGCCGCACGAGGACTTAGGGGTTTAGGGTTTAGGCGGTTTTAGGGCTTAGAGTTTAGGACTAATTTAAGTATATAAGTGGATGGCTCTTAGCCGGAAACGACAAAGCCAAAGCCCCTGAACCCTGAAACCTGAACCCCAAGCAGTGGCAACAGGAAATCTATCTGCAGCCAGCTTACTTATCAGCTCCCTAAACCCTCAACCACACGTCCCTAAATTCTAGAACCTAAACCCTAGAACCCTTATACCCTTATCGGATCCCCTTACAGGAACCCGAAACCGGTAGTAAACCGGACGGAAAAGCGCTGAGGTCGAGACGAACATCAAGCCGTCCGCGGGAAAGAACGGAAACTCGATCAGCGCTTTTTCTTCAACCTGACTGGTTTAGGATTTAGGGTAGGGACTTCGGGTTTAGGTAGGGACTTCGGGTTCAGGGACTCAGGGTTCAGGGACTCAGGGTTCAGGGACTTCGGGTTTAGGGTTTGGAGTTAGGGGAGGAAGTGGAAACTCAATCGGAGCCTGTCTTCAACCTGCAGGGAGAAGGGAGGAAGGACAGGTGGTTGAGGGCTGAATATAGAGGCCTTGATGTCTAAAATGGTGTCCTTTAGGGTTCCTTGAAAGGGGTCTATAAGGGCTGCTATAAGGGTTTAACTGTTTAAACTAAAACATAGGGGCCTTAATGATTAGATTGGGGTTGTGGGGCCCGTTGTATTAGAATTATAACAAGGAAACCCCCCATAATAGTATACACTGGAAGCCCAAAAGTTGGAAATCGAATAGCCTCAATCCCTAAGAGTAAACTATGGGAGGATCCCAGCACTATTTCGCCTTAATCCGGTTTTTCAACTTTATGGGGCTTACTGTAGCTGATTATGAAGGCCCCTTTATATTAATTAACTTCACGGTTTCGACTTCTTTGCAACGTGACCTCCCTGTCAGGCTCTTGGGAAAATTTCCTCAGGCTCGGGTCTGTATGAGAATCCCCACAACCCTAAATCCTAAACCCTTAAACTTTAAACCCTTAAACTTTAAACCCTAAACCCTGAAACCCTAAACCCTAACAACCTCACCCTAACCATAGCTGTGCGCGCCCCAAACCCTCACAAATCCCCACGGCTCCGGGTTCACAGTACCTGGTTAGAATCAGTAACAATATTCCCTAGATTCCCCTCGCATGACTGCACTATAGTATCATGTACCTGGGTTGGCCCATGAAACCTTCCAAAATGTTCGCAAATAGGACCCTCCTAAGCCCAATAGGGAAAATTTGACATATTCCGAAAGGCCTATCAAGCCGATCAAGGTACTCCATAACGCTGGCACCCCGAGCCAGCCTCGTGGCGGCTGTCTGGCGGTATCTGGCTCAGGATAGAACCTGACAGGGGTTTAAAAATAGAAGCCTAAATCATTACCAACATTATTCCTTGTGTTCCCTACTACAACTTTTTCTATAAAGGAACCCAAAATCCTATTCTAGCTATTAAGGCCCCTATATTACGCGTTGAGCCCTCAATGATACACGTTTGTCAGCCTTACTTGGAAGTTCATGGGTAGTTATAAGTGGGATATAATTAGGGTAACCATAATTATAACCCATATTAGGGGACTTATAACCCCACTTATAACTACCCATGAACCTCCAAGTACAGAAACCCTGAATTGGGGATTTTAATGGTATTTTCAAATCTTCGTAAGAGCTTTGAAGAGGTTTTCTGAGGGCTTTGAAGGATTTTGTGGCAAAAGGTAAAAGACCTTGATTGGGGGCTGTGGATGGTTACGACAACAGTTACGTTCAACCCCGCATACACGGGGTTCTGTTGCAAGGTTTCCCTGATCCTGGAAGGGCCCAAAAGTGCCCGCCTGTGGCATACACGCGCTCTCTGCACCACTCCGTGGCAATGGGCATGGAGCGCCACAGATGCTGCAGCGTTCTGGCCCAGCGGTGTTTTCAGGCTTACTTGGAGGCTCATGGGGTTATAAATTAGGGTAACCATAATTACATTCCATATTAGGGGACTTATAACCCCACCTATAACTACCCGTGAACCTCCAAGTAGAGACCCTAGAGGCTCGCCAATTTATACAGTAGTTCAGGAGTGCATAACTACACGCTAAACCCCTAAGCCTTGAACCCGAAAAAACCTGCAATCCCTGTCAGGTTTCATGGGGACTCGACGTGCTGCAACATTTACATACCGACCACTCGGTAGAGCTACACACAGATACCATGAGCCTCCCAAGAGATCCCTAGGCGAGATTTGAAACCATGCGTCCCACCGAAACCCTCTTGCAATAAATACAGCCTGAATAAATAGTGAATAGTGATACTATTTCTCAGGGCTACTATGATGATACTGTAGTATACCCCAAACCCCCTTCTAACTACCCTGCTCCCAACTATGATGATACTATAGTCTACCCCAAACCCCCCTTCCGGCTACCCGAAACCCTCAACCCAAATCCTAAACCTTACGGTTTAGGCCTTAGGGCTCAGGGTTCGGGTTGTGTACTGAACCTTCAACCCAACTCGTGCAACGCTGCATGTGGCAGGCCGTGGAAGGGGTTAGTGGCTGCTACAAGAAATCAGCGATGAAGGGCCGCATTTGGAGTACGGGTTTCGGGCCATCCCAATGATCGTAGCAAAACCACAGAATACCCAGAAAGGACAGAACAGCCGAAAGAAGGAGAATAGTCACACAGACGTAGAAGTGGCTTTAACCTAACATGCAAGTAAGTAGCCTGAAGAAGCCCCAAACCCCAAGCCCTAAACCATAAACCCTGAGCGCTAAGCCCTGAACGCTTAAAATTGTCCTAAATTCCTCAAAAAGGAAGAGGCTGGGCCCTGGCCTTGTGAGCTGTATCCCGTTCCCAGCCGAGCTTTGAAGCCACCTTTCCTGTCGGGGCAGGTAGGGGGTTGGAGGAGTCAAGGTTTAGCTTGTGGTGTGATGATTTTGGACATTAGAACTTTGCAGCGTCGGCTGGGGCCTAAGCAACTCGAATACTGTTTGGGAAATTGGCCACACCAGGATATGAAGGCTCATTTCCAGGGTTCCCACCCCTTCGATTCGCTGGCTGCTGAGACAAACCCCAAAGCCCAAGAAAAGAGCTGCTTGAGGGCTTTAGCTGTTTGTGTTGGTTGGCTTTGCTTTGTTGGGGGCTTTGGGTGGTGCTATGTTGGGGCTGCCGAGGGCACCCTTCAAGTAGAATGCTTTGAAGAGTCGTTGGCCCCACCAGATACACCCACCTGGTACGATCGCATAGGAACCCTTCAAAATCCCACAAAAAACTACCGAAAGCCTTGGCACTGAACGAAACAATCTTCAAAACACCCTAAACCCTGAACCCTAAGCCCTAGACCCAAGAACAACAAAGCCATAGTGCTGATCGATGCGGAGTTTAGGACTTAAGGCTTCTAATGCTGCTGTCGACCCCTGGTTAACCGTAAATTTTAGAAGGGATTCTAACATTAGGGCCCACAAGGAGGGTTTAGTATTCAGGGTCTACATGGAGGGTTTCGGGTTTAGGGTCCACAGGGTTCAGGGTTAAGGACTTAATTAGAATCTGAGCCTTCCAAGCTTCAGAGGTGAAACTTGAGGGTTGTAAGTTCCTCTAAACCCTAAACACTGAACCCTGAAACCTAAACCTAAACCCAAAACCCCTAGACCCTAAACTTCGTTGATAAAAGGCGACGCGGCCGCGGGGAGGCTTCAGGGGCTTTCCGGTTTCGGGTTTAGGGGTTTGAGCTTTAGGGCTTCCGGGCTCCGAGGGCCGTTTCGGGCTTCATGGAAGCCCCCAAAATGGTATAGGAAATTGTCGAAGCCCCTAGACCCTAAACCCTGAGCCCTATAGATCCCTTAAAGGAACTCTTATAGTACCCTTTAAAGGAACCCTAATTATTTAGGCCCCGATATCAGCGGTCTTCTGTGAGGCTTCGGGCTCTTGGCTGAGGGCTTCCGGGCTTTATGGATTTTTTAAGGGCTCCTTTAAAGGATGCTTTAAGGGTTCCTTTAAAGAGCTCTAGAAGGGTTTAGGGTTTAGGGTTGGGGGTTTAAGGTTTTGGGGTTTAGGTTCTGAAGCTTCGCGTGTACAGTTTAGTTCATCGCTTTTAGGCTGCAGGGCTGCAGGGTTTAAGGGGTGTCAGGGCTTCAAAGCTTCGGACATTAACATTTTGGTAGGCTGCGAGATCCTTGGGATTGCTAGCTTAGGTTCCGGAGTGGACTTTCGATAATAAGGGTGCCCATTTCCCTACTATTTGGCTTGAATAAGGGGGCCCCAAACTAAAAAACTGCAAAAGGGTAGTACTCAGGAACCCTAAACCTTAAACCCTAAACCCTCATCCCTAAACCCTAAACCCTCACCCCTAGACCCTAAACTTTTAGGGGCTGCGCCCTTGTGCGCCCGGGGTTGTCCGAGGCCAGCACGGCTTGAAGTTGGGGTCGTCGTCGTTGTACATCGACGCTGCTTTAGCACGGGCGATTTGGGCGGCCTCCTTTCGACAGGTTGCCGACGGCTTCGAGTTTCTTTCCGCGCGAGCAAGCAGCCTCCGCGTCCGTTCGTGCCACACCATCGCCGGCCTCGATGCAGCGGGCGATGATCTGAACTTTGGCACACTTCGTTCTATTCCTGCCTGCTGGGTATGGTTAGAGGCACCGTCCTCGGGAGTCGGATGCCATGACTCGTACTCTTATTTTGCAGATCGGATTCTCTTCGAGCGCCTCGTCAAGATGGCCGAAGAGTTCCTGATCATGTCGAGTTCTCCGGCTCTTTCTGAAGGCACGTCTTCCGCGGCCTGCTCGTACTGAGCGTCCGTCTCCGTGTCGTGATGTGGTCGGACTGCAGGTTTGGGGGCCTCGGTTGCAGATGGAGTATTGGCAACAAATCAAGCCACGGCCGAGCGTCATTGCCTCGGAACACACGGCGGGTGCTGCTTCCTGGTCCTCTGTGGCCGCGTTTTCCTTTTCCTCCTGCGTCAGCTTCGATGCTGACTAAGCTGGAGAGGATGCATGTTGACAAGTCGAGGCGAGTCTGTCGCTCTCGCGCGTTTGCGCCTTGGCCTTCAGCAGCATGTACTGCATGAGCACTTCCTGCTATCAGGACATGCCTCAGGAATGGAGGCATTGCTTGCACGCGGCCTGCTTCTTCGGCTCGCGGTTCCACAGGGCTCGCAGCTGGTCACGCACCGGAGCCAGCTCCTCTGCGGTCAATCTTTAGAACATTGGATTCTAGGCCGCGCAAGATTCCGGGTCGGCCTTCTCCAGCTTGGCCGCTTCCTCCTTTTTCTTTTTTTCCTCTGCCCGTTTGTCCGCCTTCCGCGTCTTGTCCTTCTCGCGGCGGTCCTGGAGCTTCTTGAAGGCCTGCACGCCATACTGCAAGTCTGACACGGGGCGTTGAGTCGCAACATGACTAGCAATCGGTCCTGCTCCCCGAGGTCTTTTGCTTCGGCCCGAATTTTTTTTCGGGCCTCGTACTCTCTGTCTTTGGGGTCTTTGCGGACCTTCGAAGGCAAAATGACCAGCCGCCGCGACAGGTTCATGCGCTATGCCGGCCTGCTTCCGATGGGCTTCCTTTCGGGCCAGTTCGGCTGCTTCCTTCGCAGCCTGCCGCGCCTGCTTCGCGGCCTCCGCGCGGTCCCGCTTGCGCTTTTGCGCAGCAAGACGGGCAGCTTTGTCGTCCTGCCAAGCCAAGTCATGTCCACTTCCGGAGTCGCATGAGTCTCAAGACCAACATAAGCAACGCGTGACAAGCTTAGCTCAAAGTTACCAGCCATGTGGGGAAAGTCATCGTCCTGGACCAAGAAGATTGCTGGGAAGAACACGGAGTACATGCAAGATTCGTGGAGCACGACATCGTGGAGTCAGCCCAGCAAGGGAGATTGGAGCAATTCGCCGGTGCAGCCGACTGGTGGACCTCAACCGGAGCCTCGGGATCTGACGGCTACGTAGGCGGAGCCGCCAACGGCTGGGACGACTCCGCCTGGGCTAAGGGCAAGGAGCAGCCCAAAGGCAAGGGAAAGGAGTGGATCGAAACTAAACCCTAAAAGGCGGAGCTGGTTAAGGGTGGGAGCCGCCCTTTATGGGCGCGGGCGGGAAAAGAAATGCTGATGCGGCCGACCCAAGGCCCCAGTCTCCGATGCTCTCACGCGCACTCCGAAGCCGAAACAACTCTCAGCGGAATTGGGCGTCCAAGCGGGGTGGCAACGACTGCTGTGCTTTGCGTAAACCCTCATCCCTAAACCCTAAACCCTCACCCCTAGACCCTAAACTTTTAGGGGCTGCGCCCTTGTGCGCCAGCGCAGCATTTTGTGGTTTTCATTGTAGGAAGCAACGTCAACAGAGATTCAAGCCCATTTACTTAAACCTTTGGAGGACTTGGGCCTTTTGTGGATGAAGCTTTTGTGAGGAACTGGGGCTGGGGATGGCTGGGGATGGTGCTGGTGCTGGCGCTGGTGCTGGCTGGTGCTGGGGCTGGGGCTAGGGCGCTGGGGCTGGGGGCTGCAAATTTAACTTCACTCGAGGGCTGGGGTTGGGGCTGGGGCTGGGGCTGGGGCTGGGGCTGGGGCTGGGGCTGGGGCTGGGTGGGGCTGGGGCTGGGGGCGCTGGGGCTGGGGCTGGCGCTGGGGCTTGGGGGCTGGGGGCTGCAAATTTAACCAAACACATTGCGAGCAGAGGCTTGCGCAAAGCGAAGGTTTGAAAACATCCGATTCGACCAATCCCATCCGCAAACCGATTTTGCGATTTGAAGAGATTGGAGGGCACTGCTGTGGGCTGGGGAGGCTGGGCTGGGGAGGATAGGCTGGGCAAATTCAACCAAACCCAAGTGCGAGCAGAAGCATTAATTACCTTTTTTGAAACCTCGCTCGAAGCGACGCGTTGAAAACATCCGATTTGACGAGTCAAATCCCGGGCTGCGCGATTTTGCGAATTTGACGAGATTGGATGTTAGGGCAGCCCCTTGGCCCACGCGAAAAGCATGGCTTCGTGGACCCGCTTGTAAATATGCTGTCACCGACATACCTCGCGCAACGAGAATTGGCATGGCTCGAGAAATCGAACATCACTTCGGCAGCGAAGCCAGCTTGAAGTCATCGGGTAAACCAAAGCCAAAGTTTATTGCAAGCAGGAGCATTGGCAACCTTTGCGATTCCGCCATCAGACGAAAAGTTTCAAAACTAGGGACCAGGGCAGCCCCCTTATAGAGGCAGTTGTCCTGGGCGCCACGCTGCGCTGGCTAACCCTAAGCCCTAATCCCTAAACTTTTAGGGGCTGCGCCCTTGTGCGCCAGTGCAGCATTTTGTGGTTTTCATTGTAGGAAGCAACGTCAACAAGATTCAAGCCCATTTACTTAAACCTTTGGAAGACTTGGGCCTTTTGTGGATGAAGCTTTTGCGAGGAACTGGGGCTGGGGATGGCTGGGGATGGTGCTGGTGCTGGCGCTGGTGCTGGCGCTGGTGCTGGGGCTGGGGCTAGGGCAAGCGCGGGCGCTGGGGCTGGGGGCTGCAAATTTAACTTCACTCGAAGCAAAAATGTGAAAACTTCCGATTCGACCAATTGGTTTTGCGATTTGAAGGAAGCTTTTGTGGGGAACTGGGGCTGGCCGGGGCCGGGGCTGGGGCTGGGGCTGGGCTGGGGCTGGGGGCTGGGCTGGGGCTGGGGTTGGGGGGGCTGGGGCTGGGGTTGGGGCTGGGGCTGAACACATTGCCAGCAGAGGCTTGCGCAAAGCGAAGATTTGAAAACATCCGATTCGACCAATCCCATCCGCGAACCGATTTTGCGATTTGAAGAGATTGGAGGGCTCTCCGCCAGTCTACCCGACAGTTTGAAGGACCAATCACCTTGTGTAGGGTTCGGTGCTTAGTCTCGGATTCCTGGGCACCGCTTCCTCCAGTAGCAATTGTGTTTTCACGAAATCGTAACCCTTCCTACTTGTGGGCGTCCCTGTAAGACGAATCCTGTGTCCAAGGATCTGGCTGGCAGCGCAGCTGGTCCAGCAACTCGGGAATATTGTAGCTTTGCCTTAGCAATCTGTAGCCGTGGTGCAGTAGCAAACTCCGAATTCCAAAGTTCAGAACGCAGAGGTCAACAATGGGCTGACGCAAAAAGCTGCTGACCCGTTTGTCTCTTCAGCGCGAAGACATGAGCGTCAATTGATGCATTAATTAGCATGTGCTTTGCACAGCATTGGCAGAAAGCGTCAAGCTCTGGCCAGCATTCGAAATGAACCTTATCACCTTCTTGGCACTCCAAACCATGAGCGTCTACTGTATGGTGGCCGTTTTCGGATCAGCCCGTGATAGACTGTATGTACATTAACCGTGCGGGGTGTGGGGTTACAACAGTTGCATCTCATTTTTCATCCGGATTGAAATGAAGAATGCTGGCGGAGCAAAATCACGCCGCCTCGGAGCAGATGACGATGTTTGTATCTTTGGCGCTTGGATGATTTATTCCGGGTCCTCAAGCTCGCATTTCGTCATCTGCTTCTCCTGGGCTCGAGGCAGGCGTTGTAGCACTGGATTTGGCTGCTGACGCCAGCGAGGCCGCACGGCTGGGGGCTGCAAATTTGACCAAACACATTGCGAGCAGACTCGCTCGAAGCGAGGAATTGAAAACATCCGATTCGACCAATCCCATCCGCGAACCGATTTTGCGGTTTGAAGAGATTGGAGGGCACTGCTGTGGGCTGGGAAGGCTGGGCTGGGGAGGATAGGCTGGGCAAATTCAACCAAACCCAAGTGCGAGCAGAAGCATTAATTACCTTGTTTGAAACCTCGCTCGAAACGACGCATTGAAAACATCCGATTTGACGAGTCAAATCCCGGGCTGCGCGATTTTGCGAATTTGACGAGATTGGATGTTAGGGCAGCCCCTTGGCCCACGCGAAAAGCATGGCTTCGTGGACCCGCTTGTAAATATGCTGTCACCGACATACCTCGCGCAACGAGAATTGGCATGGCTCGAGAAATCGAACATCACTTCGGCAGCGAAGCCAGCTTGAAGTCATCGGGTAAACCAAAGCCAAAGTTTATTGCAAGCAGGAGCATTGGCAACCTTTGCGATTCCGCCATCAGACGAAAAGTTTCAAAACTAGGGACCAGGGCAGCCCCCTTATAGAGGCAGTTGTCCTGGGCGCCACGCTGCGCTGGCGAACCCTAAACCCTAAGCCCTAATCCCTAAACCCTAAACCCGCTAAACCTTGGGATTGTGTTTTGAAAAAAAAAACTCCGGCGCAAAAAATCAAGAAAGCCAAGGGGCCAAGCCGCACTCTACGGCGAGGTCGTGCATTTTCTTCAGCATGCCCTGTGCAACAGGGTCGCAGTTAGGGTTTAGGGTTTAGGGTGCTAGGGTTTGGATTTGGCGGTTTAGGGGTTTAAGGTTTAACAGGTTTCCAGTTTAGGGTTCAGGGTTTAAGGTTTAGGGTAGTCGGGGATAGAGTGCGGGATTTCGATGCCTTCAAATTAGGTATCGCGTGCAAGACAACACGAGGTTCCCAATCAGGGGCCCGTTCGGCTGTTCGTGGCTCTGGTCTGGGTTTCAGGAGTCACGGTATAGAGGTTTTGGTTTGGTTTGGGCTAAATCCTAAACCAAAAGTCCTGAACCCTAAATCCTGAACCCGAAGCCCTAAATCCTAAACCCTAAACCGACTAAACCTCAGGGAGTAAAACGTTGGACGCACCGAGCAGGGAAGCCAGAGCGTGGCACCCCAAACATCTGTATACTCTTGTTAACTCCAAGGGCTTTAGTGGCTTCATTTAAGCTAGGGGTTTAGGGTTTAGAGTTTAGGGCTTATAGGCTTTAGAGTTTAGAGTTCAGGGTTTAGGATTTGAGTACGTAACTTACCATATTAAGGAAAGCATAGACATGTGTTCTGTAAACTGAACCTGAGCTCCTTAACAAGAAGCTAAATGTCTACCGGGCTGACATCGGAAGACCCGCAGAAGACGATATGAACTGGGGTTATAAGGGTTTTAGGGTTCCTTTAAGGATTCTATAGGGTTTAGCAAGTAGGGTCTAGGATAGTTAGAAATGGGGTTGTAAGTAGGGTAACCACAATGGTAACGCATATTAAGGGACTCAAAACCGGGAAACCCATCAAAAAAAACTTTTTTTCAATCAAAAAAACTTTCAGCGAAAATCAAAAAAAACTTTTTCACCAATCAAAAAAAACTTTTTTCCAATCAAAAAAAACTTTCTCCATGTGTAGTAGTAGTAGTAGTAGTAGTAGTAGTAGTAGTAGTAGTAGTAGTAGTAGTAGTAGTAGTAGTAATAGCAATAGTAGTAGTAGTAGTAGTAGTAGCAGCATCTGGTTTTTAAATTCTTCCCAGGCACAAGCTTGCTTGCCCACTCTTTTTGTGAATCCAGGAAGGACTGTCTGGTGTCAAAACCTGTCTCTATTACAGTGGTTGAGGTCACTGGATAAGGACTGTCGTCCGTTTTCCGGGGTCTGCCGGTTTTCTTTGTGTCGGCTTCCTTCTCGGAGGCCTCAGCAGGCTCTTTGGCCTGGCGCGGCTTCTTTTTGGCCTTGGCCTCTGCTGCTGCTGCTGCCTCGGCGCGCTTGCCCCCGCCCTGCATCTCTGGCAATGCAACCGGGGCAGGGTCGCCTTGGTCGCTTGCGGTGCGCTGCGGCAAAAAAGCTGCAGTGGGAGGTACAGTCCACAAGGATAGAGGAACTTGGACTCCCTCGGCGCGCTTGCCCCCGCCCTGCATCTCTTGCAATGCAACCGGGGCAGGGTCGCCTGGGTCGCCTGCGGTGCGCTGCGGCAAAAAAGCTGCAGTGGGAGGTACAGGCCACAAGGATAGAGGAACTTGGACTGCCTCGGCGCGCTTGCCCCCGCCCTGCATCTCTTGCAATGCAACCGGAGCAGGGTCGCCTTGGTCGCCGGCGGTGCGCAGTTAAATCATGGCGAAGCGTAGGGCCAGGTGCCAGCTCTGCAGTGAACGCCTTTAACCGAGGCCCACAAGGGGGAGAGAAAAAAAAAAGGGCAAAGAAAAAAAAAAGACAAAAAAAATAGGGTCCCCTCCTTCCTGCCTTCCTTCCTGTCTGCCTGCCTGCCTGCCTTCCTTCCTTGCTGCCTTGCTTCCTTCCTTGCTTCCTTGCTTCCTGCCTTCATTCCTTCCTTTCTTCCTTCCTTCCTTCCTGCCTTCCTTCCTGTCTGCCTGCCTGCCTTTCTTCCTTGCTGCCTTGCTTCCTTCCTTGCTTCCTGCCTTCCTTCCTTCCTTCCTTCCTTCCTCGCCCTTTCTCCCCGCCTTCCTTCCTTCCTTCCTTCCTGCCTTCCCTCCTGCCATCCTTCCTTGCTGCCTTTCTTCCTGCCTTCCCTCCTTCCTTCCTTCCTTCCTTCCTTCCTGTCGTGCTTCCTTTAATAAGGGAAAGTTTTTTTTTTATTGGAAAAAAGTTTTTTTTGATTGAAAAAAAATGATTGAAAAAAAAATGATTGGCATCCCCTCAAAACCCCACTTCTACCACGCATGAACCTCCAAGTACCTCAACCCCAAATAGATGATTATAAGGAAATCATAGCAAGGAGGCTTCAAGGTAGGATATTCAGGGTTCAGGCAGAGCCCTAGACCGAGCCTCCATCCAAGTTGCTTCGAGCCTCTCCCAGTCTTCCAAGAGGTTCTGTCCTTCACGGTTCGCGTTGGCGCTTGGGGTTTGAGGTGTTGGGTTTAAGGTTTTGGGTTTCGAGTAAGGGTATTTTAGGATTTATGACGGGCATACACTCAACCCGAGAGCTTACTAAAAAGCCTGCCACTGGAACCAGCTGTTCGGGTTTGTGCATTGGGTTCAGCGTTCAGGAGCTAAGAAATGATTTTGGACGTTTGCCTGTCGGATGGCGTACTGATCCGGACCCGATGCTGAAAGACAAGAGCATACTGCCACTAGAACGACGACGACGACGGCTCATGCTTCTCCCCTTCCTCATAGCACTCTGCCATTTTTGTCCAAGTCCCTGCTTCGGTACACCTCAGCCCTGAAATGGCACGCCCCCGAAACCACAGACTCCTCAACCCAGAAGGGCAACAGAGCGTTGAGTGGTTTGAAGTTTAGGGTTTAGGGTTTAGGGTTTAGGGTTTAGGGTTTAGGAGTTTCAAGCCCTTAAGCTTGCACCCAAACCTTCGCGCTGCTTTCTTCTGGGCCCGTGGCTTCAGCCAAACATTCTAGAAGAATGAATCAGACGCAGGTACCATAAACAGAAATGCTCATGAGAATAGTAATAGAGCCAGAAGAAGCAGAAGAACAAGACCAGTAACAGTAACAACATGTCAACAAGTACACGAGTACTAATGGCTGACAGTAGCTACATTGGCAACTGTTCTTAACATCTACATGTCTAACAGTTAACATTTACAAATGCACTCAGTGGCATGCATCCACATTGGAATTCAACATGTGTGTGTGTGTTGAGTTGGGCACCGTAACACGCTATGCTCGCCCAGGTTAAGCCTTATGTTGGACTGTACCAGATTCATGTGTTAGCATGTGCTGTCTTACACCTCGTGCAAATTCCGCCGGATGGCAACTTTGCATTGGACGTATCTAAAACCTGCGCTTACATGTACAAAGCAAATCACAGCCTGAAGCAACAAAGAAATACTGAGATGGAAAAAACTGCATAAATGAACATTAGTACGATAGCTGACAAAAACCCGAAACCCTAAAACCCGACCAAAAGCCTTAGCATAGAACCCTTGCAAGGACCCTTCAAGGAACCCCATACAACTCTTCTACGACCCCTCAACAACTACAGTACAGTAGAAGCCAGAAAGTTGGAACGTCATGAGCCTCATGCCCTGAAAGTAAATATGGGGGATCCCAGCATGAATCATGCTAAATCTGCGTTCCAAATTTATGGGGTTCACTTTATTATAAACATACTTATCGTCCCCTAGCCATGAACCCAAATATGTGGGTTCCTTTCAACTCCGGCGCCACGGTGCGGGCCAGGAATCCTCGGGCGTGCAGCTCTTCGGTGGGGTCTGGGGCCTTGTAGCAAACTACACAGGGCGCTAATCAATAGAATCGTTTATCGGGCTTCATAGAGCTTCTACTATGGTGCCGTTTTATAAGTTTTTTAGCTAGCTTCGTAACAGGGTGCTATAGGGCGTGGGTATAGTTCACAGAAAATGCCACAGGACTTTATGAATTCTGTTACCAACCAATCTGTCCACATTAGCCGCTCTGTTGTCATAGCTATGTGGCCGTAAGGTTTGAAGGGTTTAACGGCTTGAAAGTGAAAGAAGGTACGAAGCTTAAGTAGGTTTTGAAGGCCGCGGGGATGTGGGCTTTCAGGAGATGGTGTTTAAGGCCTAGGGCTTTGGGATTGGAGGTTTCGGTCGTAGGGACTGGGGCATTGGGCTTGCTGTCCGTTATATAACGGTTTTGCAGATCTTTAAGAAACGGTTGTACAAGGCTCTTCTGATTGATCCTATAAGGGCTCTACAAGGGCTTAGGGGTTTCGATGCAGCTGGGTAGGCGCTGGGAAACGATAGAACAACAAACACAACCACAACGACCGAAAACAACAGCAAAAGCCGCTGCAAAATCCGGAATAGTCTAGACAACGCAAACAGACGACGAAGATCATTGCCATCACAACCTGAACCATCGCAGAAACTGAGGCCCGGAAAGCACTGACTTTGGTTGCCGAGGGGCCAAGGGGCAGCACTGCCCTCATTGACCTAAATTGCGGCTGCGGGCTTGGGAAGGTTTGCGGTTTTTGCAGCTTCAATCATTCGAGTAGGGTTTGAGGTACTTCGTCGTATATTGTTATACTGGTATAGGAACTATGAGGGAATACTAATATAGCTACTCCAATCCCCACATTAAGGGCCTTTGGCTTGCGAGAAGGGGGTCCTCGTCAGCTCGGGAGAGGTTCATCGGATGAGTTGCAAGGAAGGTCCACTGTGGCGGTTTAGGGTTTAGTGGCAATCGAAAGCTCACCATGAACCCTAAACCCTCAACCATCCTACAAAAACCGGAAAGCCCGACACTAGCCCCCAAATGATATAATAACTTGGAGACCTGAAAGTGGTAAACCCTGCAACCCTGCAATTCCAAACCCCACAACCCTAAACCCTAAACGACTAAAACCGTTTCCTCTGAAAGACGGCCGTAACCCTAAACCCTTAGCCCTGAAGCCTAAACCCTAAAACCTAAAGTCCGTCCCTCTGAAAGAAGCCGGGCTTTTCTCAGAGTCCCGAGCTGTCTCTCGGGTGTTGCACGCAGCACCTGCGGGGGACTTGTCGTTTGGGGTTGCGGGGTTCGGGTTGTTTTAGGGTTTAGGGATTTCTACGTGGGTATAGGGGTTTTGTGATGAGAAGTTGGGGATTTGGGAGCTTAAGTCTATCCCCTCCTCCGCAACTCCTTCAAGACCCCGGTTCGATGCGCAGGAGTTGTGGGTCAAGTTTACGACTGCACCCTACGACTGGCCCCCAAACCTCCAAACCCACGATGATCTCCAAAAGACCTACTACTTAAAGGATCATGGAACTTAGTAACTAGGGTTTTAATTAGGGTAACTATATTTATAACCCCACCTAAGGTACTTATAACACCTTACTTACTAAGTCCCATGACCCTCCAAGTACGTACTTGCAAAGCCCTGTATAGAACCAGTCACAACACTTCAGAAACGGGCAAATCACGTCCATGTAAGACGTTGGAAATGCTGAAAACACACACACACACAAACAAACGCAAGCCTGAAAATGTGCCGCAGACTTTAAATCCCTGAACCTATGTTGCGGTTGACGGCCCCTCCTCTTCAGCGCTGAAGCACTGACCCAGGTGGTTGCGGCCCTGGAGAAGGAGTTGTAGATTGCGTGATGTTGTCAATGTGTTTTTTGAGGTGTTTAGGGCTTGGGGTTTAGGCTGCAGGGTGTCGGATTTAGGGGTTAACGGTTAAGGCTAAGGGTTTTAGAGTTTTGGGTTTGGGACACAGGGTCTTTTGGAAGTGCCTCATCCCCTAATCATCAAGTGGATCGTGCAGTCCCGTTTTTCTTTGAGGCAAGCCCCTGAACGCTAGGTTTCGGGCGCAGCTTCAAGCGTCATGACACCTGGCGGCAACTGTCACAGCCGCTCTGAGAAATGGTGGCTCGGTGTTGACCGTCCTGAAGCATTGGCTGTGAGGATATGCGCTGATGACGATGATGCAGTTGGAGACCGAGGTTGATGGTGAGGGGGAACATGATGGTGATGACGATGATAAGATGCGACCGACGCTGACGATGAGGGTGATCAGAATGATGATGAAGGAACAGAAGATGATGCTGAGACGATAACGACGACACTGAAGATGCTTTGGAATGTCCTGCAAACCTGCTTATGCAACGGCATGCTCTGTATGGCAGCAGAGCGTCTGACATCCTAGGCTGCTCTGGCATCACAACTAATATAGCGGGCTTAATATGTTGAAAGGGTTTTGCGAGTCTACTCTAGTTGAAAAAGAATAGTAGTAGTCATCACAAATAAGGAAACCCCTAAGGAGCAGTATTAGTATTTATTCATATTTCAAGCTGCTGTATTATCTGTCTAGCTGCTACGGGGGGCACACAAGGCGGCGACCAACGATCCACTTTTACAGCTACGCCAGGGGCACGGAATTTACGGTTGATCCTGCACGCGGAGCACGAGCTCCCACAAGGAGAAAGCCTTACGAAAACCCTGAAACAGCCCCGTTAAAGATAGAATAATTCGAAGAGAGCTATGGCATGAACCCGAAACCCGAAAGTCCTAAACAAAGCCTTGGCATAAGCCTGAAACCTCCTTCTGGAACCAGAATCCAAGCAACATCTTTAAAAGCATCCTTTGGGGTCAGATCCACGGAAAGCCCAGAGAAAGCAAAAAAACTCCAGAACCCCCAATTACTCCTCTCCCCCCCCTCGACCGCAAATCCTAAACCCTAAACCAAAATGCCCAAAAAAACGCCTCTCAACCGCCCCTCCTTACCAATGGAGGAATGGGGTACAATTATAACTACTACTACTACTACTACTACTACTACTACTACTACTACTACTACTACTACTACTACTACCATTCTTCCATTCCCTACTAACCAAAGGTAAGTCGGGCCGCGCCTCGTGCATGCCTGCAGCACACCGAAATGCCTTGTCCATGGTGAGACCCACAGACTCCAAGAGGAGGCTTACCTTAGAAGGGGCCCCCACCCTGTAATAGTGGTATAATGGGAATATTAAAGGGCCCTAATATGATCCGTATAGTCACTATTACAGGGTGGGGGCAGCTTCTAAGGCTTACCTGAGAGTGTTTCATGCAGGAGCCATCCCTTCTTCGAGTTCCAAAAAAGGGGTCAGGACTACTGTAAGGGTTTAGTATAGGGGCATTTTATAATGATTAGAAATAGGATTTGGGGGGTATATTATACAATAAATATAATAAGGAGCCCCCGAAACCCTATTCTTATTATTGGGATTCCTACATTAAATGCTGGGTTTAAGACTCAGGTTTTAGGGGTGCTTGTTGGAATAAAATCCCGGGGTGTGTTTTGGGGTTTCCTTCTGGTTGATGAAAACGTTAATTTGCGCAGGGTTTTGGGCATTCAAGAGTAGGCTCATCTAAGTGTTTCAATAATAGGAGGTTTGAATACTGAATAAGGTGTCATAGGATTCCTTAGCCGGGTTGGTTACTAGAAGGGCTTGGTATAGCAAAGGCTGACCTCGGCGTTTTGAGTAAAGGGGCCTTAATAATACCGCAACATACTTCTTTCCGGTTCTTTTCAGGCCTACTAGAAGGGTTTACGATAGGGGCCTTTCAATAATTTTTGGGGCTAGGTGAAGGTGCTTGGCGGGGCTTCGGGTAGGTGGGCTATTGTGCTTCTCGGGTTTCGGGTTTAGGTTCGTCATAAGGGCCATGCTTGGTTTACGGGATCAGGTGTGAGGCTTCAGCGAAGAAGGGTCAAAGTCTGGGAGTTTCGAAGTTCATGTCGGGGTCTTTTGGGGGCATCGGGTCCTGAACCACTTGGGTCTAGAGCTTAGGGTTTGTAGGGTTCGGGACCCTAAGGTCCTGAAGCCTACACCCTGAGACGCTTGGGTCTCGGGCTTAAGGTTTGCAGGGTTTCGGGGCCCCAAGGTCCCGTGCAGGGCCCTAAACCCTAAACCCTAAACCCTACACCCCAAGCCCTAAACCCTAAACCCTAAACCCCAAACCCTAAACCCCAAACCCTAAGCCCCAAACCTTAAAGAAGCTCTCACGAGGAACAGCTGAGGCGCCCACTGTCAGGCTCGTCGAGTAGGGCGACCCCATCTGACTCCCGCGCTTCTTTACCTGGCTAGAGGTTAAACCCGTAAATGGACACAAAAATGCTATCCATTTAGGTACCCCCCCTCATTATCCAATATTGCGGGTGGGGGGATGTTCGGATTTAGGGTTATTGTTTAGGGTTGGATTTCGCGTCCTTCGCCTGGGCTGAGGGGCGTATCGAGCACCTCGGGATGAGGGCTCAGGAGTTATGGGATGTGGGGGAACCAGTTACCAGAGTTCCACATCAATAAGGGCTCTGTAAGGTTTTGTTACAGGACTCTTTGACACGAGCTGTTGATCGTTTTTGTTTGTTTGCTTGTTATTGTCTGGCCGTTCGTCGGTCCATGCATGCATCCGTCTGTCCGTCAGTGTCAGTGTTCTCTCTCTCTCTCTCTCTTTCTTGCTCGCTCCTGGCTCCATGTATCTCTGCCAGAAAATGCAGCAATAGCCAGCATATTCTGAAACCTGCATCCAAGAACAGCAAGCTCAGCGCTTTGCGTCTGGGAAATCCACAGCCGTGGAACCTTGAACCGAGGATCCTCTAGCCATGCGCCCTGCAATGTTCGCAACTTCCTCGTAGACCCCGAAACCTACTTGCAGGTTCATTAGCAGTTTTTGGTGGGGTTATAAGTCCCCTAAAATGGGTAACAACTATGGTTACCCTACGTATAACTACCCATGAGCCTCCACGTATACTCCACTGGCCAGAGTGGAGGGTTTTTTGGGCTTGGCTGGCGGGGACCAGGAGGCTTCTTAGAAGCAATATAGGGGCCTTAATAATTACCCATACGATTCCTTTGGGTTCCTTATTATGATTAGATTATACAGGGCCCCAAAACCCTATTCTAATTATTGAGCCCCCTGCAGTATGGTACGTTTTACATGGCCATAGTTACGTTACGTATTACCCTCAAGACGGTCGTATCGCCATGCTTCCTATTCATGACCCCTACTTAAAGGATCATGGGACTTAGTAACTGGGGTTATAATTGGGGTAGCTATACACCCCCATTAGGGTACTTACAACCTTACTTCCTAAGTCCCATGATCCTCCAAGTAGCCATGGAACCCCGTAGAAAACCTTGCAGAATCTAATTTCTGGCCTTCGGCTTGATAGGGCTTTCGATTCCTCTTCCTCGGCTAGCTTTTTTGGAGCTCCTCTTTGATGACTGCCCAATCCTCTGAACATTCACCGGTTTAGGGCCGTTTAGTTTTAAACACCCGAAAAAAACGCGCGAAACCCAGCAGGACCGCCTCATCCGACAGGCCAAAAGTGCTGGTGGCCTCGGCCGCTAGATTCTCCAGCGGAACAGTCCCCCATGCTCCCGGGCTCCTATAAGGGGTTACTATAAGTGTACTATTAAGCTTCCTTTAGAGGGCCACGTGGCTGCTCGTCTGTTGTTGTGCTCGCTGCTAGGTTTCTGCTTCCGTCGTAGCTGCTCTCTCGAAAGCAGCTTAAAATGTGTAATCTATGCTTTTGTCATCTCAGCACGATGCTGGACAAGACAGGTGTCGTAGTAGTCGTCGTCGCAGTAGCAGTGATAGTAGCAGTACTAGAACCATCAGAGGTAGAAGAAGTAGTAGTAGTAGTAGAAGTAGTAGTAGTAGTAGTAGTAGTAGTAGTAGTAGTAGTAGGAGTAGCAGTAGTAGTAGTAGTAGTAGTAGTAGTAGTAGTAGTAGTAGTAGTAGTAGTCCTAGTAGTCCTAGTAGTAGTAGTGGTAGTAGTAGTAGTGGTAGTAGTAGTGGTAGTGGTAGTGGTAGTGGTAGTGGTAATGGTAGTGGTAGTGGTAGTGGTAGTGGTAGTGGTAGTGGTAGTGGTAGTGGTAGTGGTAGTGGTAGTGGTAGTGGTAGTGGTAGTGGTAGTGGTAGTGGTAGTGGTAGTGGTAGTGGTAGTGGTAGTCGTAGTCGTAGTCGTAGTCGTAGTCGTAGTCGTAGTCGTAGTCGTAGTCGTCGTGGTCGTGGTCGTGGTCGTGGTCGTGGTCGTGGTCGTGGTCGTGGTAGTGGTGGTGGTAGTGGTAGTGGTAGCAGCAGCAGCAGCAGCAGCAATATTCATCACGAATAGTCGTAGGAGTAGCAGTAGGGATAGCAGTAGCCGAAGCCGAAGCTGAAGCCGTGGCCGTGGCCGTGGCAGCAGCAGTCGCAGGTTCAATAATAGCAGCTGCAGTAGCAGAGACAGCAGAAGAAGTGGCAGCAGGAGAAGCAGCTGCAACAGTAGTAGGAATTGCTACAGTCGTGTCCCTGAGAACTGATGTCTGGCCTCAGAAATTGAACATGCCCTGCCACACCCAAACCCCACTGAACCATCGGTGTTCGTCGCCATAAATCCTAAGCCCTAAACCCTACGGAATCCTCGATGTTCGTCGAGGTGCATGAGGGAAACCTCGAGGGAGGTATAAAACATCACCGGGTGCGAGAGTCTCGTCGATCAGCATGTCGCCAACCTCGCAGAACAACAAAGGGAACAGCATGAAGACAACTTTAGAATAGGTTTTAGGGTTTAGGGTTTAGAACCTCGCAGAATAACAAAGGGAACAGTGTGAAGACAACTTTAGAATAGGATAGAGGAGGGCCACGAAAGCTTGCGGAAGTAGGAGCAAGGGGGCATGGACGGCATCTTAGACTCTGTTCAGGGGCTGGGATTTCGCGGCTGAGAGAGGGGTTGAAGCTTTTCTTGCTCTGGGAAGGGGGTTGGGGGTTTGAGAAGGGAACTTAGGGTTTTAGGGCTTGGGTTCCAGCTTAAAGGGCATGGCCAACCTAGGGCTTGCGGTTTATGCTGAAGCCTTCACAGCAAAGGCTTTCAACCCATAAACCCTGAACCCCAAAGACCCTAAACCCAAAACATGTCCCGGAAACGCCAAACCCCTGAAATCCTGAAACCTGACGCCCTCATCTCTATACGTCTCTCCATCACAGAACCACGAGACCCTTCAACCCTTCTCCCATAGCAACGTAAAGCACTAATTCCCAAACTCAAACACTAAACCCCCTCCTCTAAGACCCAAGAACTCACGCCCCAAAGTGCACGCGAAGAATTGAAAGACTTAAAAAGCCCAAGCAAAAGACCCGAGCCATTTCCCCTGCCATCTACCTCTAAACCCTGAACCCTGAACCCCCAAGCCCCACAGGCCCCCAAACCCTAAACCCCCTCCTGCTCCAGGTAAAGGACATCTCCGGCCTTCCCCCTGGCGGAGATCGAATTAGAGCTTCACGTCTGTTTTTTTTTGAAGTTGATGTGCCCCCCTTTCTGCAAAGCGGCGCTGGCATGTTGCCCTCAAGGCCTGTCTAGGGCTTAGGGCTCACGGCGTTTAGGGGGGGTTGGGGGTTCGGGTCTAGGGAGTCGTTGGCTTCGGAAGTATTTGTGGTACCCACATACAACTTCAGTGATTAGGACTTGAGAGCCTTAGGGCATCGAATCTGGGGTTTAAGGCTCAGCACAATGGAGGGTTTAAGGCTTGAGGGGTTCGGGCGCTTTTTTGTTAGAATTGGCCTCTTCCTAAACTACAAGAACACCCATCCCTTACAAACCCCTATGAAAACCCTTTCAAACCCCCGGGAACACTAAACCCTAAACCGGGTCCTGCCTGTCCGTCATCCCGGAATCCAGGACTGGCCATGCTGGGACCGCGCTGCTCGTCCCGAAGATCCGCCAGCGCTTGAATCCCTGCAGTCTGAGCTGCGGTTTAGGATTCGGTGCTTAGGGTTGAGGGTTTGACTTTAGAGGTTCAGGGTTTGTGGATTAGGTTCAGGCTTTGGGGGTTTAGCATTTGAGGCTTAGGATTCTGTGGTTTGGGTTTGGGTTTTGGGCGTTATTTTGGCCTCGGGGTTGCCAGGGTTGCAGCGGTGAGCGACAGGCAGTCGGGGCGTCAGGGACGAGAGCTTCAGGATCTTGATCTTCGGCAGTGCCTTGCTTCAGACATGTGGGTGGTTGTCAAAATTAGGGTCCCTTTTGGGTACCCTAAATAAGAGGTGCCGTATTATATTGAGGATCCAAAAAGGAACCCCAATTCTGACAACCAGCCATGTCATACGTACTGATGACGACGACAATGACGATGGTGACCTTGATGTTCATGGAGCTGATGTTTATGCGGTGGTAATGATGGTGAGGAGAATAGGAGGAGGAGGAGGAGGAGGAGGAGGAGGAGGAGGAGGAGGACAATGGTGACCGTGATGGTGGTGTAGCGAACATGGTGCAGATGGTGATGATGGAGATGATGGAGATGATGGTGATGAAGGTGATGATGATGATGATGATGATGATCATGATCATGATGCTGATAATCTTAATGATGGCCATGATGATGATGATGATCATGATGGTCGTGATGACGATGGTGATGATGATGATGAGACTGCTGGAGGTGGTGATGATGGTGCTGATGACAACATTGCTCGCTCGTACATATGGTGCCACTTTGCGCGGGCATGTTGGTCGGAGACTCTGAAAGACGGGGCCTCTACAGTACTCAACAAAATCCGGTCTGCTTCCCCCTCTTCGCATTTTCCGCAAACCCCAATCTGTGCTGACCCTGAACCCAAAATCCTCAACCATTGCGGCACCTCAGTCTGCATGATGAAGGAGTCAAAGCGATCCGTGTGCAGCGGCGCAGTGACGGGTGCGTCCAGGTGCGAGATGTACACATTCAGGGTGATGAAGGGAAGCTGCCGGGACAATGCAAGCTTTCGGGTTTGGAGATTTAGGGGTTTAGAGGCTTAGGGGTTTCGGGGCTTAGGGTTCAAGGTTTAAGGTTTGGGGGAGGGTTTAGGGCTTAGCGTTTAGAGGTTTGGGTCTTTTTGTTTTAAGGTTGCGAGCTTTGGACAGGGGCTTGGCATGGAAGAACCCCAAGGAGCATTGCGAATCCATCTGGTGAGGATCACGGCTACTTGGAGGATCATGGGACTTAGGAAGTAAGGCTATAAGTACCTTAGTTAGGGTTATAAGTTTAGTTCCCCCAATTATAGCCCTAGTTACTAAGTCGCATGATCCTTTAAGTAGTGAGAGTTCGTCATTCGGGTTGGGCGAGGCGTTTGGGTGTCAATGTTAAGGAAACCGTTACTTGAAAGTTCAGAATTTAGGATATCTAAGCCTTAGATATCCTAAACTCTGAACCCTAAAGCCTAACCCCTCTACTAGTTCATGGTTGGGATAGGATTGAAAATGTACATTTTTATTCCTTATTGGGTTTAAGTACCCATAAAAATGTAAACTGTTACCCAACTATGACAAAGTTTAGACTCTAAGGATTCAGGATTTAGGGCTCAGGGTTGGGCTGAAGTCGGCCCCACAGGGACGATGATTCGGGAGAGCTTCGAGAATGTATCCTAGAACCCTAAAGGGAACTCCAGAAAGTTGGAATATGGTTTCAGGGTAGGATACCTCATAATTTACCATACAGGGTTTAGGATAATCATATTCCAACTTTCTGGCTTTTACTATAAAGCCCTAGAAGCCCGAGGCTCGAAGCCCTAGAACGCCAGACCCTCAAACGCTGCCTCCTGATACATGGGTGGTTGTCCAAATTAGGGTCCCGTTTTGGGTCCTTATGAAAATACGGCATCTTTTATATAGGGTACCCATAAAGGGACCATAACTTTGACAACCACCCATACATAGAAGCCGTGATCATTTCTCCCCTGTAGCATCCTATAGCCCTGCTACAACTATAGACCACCCAAAGGCTCTGCTCGGATCATTCCACCACAGTCAACACCCTACGACAGCCCTCTAAATCTTCATAAACATCCAGATAAATACAAGAACTATACAGACCTTGATAAATCCTGCTGTTGCTAAAGACCCCAAAACTCTAAGCCCTACACCCTAAACCCATAAAGGCTCTCTGCCTGGAAAGCCGACTGCAAAGACTGGCAGACCTGACCCGCAGGTTCTCATTTTGGGTTTCAAGGGTTTAGGGTTTGGAGTTTAAGGGTTCAGGCTTTAGGGTTTAGGGGTTGAGGGGTTTAGGGGCTTAGGGGCTTAGTCTTTAGGGTTTATAAGGCATGAGAAGGGTCCGCTTAAAGCATTCCCCTTAGGGGCTACCGCAAGGGTTCCCGGGCTTAGGCTGGTTCCAAAGCGTGCTCGGAATGCACGTTTCATGTTGTCTCTGTCTTTGCTTGAGGTTTGTGTTCATCGCCTCTTGACGAAATCTGTACAATGTAAGGAACCTGCATTTTAGGTTAATTGCGATGAGAGGATTGGTTTTCACTCATGCAGGGGATATCCTCCGCACAGGATGTTGAAATCTCTCAAGAACAAATACCTTGGCGCTTAGCCTACAAACCTTATGAACCGCTACGAAAGCTGAAAGCCCAGTTCAAACCCTCAACCAGGAACCCTGAACCCCATACCCGAAACCCTAAACCCTAAAACGCGAATTCCCAGGCCTCGGCAAGGCGCGGGGAGAGGGAGTTGCCACTGGATAAGACCCAAGTGCTGTTCTTCACACCTCACAGCGAAATATGGAGGCCTTCACAGTCAGAATAAGGCTTTGGGGCCTTTTATGGAAAAGCAAGCTACGTTAATAATAATAATAATAATAATAGTAATAATAATAATGAGGAATTCTACAGAATAATCGTGATAATATCCCCGACCTCGTAACTCGAGCAGGCTTATGGTGTAGTGTATGGGTGACGGTTCTTTTGATGGTTCGTGGTTTCACACAGCTTGCGCTGGAACTGGATGTCTCCTTCTTTTGGCATTGCCTAGATTCCCTGCTACTGCACGGAAGCACACACTGAACAAAAGAGCCAAACACCTAGAATAAGGCCTCAATCAAGCCCAAACCAAAAGTCCAGCAGCCCTGCAAAAAGTACTATGACACTGAAGATCCTCACAGTTGCAACCATAAAACTGGCTGAAATAGAAAAGGTAAGAATACTGATAATGCATCTGAGGGTCGCCTATTCATGATGAAAAGCGGTACTTAGTAACATACCTAGGTCATATTAATCCTGACCTCAACTGCAGACTTGAAACCCTAAACCCTGAAGACAGAAAAGACAATGCCTCCGAAGAAATCACATCCTGCGGCTTAAGCCACGCTCCCGGACAAGCTCATCAGTGAGGTTCTCGCACCTCTGAACGCTTCAGAGCCGTAACGCCGTAGGGTTTGGCAGGGCGTAGGGCAAAAAGGCTTAGGGTTTGGGGGTTCGGGTGTGGGGTTTAAGGTCCTAGATCCTAAACACCATTCCTCGAAGTTCCTTGCACCCTCATGGTAACCCTTATCAAAATTCCTTCTACGATTGGGCCTCCTGGCACGGCGATTCAGAGATCATGCGGTCAGAGTGTTGTCAGCCGCCGGCGTTTCAGGGCTTCGGGTTTAGGGCTCCACACCGAAACCCTAGAGACAAAGACCGAGGTGCGTTTCTTCAGTCACCTTTTTGTCGGCCGTCACATTGTCCTGTGCTGTTCTTGGATTTTCTGTTCCTTCTTAAGAGCAACATACTATGCAATTCCTGTTCCTTCTTGAGAATATCCTACATGATTCTTTGTTGCTTCTTAAGAATATACTATACTTGAATCAGAAAGTCTGTTCAAGAGCGGCCTAGTCTCTTGTGCCATGAAGGAGTGTGCCTTGAGCTGGCCGATTGCCTGCAGAAGCGAAAGCTTTTGTACATTGGAAGCCCAGGAAGCAACCCGTTCCACTGCTCTGCTCTGCGCTGAGCACTCGACCGAGTGGGTGAAGCGAGAGTAGCCGGACCTCGCACGTGGAATTTCGGGCTCGAGCGCCGCAATAAGTAACATAGGGTTTTATGAGGTTCCTTTAAAGGGTCCTTGGGCACCTTGCTCCCAACCTGACTCACTATCATCTAGAACGTGCCCTTGTGCATCAAGCAGGGTTTAGATTCACAACCTGTGCTGCCAGGCAGCAGTTTGACGACCTCCTTGTGCAGGTCTGGCTTGTCCTGGGCTTAGCAACCACGAACTGGCCCAATACGCTGCAGGCATCTCGTGACTTCCCGAAACGATCAATCACAACCAGGGGCCCCTTCAAAGCCCCACCCTGCCAACAAATGGGATCAGACACCCTAAACCCTAAAACCGCCTAAACCCTAAACCCGAAACCCCAAACCCTAAACCCTATAAACCCTAAACCCTAAACCCCTGAACCCTAAAACCTAAAACCGCTTAAACCCCAAACCCTAAACCCTGAAATCTAAGCCTCTGGGTTGCTGATCTGATCTTACTTCAAGAAAAAACATCAAAACAGCACCGAAGCGGTCGGTGGTTTTAGGGTTTAGGGCATCTACACTCTGGAAACCAGGGTTTGGGGTTCAGGGTATTAGGATCTTCGGTTATTGAAGTATTAAAGTACTCAGGTTCAGGGTTAGGGTTTAGGGCAACACAAATAATCATCCCGCAACCTGCTCAAGCTTCCTCATCCTCAGAACCTTCGCCTTAAGAAGAACCCCAACGTGGTATAGCTTCAGGCCCCTATACTAAACTATAACATTTAAAGGAACCCAATAGGCCGCTAAGGTAATTCCCAAACTCACGGCACCCTGGCATCAGAATTTCGGAGCAGAGGTGCGGCGAAGGAGGGGTAACTCCCGGGCTGCAACAGCTTCAGCTGATCCTGCTCTGGTTTAAGTACAGTTCAAGCTTCGAGCTTCGCGGTTCAAGGCTCAGGGTTTAAGCAGATTTTAGGAAACCCTAAACCCTAAACCCTAAACCCTAAACCTTAGGGTTTAAGCTTTAGAGTTTAAGGTGTCGGCCTTGAGGCGTAAGACTTATGCGGTAGGGTCAGAGTAGGGATGCAAGGTTACAGTCTACATTGGGTTTAGGGTTTAGGGTTTAGGGTTTAGGGTTTAGGGTTTAGGGTTGAGTCTACATCGCATCTGGGATTCAGGGAGTGGCACTAAGCACCAGAAAGCACCTCCAAACTCCCGGAAAGTCCACCCGGCAGCCGCAAAAAGCCCCAAACCACAAATCCTGACAATCTCTCAATTCCTGAATCCATCAATAAACAGCCTCCAAACAAAAGAGGCTCCGGAAAATGCCGGAGCGGTATCTGATGGGGCTAGGATTTTTTTGATTTTTAAGCGCCTCTTTTCCTCCCTGCAGAGTGCAGGGGCTAGGATTTAGGGTCTAGGGTTTGGTCGAGGCTTTTCTAGGAATCCTACAGAAGTTTGGACAAACAGAGTGGTAAACGCCACAGGAGCACTAATCCAAGGAGCAGTGGATAGGCTTTAGGGTCTAGGGATTCAGGGACTTTGGGTTTAGGGTTTAGGGCTAGGGTTTAGTGAGGTAGGGTCTGGGTTTAAGAACCGCTCAGCGGATTTGTTTACATGGGTTTGACAAGGCGTTATAGGATTCATTGAAAGCCGTACAGGGCTTTACAAGGGCTCTATCCACGGGTTAGGGCGGGAATTAACATGTCGGGCTTTCAGTTCAGAAGGTATACGAAACCCTACACCCTAAACTCTGCACCCTAAAAACACTGCCTGAACCCTAAACCCTAAACCTTACACCCTAAACCCTACACCCTATACACTAAACCCACTAAACCGCAGGTCTCTCATCGGTGTCTTTAATGTTTCGAAGCCTAGCAGTGGTAAAAAAAAAAAAGGCTTCGTCTACAAGGTTTGCAGAACCCCTAATGTAGGGGCCTTAATAAATTAGAATAGGGTTCCTTCAAAGGGTCTATAAGGGCTACTACAAGGGCTATAAGAAGGATTTAATATAGTATATGCCCCGAAATCCTGTTCCATTTTGAGGCCACTACATTCTAGATCCCGATCAAACTCCACAAAAACCGTCCACAGTGCGCTAAACCCTACATGTGCGACAGTCCTCCAGAGTCCACGTCTCCGAGACGGCGTCGGCACAGCCGATGACGAAAGGCATGCGGCCGTAGAATGTCGAAAGGAACGTATCGCTGGCCTGAGCGGGCGGTTGCAGTAGGTTTTTTTCGAAAGCTCCTTTTTAATGTCCGCCAGGCAGTCGGCAAGCACTAAGACCAGCAGGCCAGGAGTCCCAGGACACTTACAGGCCCCGGCAGAAAGGAAAACAACCGCTCGCTCACTTGGTCATCCTGGTTTTCATCCATCCCCTTCCAAGTACAGTAGGTTTTTGGGCTTACTTGGAGGGTCATGGGACTCAGTAAGTAAGGTTATAAGTACCTTAATTGGGGTTATAAGTATAGCAACTCTAATTATAACCCTAGTTACTAAGTCCCATGATCCTTTAAGCATACCCTTAGAACCCTATAGATCCCCTTTAAAGGAGCCCTTTAAGGAACCCTATAGTTACTAAGTCCCATGATCCTTTAAGTAGGGTCTGGGCTCCAATGTTTGAAGCTAGGGACCTGCACCTTTTGCCCGTGAAGCCCTGGTGGCCATGAACCCGAAACCCCCCTCACCACCAAGTCAACACTGTTTTGGGGGTTCCTCATTTTAAATAAACAAATATATATATATATATATATATATATACTATAATGAGCCCCAAAACCCTATTCTAATTATTAAGGCCCCTAAAGAAAAGAAATCTTCTATGGCCTCAAACACAGCCGCGAATTGGAAAAAGCCGAAAGCCGAAGCCAAATCTTGGTCGCGTCTGTGCATGTATAAACCTCATAGATCACCAAGGCTCGGCAAGCGCTGTGAAGATGGATTGGATGCTACCTCGGTGGCAAGTTCCTATCTTGCAGGGTTCAAGGCTTCGGACTGCTTCTTCTCCGAGTATCTCTCTTACTCCTCCAGTTCTTACAGCAGTTCTGGACACTGCTGCTAGTGTGAGCATGACTGCAAGGCTCATCCTGACGACGCCTATCGCGATCCGTAGAAGCCTCACCTGTCTCCTCCCACCACCACCGTTGCTGCCTGCTGCTGCTACTACGGCTACAACGACGACTACTACGAGCACTACCACTGCTACACCTCCTCCTCCTCTTCCTACTACTACTACTACTACTACTACTACTACTACTACTACTACTACTACTACTACTACTACTACTGCTACTGCTACTGCTACTGCTACTGCTACTGCTACTGCTACTGCTACTGCTACTGCTACTGCTACTACTACTACTACTGCTACTACTACTACTACTGCTACTACTGCTACTACTACTACTTCTTCTTCTACTACTTCCACTACCAACCTACATCCTAAACCCTCGACCCTCAAGCCGTGTCTTCGGCCCCGGGGCAGTTCGCGGCATTTCGCCGCAGGAAGTCCCTGATCTCCACCTCCAGTAATTTTGCTTCCTGGAAAGAGGCTGCACTTTAGAAGTTTAGGGTTTAGGGTTTCTTTAGGGTTTAGGGTTGAGGGTTTAGGGTTTCGGGTTTAGGTTTCTTTTTTTAATGGGCCCTTTTCGAATTGCAGAACAGTTAGAATTCCTATACTAGGAGGAGCCGATGGTTGGGGCCTGGCACTTCAGAAGTTGAGGGTTTAGGGTTTCGGGCTTAAGGCTTAGGGCTTTTAGGGTTTAGGGTTTACGGTTGTTACGGCTTAGGGTATGGAGGGTTTTGGGTTTAAGCTTCAGGGTTCCTGGGAAGAGGCCGCACTTCGGAAGCTCCGGCACGTAAGTATTTTGGGGCTGAGTATCCGAGCCCAAAAAAAGTTAACCTTTTCAATCATGGCAGGGATATATAAGCCCCAAAAGTTTGAAGGTTACTTACTCGGCTACTCCGGGTTTTGGTTCGGTTTTAGAAATTAGGGCTTAAGGTTTAGGTTCGGAGAGAGTCGAGGAATCTCGCAACGAGGTGGCATAAGAAACAAAGCGAAAATTCCTAACTTCACTGCCATCGGTAACTTGTATGCCCCTTACTAAACACGCACACAACCCCATGCTTCATGCTAAAACATCAGGCAAATATGCGAGCAACGCATCCCGCGGACTTCTCCGGCTGCCAGTTCATAAATCAGGAGCCTTAAATCGGAAACCCTCAACCCTAAACCCCCGAGCCTGAACCGCCATCCCCAAAGCCCTAAAGTGCGAAACCCCACAAACACTTACGAAACCCCAAAGAACTGCTCCAAAACTCTAATTACACCAGCGTAGACCCCAAACAGAATGCATCGAATCATGCAGGTTCAAGTTGGAACGTGTTGGAACCCATTCTGGCTTCACAAGCAGATGCTGCGAAAAAATGCGTAGACATATGGACTATTTTCGTGCAAAAGAAGAATGGGTAGTGATGACATTCGCACGAGAAGGAAGCGTTCTGTTTTTGGAAAAAAGAACGCCGTGAACAAAAGGTTTTGTTTGAGGTGGGCAGTCATAGTTGCACCGAATATGCTCCTTCTTGCAGGTTCAAGTTGGAACGTGTTGAAACCCAATCTGGCTTCGCAAGCAGACGCTGCGAAACAAATGTTTAGACATGTGGACTATTTTGTGCAAAAGAAGAATGGGTAGAGATGACATCCGCACGAGAAAGAAGCATTCTGTTTTTTGGAAAAAGAGCGCCGTGACCAAAAAGTTTTGTTTGTGGTGGGCACTCATAGTTGCACCGAGTATGCTCCTTCTTGCAGGTTCAAGTTGGAACGTGTTGAAACCCAATCTGGCTTCGCAAGCAGACGCTGCGAAACAAATGTTTAGACATATGGACTATTTTTGTGCACAAGAAGAATGGGTAGAGATGACATCCGCGCGAGAAAGAAGAGTTCTTTTTTTGGAAGAAAAAACGCCGTAACCAAAAGATTTTGCTTGTGGTGGGCACTCATAGTTGCACCGAGTATGCTCCTTCTTGCAGGTTCAAGTTGGAACGTGTTGGAGTGATGACATCCGCACGAGAATGCCGTGACGAAAAGGTTTTGTTTGTGGGGGCCACTCGAAAGGAAACATGAAGGGAGCCCAGTGGGAGCCCAGACCCTTTGCCGCGGCCCAGCCATCCAACCCAGAAGAAAATTTGATGGGAGCCCAGCCCTTTGCCGTCCAACCAGGAGCCCAAAAAGGAAACATGAAGGGAGCCCAATGCGAGCCCAGGCCCTTGTGCGGCCCAGCCGTCCAACCCAGGAGCCCAGAAAGGAAACATGAACGGAGTCCAAAGCCAAAGGCCCTTTGCCGCGGCCCAGCCATCCAACCAGGAGCCCAAAAAGGAAACATGAAGGGAGCCCAATGCGAGCCCAGGCCCTTGTGCGGCCCAGCCGTCCAGCCCAGAAAACATGAACGGAGACCAGGACCCCAAAAAGGAAATATGAAGGGAGCAGGGAGCCCTTATCCGCGGCCCAGCCGTCCAACCCTTGGAGCCCAGGCCCGTGGCTGCGGCCCAACCATCCAACCCAGGAGCCCAAAAAGGAAACATGAAGGGAGCCCAATGGGAGCCCAGGCCCGTCGCCGCGGCCCACCCATCCAGCCACCGCGGCCCACCTTTTTTTCTGAGGAGAGAACCCCAAACCGTACCTGTTTGGGGAAAAAATCTTATAGAACCCTACTCATTCCTGCCGTAACCCAAGTACGTCACCTTCAAACCCTCATAGAATGAAGCTCTGAACTCCTAAGTACCCAGCCCCGAAACCCAAAACCCCTTCTACAACCCCAAATCCCCAACAACCCTAAACCCCAAAACCCCAAGACCCCAAACTCCAAGCCCTGAACACTAAACCCCAAACCCCAAGAAGCACAAGAACCCCAAGAAGCCAGAATAACCCTTTCCGACGGTATTAACACCAACCATAATAACAACAGTACTAACACTAGCAGTAATAACAATCATAAGGAAAGCCCTGAATTATAACAACAATTATTATGATTTTGGTTATCATCCTACTAAGAAAAAGCCCTTAGGGATGAGATTTCTTTCCTCTTTCGCCGGGCCTTGGGGGCTTTGGGGCACCGGATGGTGGGACGGCAAGGCGGCATGGCTCGAGAGGCGTCGTTCCGCGATTCTGGGTTTCAGCAGTTTAAAGATTTGTATTTTGCCGGGGGGGTGGGTTAGGGTTTAGGGTGAAGGGTTTAGGGTGATGTAAAATCACCTTTGAACGAAGATGACAAGAGCTTCATGGGTCCTTTTTTGGACAATAGTCTAGATGATGGCTTGAGGATTACTAACCCTGAGCGGTGTAGGGGTTGCGGGTGCGAGATTTAAGGGTCCGGCCGCAGGGGGCTGTGCGGATCGAGCTTCTTGCATGGTCGTGTTCCTGATTTCTGGAAGAGCTACGTTTTGCAAACCTGCATGGGCGGAGTTCGATAAGCATACCGAGCAGCTGCAGTGTTGTCCTCTTTCTGCAGGTTGCAGGGATAAACCTGGCTGTGTTTCTGGAGCATCTCAGAAAGCCCTATATGAATCCTAACTACGCTTCCTAGGGTCAGCCTCAGTTGCGAGAAGGCCCCCAAGTTTTACGGCTTACGGCATCCGTATCTGCACACGCAAAGCGTTGCGAAAGCTTTGAGCAAGGCCATGACAGCAGAGCGGTGTGACACACTGTATGCCTCAGCTCCAACAACTCCTCACATGGAGTTCGCTACTGAATTGCTTCACGCCACACACACACCCCCCGTACACCTCCAAGCACAAAGCCTTCAAGCACCACAATCCTTAAGCCCTACTTGGGACAGGGCGGGCGTGGATGCCTTGCAAACCAGTCCTTCGTGGCGCGTTCCGAAACCGTCTACTGTAACCCCCAAATCACGCAATTCAGGGACCTTCATAACAGTAACTACCCTATGGTCGGTTTTGTGGGGCGCTCTACTATGTTTATTGTACGGAGCCTCAAAGAATAGTCTTCACGGTTCTACACTGTGGCAAACACCTGGCAACACCATCTAGTCCACAATGCGTAACCACGTTGATAAGGTTTTCCCTAAACCCAACACCCTAAACCCAACACTCTCAACCCTAAACCCAAACCGCGGTCACTAGGCTAAAGAACCCCCCCTCAACCCCAAACCCTGAAGCCCAAGTAAACCCGCGCACCCTAAAGCCGAAACTTCAGGGTTTAAGGTTCAGGCTTTAGGGTTTAGGTTAAGACCCCCCCCCGAACTCATCCTCGACACTCTGTGATCCACCGAAATCCCCGCGGCGGCCTTGATCCTGAACCCCGAACCCGAAACTCGACCAAAGTGCGCGGAATTAGTTCGCCCCGTCCACTGATAGAGCCGACAAAATTGCAATCCATTACATAATTATACATTCATAACCCAAAACCTTGGCTCCTTCGAAACGTGCATTTCTGCGCGCATTTGCTTCGTGCCAGGCCCCTCAGGGGCCCTGCCGCGGCGCTTTCGGAGCTACACCCACGGCCCGGCGCAAGAGTTGCTGAAAGGATCATACATCGCAATTGATAGTACATCGCAATTGATAGCTAGTAAGAACGGCTATAATTAGGGCAAAAAGTGCTCTAGCTAGGTACAACCCTGATTAAGGTACTTAAACCCCTACTTACGAAGCCCCCTTATAATTATAGAACCCTGCCTTATAGAACCCTTGTAGAAGCACGTGTACGAATCTGGCAACCTGATAAAAAAAAACCCGTATCGAAACCCCATGTAACCGTGCCGGGTAAGTCCCCCGATCCTTTAAGTGGGGCTTGGTGCCCAGAGAGCAAAAAGCGCTATAGTTTGAGGTACATTCCCTAAGTAGTGGTTATGGGGATCTCTGGGTGGGGGGTTCTGAGAGTTGTGGCTCCAAGCTGCGGTGTAGGGTGCGGGATTTCGGGTTTGCGGTGTAGGGTTCAACGAGAAAAAATTACGGTTTAGGGCTTGGGTTTTTGAGCGTGGGGTTTACGGGCGCTGCCGCCGTGCAGATGTAGAACTCACTTAAGTTGAATTACCAGGGAGTCCTTCGCCTTCACTCGGGAGGTTTCAGGCTTTTAGAGCTTAGAGGGCTTAGGGCAAACCCAGAACAACACCCAATGTCATGAAATCTCCTTATCTCCTCGACTGATCCTGCACCCAGAGATTCGAAAAGCCGCAAGACACCTGCCAGACTTTCGTCAACCCGAGCTTTGGCCTAGAGTATAGGGTGCAGCCTGAAGGCTAGCGATAAAGGGTTGAGGGCCGGCCATGGGCAACCCAGCCAATTTCGGAGAAGAGGCCACTTGCGTCACTTGGAGAGACTTCCAGACTGTAGGCAGAGGCGCAGCTCTACCTTGCTAACCCTCAGTCAAAACTGTGTAATCCGGAGGCGCAAGCCGTGTTGTGACAATACGGCTAGTGCTTGCAGTTGACCCTCGAAAGTGAGGCGCAAAGCCGTGCGGAAAACTTCCTCTTCTCCACATCCTTCGGTGTTGAAAAACATTTGCCACAGCAGTCGGAGATGATACGGAGTAAACCCTACCTGGACCCTCAAGAACCTACCTGTGTAGGGTCCCTTATAATGGTTTCCTTATATACGTCCTGAAAAAGGTAGGTTAGGTAAACCCTAAACCCGCCAATGCCATAAACCTGAAAACGCAGATGGCTCACTGGGCCCGGAATGTGTGGCTTTCCTTCTTAGCGTTTAGGGTTCTGTCTTTCAGCTTCGGGTTCGGGCCGTCATTGAATCCTACATCCTGCGCCAGCTTTTCTGTTCTACTTGGAGGATCATGGGGCTTAGTAAGTAAGGTTATAAGTACCCTAATTGGGGTTATAAGTATAGTTACCCAAATTATAACCCTAGTTACTAAGTCCCATGATGCTTTAAGTACTGTTTCGGGTATCTGGCTCACGGGCTTGGATTTTGAACACCAGTTTGTCTCTTGAGGTGTACTTAAAGGATCATGGGACTTAGTAACTAGGGTTGTAGTTAGGGTAAGTATACTTCTAACCCCAGTTAAGGTACTTATAACCTTACTTACTAAGTCCCATGATCCTCCAAGTAGGGTTTTGGGTTTGGAGTTTAAGATCCTTTCTCTCGCGAAGTTGTTGAACGGACACCCATTACACTCACGAGGACCCGAAAACTGGAAACAGCATATCATCCCCTGAGCATTCATTAGCGCCAGCCTCGGCTGCATCACCGAAACATCCTCCAAGAGGACCATCCACCGGCAGCCAAGACTACCCTGCGAAATCCCGCATAAGGCAACCAAACACAACAAAGCCACTCAATCAAGAACTAGAAACACCCTGGAGAGGGTTCACGGTTGCGTATGTACTCTATAGGCATAGATGTATATACATATACACGTAAGGTTATTATATATATATATATCATTAGAAATCAACTTGGCCGCGCTTGCATTTCGGGATGCATCCGGCTCCATACTGTAACTGCACACCCGAGCTCCTGATGTGCCCAGTCCCGACACTCCCCTCGTCACCCATCTTCAACACGTTAAGGATTTAGGTTTAGGGTTAAGGATCCGGGGGGATAGTAACTACGGTTGCCAGCATAGTTATGGACATAATTATCATAACCTTACATACCCAGCTGATTTTGAAGGGACCTTCGTGTGCTAAAGGCTAAAGTCACATGCTGGCGAAGGCAACGCCTTCGACTTTTTTCACTGCAACTGCAGGGAATACACCTTAAATCACAGCCCCTATAACTTAATGTGTATTCCGTCATTAAGGGGCATCGGGCTAAAACGCACTGGGCCAAAACGCACTGACTCCCCCAGTTAAAGCTCCCTGTCGGAATGGCACGCCGGGAGCTCAAGCTTTGGAGCGCACGTCTTCAATGGACATGTAGGTCGTTTTCGGGATTCGGAGCTCTAGACCCAAACCTTCAACCTTGTGCTTCGGGCTTAAGAACTCGGATGTAAGGTTTAGAATCTACTTCAAAGATCATGGGACTTACTAACTCAGGTTATAATTAGGGTAACTATACTTATAACCCCAATTAAGGTACTTATAGCCTTACTTCCTAAGTCCCACGATCCTCCAAGTAGGATTCGAGTGTGGCATGTTCGCTGTTTCTAGAAATATGCACCTCGGAGAGCCGAAGTGAAATCGATATCCAAACCCAAAGCCCAGGTGCAACGAGGATAAGTATTTCCAGACTGTCCTATGATTTATGCTCCTCTTAACACTAGGGTAGGATCAGGTTTTACGATAGTCTAGACCACCTGTGACCCTTATCCTTCAGATGGAAGGTTCGAACAGCCCAAACTCACATTCAGGCTGCTTCAGATTCCGCGTTGGATCCGAGACTCACCCGCCTGAGTTCTTTGACAAACATGACAACAACGGTGGTGGTGGTGGTGGTGGTGGTGGTGGTGGTGGTGGTGGTGGTGGTGGTGGTGGTGGTGGTGGTGGTGGTGGTGGTGGTGGTGGTGGTGGTGGTGGTGGTGGTGGTGGTGGTGGTGGTGGCGGTGGTGGCGATGGTCGTCGTCTTTGCGGCAGGAACATCATCACCACAATCCTGACTACCATCACAACTGCCATCACCCTCGCCACCACCGCAGCATCATCACTCCTCTCCATCATCAAAATCGAAACATACTGACGGCTACATGCTGCACGTGGGAAACACTGATGCCACCAAAAAATATTGGCAACGACAACCTAAGTGCACCGGCAAGGGGCAGCCCTTTCCGCAGAGAGTCGGAGCCCATGCGCCTGCTCTTCGCTTTTCGGGCAAAGTTGGGGCCGTCAGTGTGAACAGAGGGTTTGGGATTTAGGAACAAATTTAGGCCTGCACCCCCAAACCTCCGACTACAAGACCCCAAACCCCTAAACCCACAAACCCACATTCTACAACCCAGATCTATGACGCCTAGGGCCTAGATCTAGACATCAGCAGCTCATATCCCCACCTTGATCAGTTTATCCCTGCAATAACACCACAGTCAACCGATACAAATCATGTACAGATGCTACGGGAAAAACTGCTGAACTGCAAATGGTCTTCAACCAAACTAGCCCCTATGAAGCCAGAACACATTTCCCGAGTATGCAGAAGGTATCTTTGTAAAGGAATCTTTGTAACGGGTCGCTTAATTGAGAATATAATATAAGTGTTTCTTGCTAGAGCCGTGCATACATGCATTGGCGCTGTCTCTGAATGAAACCAAATAAACATACATGTGCAACAGGAAAAGGAAGAAAAAAAGGGTTCCTGAGTAAAGAATAAATGTGCACGGGCTCTTTCATTCAGAAATATTCGATGCCTGGCAACCTCTGATTTCAACACTACGGCTTCCAAAATCGAGGGCTCTTTTGAAGTGGGGCCTCTGTCTCGCCATTACAGGAGTTCCTAAGTAGGGCCTCTGACTCACTATTTCAGGCTTTCCTGAATCTTTTGGAAAGTAATGTAAGTCTCCCGAAACCCTAAACCCTGAAACCCCTGCAGAATCCCAAAAATTTGTAGACATGAGACCCTCGGACACGCGTTCGAAACTGACCCTGGCCCCTAACTAGCCCCAGTATAATGTAGGGGCCTTAATAATTAGAATAGGGTATTGGGGGTACATAATGATATAAATATTATAAGGAACCCTAAGGAATAATATTGTTAATTGTTTAAGCCTCTATAGCAAGCCCATTGTAAATGGCTTTGGTGGGCCCCTTCAGAACCGTAGTAACGTAAGTGACTTTACACCCTGAGCGCCAAGCACTAAACCTGGAGTCAGTTTGTGTAGAAGGTCAGGGGATTGAGTAAGCAGGGTCAGAACCACCTCTATCGGGGCATGAAGTTTTTCCTATAATTATCCTTCCGATGGTCCTCACTAACAGATTCAGTGCAACCCGTCCTAAATCCTGAACCCGTCCTACCTTAGGATTGACGGGGTCTTCGTCACAGCGTCACCTGCAGAGATACGGCCAAAAGCTTTATTGACGAGAGGCCAGTTGGGGCTCGGGTTTGTAGGGTATAAGGGTGCAGGGTTCAGGGAATCAGGTGTATCATATTTACGGGCTCTGGTTCTATGCTGGCCATTCATGAGGATCTGTGTTCCGATCCTGTATTTGGTTGAAACTCGCGGATTCGACCTGAAAAACTCATCACAGGGTAGGAGACTATACTTAAGTCCTTAGTATAGGTATGAAGGCCCCCTACCGCCCAACCCCCCCTTCCCCCCTAAAGGTCCCTATGAACTCAGGGTATTCAGCTTCGGGGTCTCGATTTGATCGTTTGGTCCGGCTCGCTGGCTTTGGCAGATTCAGGGCACTTTGGGGGGGGGGGGGGGGGGCTGCGATCTATTGCTGCACACTTCGGAAGTCTTGCAAAATAACTGTACTTGGGGGATCATGGGACTTAGTAGTAAGGTTATAAGCACCTTGGTTGGGGTTAGAAGTATAGTTACCCTAATGATACCCTAGTTACCAGATCCCATGATCCTGTAAGTAGCACCCGGACACCCGAGCCTGAGCCGTCCAGGCCCTCAAAAATCCTTGATCCCGAACCCGGAACCCTAAACTAAACCCTGCTTCAGAGTTTCGGTTTTAGGCTTTCGGGACCGAAGTCATTATGGGTAGGGGTTTCTCCTTAACAGTCGGGGTCGTTTACTTTTTTTATGCGGGTTTCTTCTAGGTGTATGCGGCTTTCTTAAAATTCGGCATGTCTTATTTCCGGGCTCTGGCAAGAAGGTTCCTACTTTATTTAGGCGACAACATTTCAACACTTCTACAGTACACGAGGTTGAGAGTTTGAGGTTGAGGGCGTAGGGTGTGTAGACAGTCGGGCACGGGGGCGCACAAGCTTCCAAGTCATCGTCTGCCACATACGTGTCGGCCAAAGCCTCCAAAGTGAGCCTCACGACGGGCCACCACGTGTGGCGATCCGGCAGCTCGGGCGGCTCTGTCCCTTCCCTCGTGACTGGTACATCAGCCCAATCCATCGAGCTCGAGCGGTAAGCCTCGCATCCCTTTGTCGGGTCGTAAGAAGCGATGACCATCTCAAAAGTTCTGCGCTCTGCGCAACACACACTCGCTGTGCAGAGCTCCTGTGGCCCTCAGCTGGAAGCGAACCTTGGTGCGCGCAACCTTGATCAAGCTCTCCACCTGGGGTTTAGGGCCCCAGCAATCTGTGATGTTTCTTCAGGTTTGAACTTATAGTTCTCGAGGCTGCGATACTGTCTTGATCAGCATGGGCCTTGACGTATCCCGGCTGCACGCTGCAACCCTAAAACAGCATGCATAGACACAGGAAGGAAAGCCGGAGATTTACAAAAAGCAACAAGCTACATTACGCTTTCCGAAAATAGGGGAACCTAATATGGTACCCTAAATAGTAGGATCCTTTTTATAAGGACCCCAGAATGAGGTACCCTAATTGTCGATACATCTACACAAGAAACGGCCCAAACACCCTGGCCCCAAGTCCTAAACCCGCAGGACGCAGAGCCTTGTTGGGCAACGGGGCGTCGCGACTTGCGTGCAAGCAGCGCCTCCACAGCCATCATCTTGTCGATGGACTCCTGGGCTTAGTGACTTATCGGGGCTTTTGGGTTCGGGTCTCAGGATGTCGCATTATGGGTTTAGTGTTTGTGAGTTCTTGTTTGGGGTTCCAAGGTCGCTAGAGGGGTTTCACAAGACACCTGGTTTCGTTCCCGGGTTGCTTTCTCGTGCAATCTGCGACAATGCTTGGAATATTTTTGTCGAGGTGTTCTGACGCCTTGGCTTTGTAAGACTTTATGTGAGCTGCTGAAAGCTGCTGTTTCGGCTTTTACGGAGAGTTCGAGCATGTTTGGACCACACTGGTTTGCTTTCAAGGCACTACAGGAGCCTTCATGATTACAACAGGGTCTTGGGGTACATGATAATTTTATACTTTTAATCGGGAGCGCTAGGAACCTAGGCTAGGTTTCTGAGTAACCCCTTTATAATAAGGCTACCCTTTTTCCTACTATTCGGTTTTAATAAGGGGACCCTAAACTAAAAAGGGCAAAAGGGCACTACTCAGGAACCTAGTAGGAATAGTGTTGATTGGTATTCCGGCTTCAAGGACTCATGCGCAAAACTGTCATCCTCCGGATTCTCAGGCTTTCACGTTAGGGTTTGGGGTTTAGTGCTTAGGGTTTAGGGTTTCCCTAAACCCTACTTCCCTAAACCCTAAACCCCAAACCCTAAACCCTAAACCCCAAACCCTAAACCCTAAACCCTCAACCCCAAACCCTAAACCCTAAAGCCCAAACCCTAAACCCTCAAGCCCAAACCCTTAGGTTTATTTAGCGTTTGGGGAGCCCGCTGCTGGGAGCAGCCACGGCAGACCAAACGCATCCGCTGGTGAACCCCCGGCCTCCAAAGGCCCTCCTAGACTTGGGCTTAGGGGTCTGGGTTTTGGGGTTTCAGGTGGTTAGGGTTTTGGGTTTTGGGGTTTAGGGGTTAGGGCCTGGGGGTTTAGGGGTTTAGCGTTTTATGGTTCAGGGGTTCAGGGGTTTAGGGGTTTAGGGTTTGGGGGTTTAGGGTTTAGGAACGCCAAAACCTCTCGCCCATCCTGTATCTCTCAAGAGCCCAATACACCCTAAGTAAGGTAGATACCTCAAGTTATAGGAGGCTCTAATGCCCCTTAATTAAGGAACGTACCTTCAACTGTAGCGGGCTTTAATATTATGTTTAAGTATGTGATTGGCCCTAATTAACGGGCAGTGGGCTCCCTGGGCAAACCCCTATGGACCAACGTAAACGCCCGTACAGCTGGGCGACGGTAAAGGTCTTCTTGATCGATGTCGAGATCCTTGGCATCTCATGCGGCACAGTTTGAATTGGGCTCTTTTTGCTAAGGCACTTGCTTTAAGGGAAATGTACCAAGTCATATGCTGGCCACATGATGGTAAGCTGCAGACAGATGTTGAAGAAAACTGCCAAACCCCTGACAAGACCATATAAAAGCCCTAGTCCCAGAAGCCCGAAAGCCAAGAGCCTGGAACCTTGAGACCCCGAACCAAAATGTACATGTTTATTCCTTGGTGGTTGGGTTTAAGGGCCCATAAACATGTAAAATGCTACCCAACTATGTCAAAGTCTAAGAGAGACGATGAACTCAAAGTCGCCGCTCGCAGCCAACCGTTTAGGTCATCGCCGCAGCCTACGGAATGCTCCTAACCAGTATGAAGGCCCGCTTGCCAACGCTTGCGAGTCCAAACCCCACACCCTGAAATCCTGAAAACCCTAAACCTCTAAACCTCTAAACCCTAAACCTCTAAACCTCTAAACCCTAAACCTCCAAACCCTAAACCTCTAAACCTCTAAACCCTAAACCTCTAAACCCTAAACCTCTAAACCCTAAACCTCTAAACCCCAAACCCTAAACCCCCTACCCTTAAACCCTAAGAGGCCCGCTCTCCGCGGCCCCAAAAGTCGAAAGCTCTGTGGGAGGCAGGGAGGGGTTTATGGTTCAAGGCTGCGGACGTACGGAGTTGGAGGTTGGGATTCTTAATTTAGGCTTTAGATGTTTGTAAGTGCATAAACCTCGTAAGCCCTACAAAAGCAATAGAAAACCCTATAAATGAAAACCTGTAAACACAGGTAGACGCTTCATGACGCTTTGATGCATCTTAGTCGCACCATCACAAACCGTATGAAAAAGCCGAAAGATGCCAGCAAAAAAACTCTGAACAAGTCCCTCGTCGAGGCTCCGATCGGTCTTGGCGTCGCCCGCCTGGACTTCCTGGATGTGGTAGTCCTTGCTTACTTGAAGGATCATGGGACTTAGTAAGTAGGGTTATAAGTCCCTTAATATGGGTTATAAGTATAGTTACCCTAATTGTAACCCTAACTACTAAGTCCCATGAAGCTTTAAGTAGGGCTTGCCAGAGAGTCCAAAACCCCTCAATGGTTGGGCTTGTGTCTGGTTCCGGGTTCCCTTTAAGGGTTCCTTAGGGTTCCTTTAAGAGTTCCTCTAAGAGTTCCTTTAAGGGTTCCCTTGAGGGTAAGGATTCCTTTCAGGCTTCGCGAAGGGTGCAGGGTTGGGGGGGTCGGGGGCAACGATTTCGGCCTTGGGGGCAGAAGTCTGCTCGCACTTTTAGGGTTTAGGGTTTAGGGTTTAGGGTGTCAGGAGGGATATCAGCGCCTTCATGCAGGTGGTACAAGGGTTTAGGGTGTAGGGTTTAGGGTTCAGGGTTTAGGGTTTAAACAGTCCCCAACTTTTTTTTAACAGTTAGGGCTCAGGGTATAAGGGTTTAAGGTTTAGGGTTTAAACAGTCTCCAAACTTGTTCATAGTCAGGGCTCTAAATTAAACGATAAGGGACATTGAAAATGATCCCAAATCGTTACCTAGGATAGCCATCATTGCCGTCATGAGAACCCCGGATCCTTCCAAGAATGGCTTACTTGGAGGTTCATGGGACTTAGTAAGTAGGGTTATAAGTCCCCTAATATGGGTTATAAGTACAGTTACTCTAATTATAACCCGAATTACTAAGTCCCATGATCCTTTAAGTAGTGTTCTGGGCTACAGGGTTCATAGCTTAGGGTCTAGAGTTTCAGGTTTAGTATCAGAGATCGATCTAGGGGTCGGAATCACTAGTAACAGCATTGCCTTTTAGTCCCGAGTGTACCCTACGACACTAGGATGCCCAGTAACCTGGGAATAAAAAAGTTCCCTTATTGGGTAACCTTGCAAGGAACCTAGAACTACAAAAAGGGAATAAGGGTACTACTGGGCATCCTAGGACATTATTCTAAGTATTTAGGGTGTATAGGGGCCTTAATATAAAATTAGAATAGGGTTTGGGGCCCATTATACTCTGATTATAATAAGGAACCCCCCCAGTCTGGGGCAGTAGCTTGGAACCTGAAAGGGGGCCCAGGGTTGTAGGCATCAGACCCAAAGAGCCCAATGCCCCTTAATAAGGGAATAGTCCTTAGGTGATAAGGTCCCTTCAAGGGTACCCACCATGGTACTCCAACAGGGTCCCTTTAGAGAAGAAACCTTAAATGAGAGGGGGCTGAATAATTATGATTTCAGGTATATCCCTGAATTGAGGGGGTACGGTTTAGAGGAAGGAGCGGCTTGGCTTCAAGCGGGTTCCGCGGCTTTCGCCTTCTTGGCGTTCCTGCAAACTCTGGGTTTCAGAGCTTGGGGTGAAGAGTTTCAGGTTCGAGGATCTCTGGGATCTGGCCGTGGTGCCTGGAGCTATCACCTACGGTCGAAACGGGATCGTGATGGCGAAATATCGGCCGAAAAGAGCTTCTTAAGAAAAAAGCAGCTTCACAAAGCTTGCGAGCTGTCTATAGTGTTCTACTGCAGTATGCATGCCTTTGCTGGCTGTTGGTCTTCCGGCTCGCTGTTCAGAGCTTGCAGGTTCATGAACTGCCCGAGGCTTAAGACACACCACCTGACCCAAAGCCACAGAAGTCATGTAGAACCCAATTCAATCCGGTCGGAGCTCTTTCGTCAAGATCTGCGCGATGGTCGAAGACGCGAGGGTGTTTCCTGCTGTGAGTTCATACGAGAGCAATTCAGCCGAAGAGTTTGGCATCGGGTTCAACGCGGTTCAATGGGTCTTGCACGAGCGATTCGCAAACACGTTACACACTTTGTTGGGAATTCTGTGTCTAGGTTTCTGGGGCCTATTGTTCGCACCATTGCAGCACTATCATCTTCAGCATCATGCCTTCCATCTTCGCCACTCAGTACGTACAAACATTAATCCCTAGATTTCCTGATTATAACTACACCATGATATACTACAAAGCCCCATTCGTAAACCCCTAGCTAGACCCCTAAGCCCCCAAAACCCCTAAACCCTTTCACCCCTAAGCCCCAAATCCGTTCCGAGCCAGGCCCCGCCCCGGTGTCCTGCCAGCTGCCGAAGCTGGAGAACCTCAGCCTGGTCCAAGCTTTGCAGGCGACGTGGCAGCACTAGCGGCAGTCGTCGTTCTGGTGGTGGTAGTGGAAGTGGAAGTGGTAGTGGTAGTGGTAGTGGTAGTGGTCGTGGGCGTGGTCGTGGTCGTGGTCGCGGTCGTGGTTGTGGTCGTGGTGAGAAGCAGTAGTAATAGTAGTAGTCGTCGTCGTCGTAGTGGTGGTTGTGGTGGTAGCAGCAATACTAGTGCTAGTGGAAGCAGTTGTAGCAGAAGCGGGAGCAGCAGCAAACAGCAGAAGCAGTACCAGAGATGGCCATCGGCGTAATTGTAATGATAATTCTGTACCTCTCTTGCAAAACTCTCGAAAAGACCGAGAAGCAGATGAGCAAACTAAGCCCTGTCACCCGCACCAAAACAACAAGTCCACAGCGTGAATCCCAAACTAAGAGCCCTTGGGCTCCTCCACTCCGAAGACAACTTTGGTCCCTACATTTTCATCTGACCTGACTTCCCGATGAAGCCAAGAAGGATTGATGCTAAGCAGGGGCTTGGACAGGAGCTGGGCATCAGAGGGTCTCGGAGCTCTACCACCTTGAGATTGACCCTCCTATAAAGATTGCTACCAAGGACACGAAAAGGTACTTCCATGGGCGGTACGGGCTGAAACGGTGCACCACTCCTAAACCCTAAACTCGCAGCCCAGTAAACCCCGTACAGCCCGGCTACTAGGTTCCCTTCTAGAACCTTTTTCGGATCCCCTCTAAACCCTGTAAGGCCCGGCTTCCACAAGGCTCCAAGACTGCCTTGCCTTGGCTGCAGCCAGCTGCTGCTTCAGCTCGCTGATCCTTTGTTTGGGGGGGGGTTAGGGGCTTTGGGGGCTTTGGGGTTCCTTTAGAGGGTACTTTAAGGGCTCCTTTAAGGGATCTACAGGGTTTAGGATTTATGGTTTAGGGCTTTTAGGCTTTAGAGGCTTTGGGGTTTAGGGGCTTTGGGGTTTAGGGTTTAGGCACTTCTCCACAAGGACCTTAGACCCCAAAGCAAAGGGGGGGCGACGTAAGATTGAAGGCTTACTGATGTAGGGCTGACATCTGTGAGGAGATGTGGGAGTTTCTGAAAATAGGGTACCCTAAATACTAGGATCCTTATTTTAAGGACCCCAAAATAAGGTACCCCTAATTTCGGAAACTCCAGATGTATTCAGAGGCTTGAAGTAAATGGAGGTTCGAGGGATTCAACGCCCCATACCTTGCAGAGTGAAGTTTCAGACACCACGAAGAACACACGACCGTCCCGAAACCAGAACCCACATACCCAGCTTTCAACCTCGCGCACTCCATGAGCCCAGCAACCTGCAACCTAAAGGAAGGCAAAAGAAAACAAACACCCAGACCGGCTTGAGATTTCATGTAGGGGTCTTAAGTGTTAGAATAGGGAGGATTCTACGGGGATACTACTTCAAATCATTCCGACCCCCATATTCGGGGTTCAGAGGGTTTTGCAGATTTGAGGGTTTGGGGGTTTAGGGATCTGTGCTGCAACCGCGAGGCTCCGCCTTCTGCGCCTCAATGACATCGTCCTTCTCCTCGAGTCGGGCACCCTAAACAGAATAAAAACATGAACTAACCAGTGGTTTTGGGGTTCCTGTAGCTCTTTAGCTCCTTATTTAATAGGGATTATCATCATCCCTGGCTCCTTACCAATGGTTAGTAAACCTCTAAACCGTCCCTTAACTGTAAATCCTAAACCCTCAGTCCCGAGAACATGTGAGTCGGGCGTTTTGGGGCTTCGATAAGAATAACAATAACAATAACAGGGCTGCGTCTTCGCAGACTTACAGAGACCTGCGAAAGACCTCCCAGTATCCCTGAGCGTCCTTAACTTCCAGCAACAAACATCCCAACTTGTTTCGTGTAATATACAACAGGGCTTTGGGTGTATATAACAGCACAAGTACCATCGACAACTCGAAGGACTAGCATCGGCAAGTGTTCAGCCACCTATGTTGATGGCTGCTTAGCGGACCGTGAACCCTCAACCCTGAAAGCCTAAACTCCGAAACACTGAACCTGAAAACCTAGACCCTGAATCCCAAGCCCTAAAACCCTAAACCCAAAACCCTAAACACCCCTAAACCCCTCTACCTTAAACTCCAAAACCCCACAACCCTAAACCCTAAGCAATTGCTAATCACAGATCCGTCATGCGAGAGCTTTGCTGGCTCAAGGGGCTGCTTTTGTCTTCACAAAGCAACGATTCAATCGACAGGCGTCGTCTTGAAGCGCAACATAGGGTTGATAATATAAACCCTGCATTTACCATAATTCCCATAGTCTAGGGTCTAGGGTCATTAAGGTACTGCAGGATTCATATCATCAACCACCTTCGAGGACCGGAAGCTTAATCAAACATCGAGCTGCGTCCCAACACTTCTACATTGGCTATGAAAGCTCATGTTATCACAGGGGATAAACCCGATGGCCTGCAACCTAAACCCTAATTTCGAAAACTACACACGGAATCCTATGCTTGGCATGCTTGACACCTGCCCTAAACCTCAACCCAAACACCAAGGGCTGAACCAAACAAGAAGCTGCTCCAGGTATTAAGGCCCCTAAACCCCAAACCCGTAATCTACCCAGCTAGACATGCTGAACCCAAGGCACTTTTGAAGCTCTGTCAGCATGGAAAGCATTGCAGCTACACGGCAACAACGGTTTCAGCATTGCAGGCCTGTGGATCCTCACAGCCGTCCCGGGCAAAAAACACTTGCCCATTGAAGCGAAAACAACAGACTTGGATTGTGGTCGACCCCACGTCGTGCAGATGTTCCACCATGTCGTCAACAGGGTAGCTGCTGTTCGCCCGCAGCAAGGTCATGTGAAAGAGGCTCTTTCGCGGGTGGTTCACCTTGACACCAGCATCCGAAAAAGCTTCGTTCACCAAGCCTGGGTTCGTCTTGAGGGTCCTTCAAAGAGAATAATGCTTGTTCCTTCATGGGAACATACTATACCGACATGGAAAACTATGTCAAAGAAAGCTCAGATACCCACAAAGTTACATGGAAAGCCATGTTAAAGAAAAGCTCAGATACCCACAAAGTTGAACAACTGCACTTGGCTTGAGCTGTCCGGCAGGATGTGCAAATAGATCAGATCGCCCAGTCGTCTCTGGTGCATGTCCAGGTTGCAACCGAAGCCTGAACGCGCAACGTAGGTGCTACGGTTGATGGTATAAACCCTGCATTACCCGTAAGAAGGAATATACCATAATTCACCGAGTTTAGGGTCCTTAAGGCAATGCAAGATTTATATCATCAACAGTATCATTCCTTGTAGTCCTTACAGATCTATTTTATAAATTGCCCCGACACAGTGTTGTAGTTATCAAGGCCCCTAAACCCTACACCACCCTCAAACCTCCAAGACGCCTGAACTATGCTCTCACGGTATAAAATTCTCCCGCACTCTCTATTCTATTCTGCGTAAACCCTAAAAACCCTAAACACCCTTCAAGGCCAAGAAGCCTGAATATGTGATATAGAAGCTCTTCCAGGAAAGCCTCTGCAAAGCCCTCTGCATCCGTTTCAGATCCGCAGAGGAGTGGCAGCCTGGGTTCTTGTTCAGGGCTTTCCTGCTATGGTAACTTAAAATACAGTCTAACCTCAACCTATAAACCCTAAACCCCTAAACCCCTAAACCCTAAACCCCTAAACCCCTAAAACGCTGAAACCCCTTTAATAAGAGCCTAGCAGCAGGCGTAGACCAGGGAAGTGTGCAGCTGGTCCAGGGGCTCGACCTGGCTCTAGGGCTCCTTTAAGGGATCTAGAAAGCTTCCTTTTAAAGGGCCCTAGAAGGGTTTCGCGCTCCTTTAAGGGATCTATAAGGGTTTGGGGTTTTTAGGATTCAGGGTTTAAGGTTTAGGGTTTAGGGTGTAGCCTGAAGGTTTACACCAAGGCTTTCACAGTGGGCTCCTTCGAGGAAATCGCAATGATTCCATAAGGGTGTCTCGCACCAACCTCGTATGAAGCCCTACCATTCCTCTAAGTTCTTAGTGCTTAGCAAGAGACCAGCCTGAAGAATGCCCCGCTCATGCGCGGCCAGGACATCCTCAACCGCTTTCGCCTGTGCCCGCACACGCGGTACCCGCGCCAGCTCCAAGCGCCCGGTCGGTGAAAATGGGGCGCCTGGCTCTTATTGAGGGCCTAAAATGTACTAAAAGACTGTATCAGTCTTTCTGGCACTTTCTACGACTCTATCATGTTGAAAAAGGCTTCGCAAAGGGCTTTGTATTGGCTCTGCAGACGTTTATAAGGGTTCATAGGGTTCAAAGGCGCGTTGAAGTTAGCATAACACTGTAAGTATGTAGCACCTTACATGCTTTCCTTGTCGTGACTTGAGTCAGACTCCTAAACAAAGGCCCGGTCACTGTCGGGGCAGACGGTGCAATCGCCATCTCTTCGTTCGCAAGAGTCGAACGTCCCAGTCGCCACGGCCCAGAGGCCCCACAGCGACAGCGCGACCAGCGCCGGACGCGCCATGTGCTCAAGCAAGAAACCGTATAGAGCAGTTTGGGGTTTCAGGGTTTAGAGGCTTGCCTTAGGCCCTTTTAGCAGCTCTTTTTATAAAAAATTTAGGGTTTGAAGCTAAGGGATTTGGGGTTTGAGGGTTTAGGGCTTCAGGGTTCTGAGTGTTTGTCAGGGTCGGGATTTCGGATCTTGGGATTCAGGGTTTAGGGCGTCTGAACTGCGGATGTAGCTCGTGAGATTCCTATTAGCTAACGTGAAAGCACCGAAACGGTAAAACATGCTCCGGGACTACCAAGAATCCCCGTGTCGCAACGAAGAAGCTCCAAACCTCATAAAACTCGAAACCCTGAACCCTAAACTCTAAACCCAAAACCCTCAACCCTAAACTCTAAACCTTAAACCCTGGGAAAGAGCCCTTACAAGAAGCCCGAACGTCTTGCCAGGTGGCCGCAAGCTGAAGGGCAGCTCCCGAACTGCCCATTCCGGGCATCAAGCTTCCTGGCTCTTTACTTACCTTTGGTTAGTAGGGAATGGAAGAGTGGCAGTAATAGTAGTTATACTTGTACCCCATTCCTCCATTCCCTAGTAAACAAAGGTAAGTTTAGGTTTTAGGGTTTGAGGTTGGCTTCCTGCCTTCTTTGGGCTTTGTTGCTAGGGGTTCCTAACAGGAGTTCTGTGATACATACGAGTTCCTGGGATTGCTTGGGGCTTCTTCCGGGGATATATAAGTGTTTCATGAGATCTTTGCGGTGTTTTCTATGGTGTTTACAAGACTGGAAGACACTGGAAGCCTGGTCTTTGGTGTAGGGTTACTTCGAGCCTTCCCCTGTTTTTCTGGTGGGCGTAGGGTTCTAACAAGACTATTGTGGTCTTTGGGTTTGCGGATTAGGGCTTAGAATTAGGATTTAGGTTTTAAACGGGTTTCGGGCTTTGGGGTTTAGAGAACGTTGGGTGCAGTGTTGTTTAGATTTCTACGTTTAGGACCTCTAGTGTTTAAGGATTAGAACTGAAGGAAAATTCAATCAAGACAGAAGAAACAAAACACGTCCAGCATTCGCCTGTTTGTTGGTCTCAGGCTGGCAGAGACTGAAGCCAAACGAATGCAGACCAAAAACACACAGAAAATTAAACGCGCTTCCTTCATAGGATTGTAACGGAAGGGGGGCAGAACCCCCCCCCCCCCAAACGCATAAGCTTAATTAAGGTTATTTTGGGGGGGGGGGGTTGAAGTGCCGTATGTGTCGCGCCTGCCAGCAAATTCTATCGAGGGCTTCTGGGCGAGTGCTATTTTCATTTCAATAAGGCCTTTCGGAGGCTCTGAGTGCTAAAGTGCCTCTATTGAGGCAGCTTGTGCCTCAATAGTGCCCTATTTTCGTTTATCGAAAAATCCCTACCGAAAGCAAATTTTGTTTATCGAGTGGGGGGCTATTACTGCCTATAAGGTGCTATTGAGCGTTACCCCGGCGAGCCCTGATGAGTGCAATTTTGGCTAGCCTGACAGCTTCACTGGGCCCCCCTGTAAGCCTCAATAGGCCTCAATAGGCTAAGTGGACGTGTTTTTTTTTAGGCCTCGCAGCCTCGCAGAGCACCCCTATAAGCCTCAATAGGAAATGCAGATAAGACTCAATAAGCCTCGATAGCCCCGATGCGCGAAATACCCCTCAAAACAAATTTACCTCTCAATAACACTCGCTGAAGCTTATGCGTTTGGGGGGGGTATCTGCCCCCCTCCCGTTACAATCCTATGATTCCTGCCTTCTCTCCGGATCCTCGTTTTATTTAAATTTGTTTCGTCTTCGTCTTCGGTTGAAGCGTTGAGGCCAGACGAAAGCAGGGCTTCAATCCCGAACCTCACAAAAGGACGGAATCGCCGCTGGGAGTGGTGGCTTAAAGGGGGCAGTCTGTCACAGGACGGGAGCAACCCCCTGAACCCCTAAACCCTAAACCTGTATGGTGGATCTTTCTTTCAGCAACAATAAAGAGGGCCAAAGAGGGCCTCCAAAAATCGACGCGTGGATGCCACTGAAGCGACGCTGCATCGTCGAGCGTTGCCTGGGGTAGGGACCGTAATAATTGGGATAGAGTTTCCGAAGGTTCCTTCAGAAAAGTTCTATACGGGTTCCTATCAGGTGTGGGGGCATGTTTTGGTGTACTCATAATCAGGACTATAATGGGATGTGAGGATGCGGTTACAGATATTCCGACACCTAGACTAATCTTCGACGCGGCAAAACCGTTGGACATAGGAAGTTCTTCTTCTGTCGGCTTCAGTTCAAGATTTTGGAGCTCAAGGCATTGGGTTTAGACTGGGTCCAGGCGTTGCTAGGTTTAGGATAGTGGGCTTGTATTTTGTAGGTTCTAGGGCTTTGGATGTGAAGCTGGGTTCTTGGTTGCTAGTATCCCTCGATGGAAAACTGCTACCAAGGAGCCCTTCGTACACGCACCCCAAGCCTAACTGACAAACCACCCTCACGACAGGGTTGAGGGTGTAGGGTTTAGGGTTCAAACTCTGTTGCTGCGAGCCCCAGCATGAAAGCCTTTTGCTGCCATGCTCTTTCATGCACCTTCTGCCTCGTGTTCATCCTCCTGAAGGACTAGCCAATTACGTTGGCCTAGCCCAAACCCGAAACTCTGAACCCGAGTGAAGAAAATGAATCTGGGGTCGGGGCTCGACCTGCCACTCATTCCGGGCCTCCGCATAGTCCACCTGCAAAGGTTTCCGTGCGTCTTGCTAGCTGTAGCTTGGGGGTTTAGGGATTTAGGAGTCTAGGGCTGACGGCTTAGAGGGGAGGGGATATAAGATGCGCGAGTTCTCAGGTTCGGGCTTTGTTGTGGCGACGTGGGCATGGAGCTGCCGTAGAACTGACTTGTGTTTCGGATGGCACGTATGAAGATTTCACAGACCTTGTTGAGCCCTGTTGCCTGTATTCATGACCGACGTCAGCATGTAAGATGTCTCCATTGTGGGTGTGGGGAGGGGATGCACAGTTCAGGGGATCAAGATAAACTCTCATTTTCTGAGCCCTAAACCCTAAACCCTAAACCATAAACCCTAAACCCTAAACACTTAAACCCATAATCACCGAAATAGAGCGAAGCGCCTTTCCGCTGGCGATGTATAGATCCGGTGACATCTCGCTGGGTATCACAAAGACAAAGTAGTGCCTGCTCCCAGGTGCGGCATTTGAGGTGGAATGCCGGGGCATTAAAGATCAGACTGGTGTCTCGGGGTCGGTTATAGCATGAAGTCTAGCCATATTGGGACCATGCATGGATGTGTTGGGTCTTCGAGCTTCTCGGACCCTCAATTCCCCAACGTCTGAACTTCTTTTGGGACTCGGTCTTGGGGGCTTCTCGAAGGCTGAGGGCTGAAAGTGCGAGTGTGGGCACTTGGGGCTTAGAGCTTAGAAATTTGCAGAGAGAACAATATCCCTTAATTAAGGGATATACCAAATGATAACCTTCGGACCCCTATAATTTAAGGTATATTCATCTTGGACTACGGCCCCTCGGAAGTTGACCACCGAAAAAGCCTTCTTGCGCCGGCTCTCAGTGTGCCCTTTCATACGGATGAATCATCTGCATGGAATCCTTGGTTACAGGTTATGCTTTCCTTGTGGGACCTTTCGACAATTTCGGACTTGTCGAGATTGTGCACATAGAGGAAGCACCGGAAAGGCTTTGCAGGGAAATAAGCACGGGCTGCCCAACCCTGAACGACCACAGAAGGTCTGCTACCTGAACCCCAAAGCCCAAAACCTCAACACTACGACTGGGTCCTTATTCGTCCAAGACTCGACTGACCTCCTCTTACAAGCGTTACACAGTCCCCATAAGCAAAAGGTAGCCCAACAAGAGCCTGCCGAAGATGATGCGGTCGCCGTGCTGGAGCTCGTAGCCCGAGACCTCCCAGAAACAAAACGTCGGCGTGCTAGGATTTTAGAAGGTCTTTATTCCAGTGCTGTCATAGTTTACAGGAATTCTTTATTTGTTACAGAAGAGAGTTAAGGGGTTTGGTTCGAGCGCTTTCATAGTTTGTAGGGATTTTTTGAAAGCATTGCGCAGTGCTTCTTTGCATTTTGTAAGGGCTTTACAAATCTGTTCTATTCTTAGAGGTTGATAGATGGGAATCTGGACCAGCGTCTTGAAGCCGAACTGAACGCTCTCCTCAAGGCCCCCTGAACTCCGAAACCCGAAACCCGAAAGCCCAATATCCGACTTCCCGAACTCGGGGGCCTGCAATATTATGATTAGAATAGGTCAAACGAATATTGGATTTGGGGTTTAGGGCTTGGAACAGGGCTTTATCTGGTTCCGTCAAAGGAACAACCTTGGTAATCCAGGTGTCGGTTTCAACAGCCCCCAAAACTATTCATAACTTGGGTTCTAACCTCAACAATAAGGAGATTAAAAAATATCCCAAATCGATACCTAGTAATTGTCCGCCTGGGGCTTCTCGCTCTGCCTGCAGATCCTTAGCATTCGGTGGACGTGCGCAAAATTATTCTTCATAGGGGTTTAAGCCGGGTTTTCCAGGGCGTTCACAGGTTTAATAGGGTTTTACATGGTGTCATGCGATTCTGTAGAATATGTGTAGCACTTTACCTTGGTTTCGTGATACGGCGCTCGTGGGTTTCGGATCTCAGGCTCAGAGCATTGAATTGAAAGCTGCACGGCGGAACGAAGGGAGGAGTGAGAGTGTAATATAGAAGCTTGAAGACGTAGTTATGCCACTGCTTAACGGCTTAATGCTCCATACTGTCATTATGTTGCTGGGCTTGCCGTGGTAACTTCCGTGTTATCTCTCCCACTGGAATCATCCGTATGATTTCGATTGACAGAATACAGTTCTTACCTTCGACAGTCCCCTTGAAGCGCCACGACCTACGACCCAAAGCTCGAAGCTCTCAATCCGAAGCCCCGAAGCCCAAATGTCCCACAAGGTTTGGCTAGCGGAATCTCTTTGTACCGAGGCCTTACACCCGAATGCTAACGAAGATTTGTGTCGCCGTAGCGAAGGATTCAGACTCTACGAGCCGAAGGCTCCAACAATACCTGAAGCCCCAAAGCCCCGCAGGTGGCGAATGTCTCCAATGCCATATGGACCCGGCACGCCAAAACCCCAACCCGAAGTCCCCAAACGCTGAACACCGACACCAGAACCCGGACCTACACCTTCACACCTGAAACGCCTATCTGGGAAGGTAGAAAAGAAGTTTCCATGTGCAGTGCGGGGATGGTACATCTTTCCAAGAACCCCGAAGCCAAGCAGTCGAATGCTGATTCACAAGAATCCTGCGGGCTGCTGGCCGCAAACCAAGGGTGATGAAGCAGGCAGGAACATGCCGAAGAAAGGTAATGATGCGTTGCTATCATAAGCAGGTAAATGGATCTACAACTCATGATGAGCCCATAAAATGACCCCTCATAGTAAACCTTAGAGGGACACCTTCAAGGAACCCAGAAGCTGGCTTCGCCTCTGATTTCGGTTGCGTCACATGCCGGTGGCCAGCGGCCCTGCCCACGAATTCTCGTGCAGGCTCTGCAGCCAGCATACGTGCTCAAGCAACTGCTGGTTCTCACGCACGGCCTTGAGTCGCTCGTGCTCGTGCTTCAGCTCCTTAAATTCACGATCTTTTGCTTCAGCTTCCGTGTGCAGTCCCCGTTGACTCAAGCGGGCAGCATGCGATCGTAATCCAGTTATCTTCCTCGCCCGTCCTTGGCCTGCAGCATCCAATCTCTTCCCAAACATTTGGTTCCCGGTGAGGCCCGCAAGCTCAGCGCTGACTTTGCCCGCATTCTCCGGCGTCAGGCTCAAGGCGAGCTGCGCTTGCCGCGCTTTGCAAAGTAATCCGGCGTCCAACAGGTGTTGCAGTATGTGCTTGCAGTTGGGCAAACCGCAAACCCAAAGTTGTGCATCCCTTTTGAAATGCCCAAGCGTTGCATCTATGCCAGATGTCGTCTTCAAGAAATCACGGAGACTCCCCAGCACTCGGGGGTGCTTTTGCGAGACTTGCAAATGCAGCGATGCTCCTGCATGGTCCTGCTGGATGTAGCCCTCTGCATCAAAAAAGCCGCCAAAGTAGGTCCAGCTGCAGGGCCCAGCGACCGCCGAGTCGGACTTCTTCAGCGCGCGCAGCTCGGCCTTGTGGTCCTCTCTTCGCGATTTTGTCTTCGGCCATCGGGCCGCAATCAAGAGCTGCTTCTGCTTGGTGATGCTGTGTGGTGCGAGCAGCTCCGCTGCCCTTCGGGCCGACGGGCCGGAAACGATCCACCGAAGCATTGGCTTAGTCAAACCCACGCCGTCACGTTGGAGCCCGATGCTCCCACCGAATGCTTCACGGAAGAGCATGAGAACTTCCGCCTGGTCGAAAGACTGTCCCACGTCCAACCTGCATCCAGACAGACCCGTCAAACAGCCAACGGAGCCATCCCCGTCGAAGAAGCCGGCCAAGTACTCCAGCCTGGCTCTCGCCGGCCGATGCGACAAATCTCTGCTCTCGGCTCGCAGAGGCAGGCTGCAGGTACGACCGTTCGCCAAAAAATACTTCAGCTTTGGCCATGGGGTCTTCTTCAGCTCCTTTCGGAGGTCCTTGTTCTTTCTTTGGATTTCCGGCGATGTGTCGTCTGGATGTGCAGACAAGCTGAGGTACTTTGGCAAGTCTTGCTTTTCTATCCAGATTTCCTGCGCTGTGTCACAAGGATTCGCAGATTGGGTGCAGTGCGTCACACCCGCAGCACTTGCAAAACCTTCTAGGCTGATGCCGGGCCAAACACAACATGCCAGTATCAGACCCATAACTAGGCCCTTCCACCCGCCGCCCAGCCTCTCCCTCCTCCTTCTCGCATACTCCACTTCTCGCATCTCTATGGCTGGTCGAACATTCTCCTCACAGTCTCGGGCTGCAGCCAGCTTGAGCCCAAACCCACCGAGCCCCTCCACGTCACACGCAACCGGGCAGAGACTCCAAAAGGGGGTTCCTTGCACTTCTACGCACGTCTAAAGCCTCGAAGACCTCGAGGCTCCTAGGACCTGTCTTTCTGCTCAACATTGATCTGCGAACCTCGTCTTGTTGTTCGATTGTGGGCTTTTGCCTAAGGTGTGCGGCATCAGTCTGTTTCATGCATCGTGAGGGTACACTGTCGGATTCATGTCAAACCTGTCCCGTTCATTTTAATGTTTCGGCCTTCTGTAAAAAGAAGGCATCCCGCTGAATCGAAGAAGGCAACCCAAAAGCCGGAGGAACGCCAAAGACTCGGACCCAAGACCTCGAACCCCCAAGCCTCCAAAAACCGAGGCCAACAGCCATTGAGGCCGAGGATCTGAGCCTCCTCCTCCACACCTGAAGAGGGCGCGCGGCGACGGGGTGGATGAAAGCAAGACTCCAAGGGTAAAAGGAGGGACCCTTAATAAGGACCCCTGGATATATATATATATATATATATATATATATATATATATATATATATAGAAATACATATATATATATATATATATACATATATATATATACCCTTAATATAGCTATTATATACCCATTATACAGAGTCCCTCCTTTTCCCCTTTCAAAGACGCAGTCAGAGTCCCGTAGGGCTTCGGATTGGGGCTTCCGGGTGCCTTTTAAGTGCTACTTGGAGGATCATGGGACTTCGTGGTTCCTTTAAGGGTACTATAGGTGTCTATGATAAAGGGCTCCTTAAAGGGTTCCTTAAAGGGATCTATAAGGGTTCTATAATGGAGGATCATGGGACTTAGTAAGTAAGGTTATAGGTACCTGAATTGGGTTATAAGTATAGTTACCCTAGTTATAACCCTAGTTACTAAGTCCCATGATCCTTTAAGTACAGGACACCGAACACTTTGGGCGCAAGCGATGCTGAGAGATAGGGGATTTCGATTATCGGTTGAAGTACTGAAGCCAATCAGTCTTCGATGTGGCTCTGACGTTGTAAAGTTTACGAGTCTTTTGGTCCAGGGGCCTTTAGGGTTGCGAGGGGGTTTTGTACCGCCAGAAACAGAGAATCCCGGGTTGGACCCTTCAATCCCCAGAAAGGGCAAATATTAATCTGAATAAGCTCTGCCCCGAAAAACCCTACAATACCGTGGCTTAAACTTATAAAGTTTGAGCCCTTGCCCCTGCAGCTTTGACCCAAAACCCGAAAAGCCTAAACCCGAAGCTCCAAACCCTAATAACCCTAATAACCCTTTTAGGGTATAGGAACGGTAATAGGAACCCTAGTCCTCAAACCTCAGCCCTGCACTCTAAACTGCCCGGCTCCTGAAATCCGAATCCCGGAAGCAGACGCCGAGATCAAACAAAGCCCGAGGTAAATCACCTCTGAACGCTGGAAAAAACCTTCCCACTGGAAAAAAGATTGCAAATACTGACAACCATGATGACTTCATATACAAAATTACAATACGGGTAATAATCACGAAACACATAATCAACATGACAACCATGAGAAGACAGAGGAAATACATTGAGCGAAGCAGAGAAATCCCTCTCGGGCCGTGCCTAGATCACTCAGTACGTCTTGGAGGCTCCTGCCGTCGGTGGGAAAAGGACGGTTTTGAAAACCCAAACCCTAACCCCTATACCCCAAACCCTAAGCCATAAACCCTAAAGCCTAAAGGTTCAAGGCTGCTTCGGCATCGGGGTTTCTGGGCGCCTTAATAATTAGAATAAGGTTCCTTTAAAGGGGTCTATAAGGGCTACTGCAAGGGCTACTATAAGGGTTTAGAGTAGGGGCCTTAATAATTAGAATAGTGTTTGGGGGTAGATTCTACTATACCTATAACAAGGAACCCCCGAAGCCCTATGTTCTAGTGAAGGTTATGGGGTTGGGTACCTTATAGTATAACCATAACGAGCAGCCCCGGAAGCCCTACGTCTTAATGAAGGTTCCGGGATTCCGGTGTTGATCGTCTTTGTGTTTTGGGACTGTCGAAGCTCGGATATTGAGGGGCTGCTGTGGTGTTTCAGGGGTCGGGTTTTTACGGTGGAGAAAGATGGGGGTTTCCGAAAATAGGGTACTAGAAGGGCTCCTTCAATGGGTTTCCGTAAGGGCTACTATTAGGGTTCCTTTAGAGGGCTTTAGATGGGTTTATGAAGGATTCCGAAAAGAGGGGACAGTAATATAGTACCATAAATAGTAGGTCCTTATTATTAGGACCCCAACATAAGGTACCCCTCATTCCCGGAAACTCCCATGCGCCGGCTAGTATTCATGCTGCGGAAATTGATGCTGGTATCGTGAACATCTGCTATTGTATTCAGATGATCAACAATACCAAAAAACACCTATGCATTCAAGCAGAGTAGAGACTATGCGAGCGTTCTGAAGATTACGAGAACAGCTTTCATCATACCAGTACATAACCGCACGTGCAGTACAAAGCTCGTAACATGTTCAGTATTCTGGGCACTACCATCAAAACCTGTACTACTGCTCTGCTGAGCTCACCGCATATACCTACGATGCTCATCGTGAAAGAGTATTAGGTATGTGCGGGTGTCTGGTAAAGAGATAACAAACCTTCCAGCATCGAGAATATTCTTCTGGTTCTGAGTTCTGAAGGGTCGTCTTCGACTTTGGCCAAAAAATTCTGATCTACCAACGAGTGTGATGCGAAGAACACGAATTCTGTCCTGCCATTGACAAAAGTGTCCGTGGCACCGCGCTCGCAAGAGGGGAACAGGATGCACTTGTCCCCTTCCTGGATCTCAGGTTCGGGGTCTACGATTGGGGGTTGAGCGGATTCACGGCTGGGGGGCCTAGGGTTGAAGTCTGCAGGCGAGAACTAAGGAGACCAAAGCCGCGCCAGGAACTCTCAATTCCTAACCAAGGCGTTCTTGTGGACACTTGAGGCTTACTGTATAGGGTGTTGGAGTTGAGGAATTGGACGCTGGAATTCAGGTCTTCAGACCCTGTCATTACGTGAAGCCCAGTGGCGGTAAAGACAACGGCATGGTTCCTGGCAACGCCTTCCCCAAGCTCGATGTTAGGCGGCGACTCCTCGCAGGGAGAGAACCCATCAAACCGATGGCTTCTTCCGAGGCACAGAGCTTGAACTCCTTGCGGCCTCCCGTTGTGACCTAAGCTATACTCCTGAAATAATGCGTATCAACAGACACCGTCCAGGCTTCTAAATTGGTTCAACTTACGACGATTTGTGATTCGTATGTAGCATACGGGTTCAGAGTTTAAGCGGTCTTCCGAAAGCTATAACTATGGCCCTGATCATGACCGATGATAGGAAACAAAGGCCGCAAAATGTGAACCCATCCCAAAGACTCGAAACTCTCAAAGGGTCAACACCTACTCTGCTCGCTAATCCGAAAAGCCGGCTTAAAGGATGAGAGAACTTGACAATTACGGTAAGTACCTTCATGGGGCAGGGTGTATTGAAAAGATCAAGGGATCCGGCAAGTAGAGTTATAAGTACCAGCATCCTTAGAAACGCTTGTCAAGCCCCTGTTCGCCATTTTCGAACCTGTATAGGACCCGAAAGGGACCTGTAAACCCTGGCAGAACCGACAAAAAGAAACCTTGTAGAACGCCTACACAGTCGAACTGCTATAAAGACCCGAGCCGCTGAAAACCCGTGCAGCTCCTCCGCCTGTGCTACGTCTTCTGCCGACCCTGCGCGGAGGCGGCTGCTTGTGTGAGACCCTTTTAACAACAAAGTGGGGCAGGGCTTCGGGGTTCAGAATTTCGGGCTTAGGTTCAGGTTGAGCATCTCACGGGGTCTCTCGAAACATTGGCTACCTGCTTTGACTTCGCGCCGATCACTTCCCTGGAGTACAACAGCACACTCAATTGATAGGATTGCCGCATACGACATGAGTTCTGGCCCCTGCGGTTTTCACAAATCTTGTCTTTACTCAGGGCTTGGAAATCCCGCCATCCCACTCACCACAAACCCCAGTCCCAAACCTGAGACCCTTGCCGAAAAAACCGTGTGAAACGAAAGAAGGGGGTCGAGAACTGTGAACGGTGCCAGGACCTTAAACCCGCCGGAAACAAAAAACAAAAACAGTCGTGTAAACATAAACGAAGAACTAAGAAAACAACTAGCCAAGCAGGTAAACACACGAAAACAACAAAAACAATACTAATCACACTCGGATCACAATCACTATCACTATCACGTCACAATTACGACCACCACCACAACAACAACAGCAACAGCTACAACAACAACAACAACAACAACAACAACAACAACAACAACAACAACAACAACAACAACAACAACAACAACAACAACAACAACAACAACAACAATAAATACAATAAACAATAACAGAAAGAAAATATGTGTAACAAGAAAAGCTTTAAATAATGAAACAATACCAGTAGCAGCACTCATGGTAACGAAACGAAAGTAATAGTAACAATGAAAATAAACCTAACTGTTTCAGTAATAACAATAGTAATAATCATAATATGAAAATGCGGCAAAAAGTCTGGCCTTCGCTGTCATCGCTGTCGGAATCACTGTCCGAATCCGAGTCGCTATCGGAGTCCTCGCCTCCTGAGCTTCGGAGCTTCTTTCAGGGTTTCTGTAAATTTCGGGTTCTGTGACACAAGATAAAGTTGTAGCAGGCCTTCGTAGGGTTCAAGTGTCTCTATACCAGTTACTGTGTGGGTAATTCTCTAAATTAAGGTCCCTTTCAGGGTCCGTTTTTATCGGGGTTCCATACTATTTGGGGCCAAACAGGAACCCTACTTTAAAGGACTACCTTAGAAAGTCTCTGTGAGCAAAGCTTTTTATAAGGGTATCGGGTTTCGTCGTGTTTTGACACAGGTTTCTGTAGGGGTTTCTATGACCGTGTAACGTTTCTATAAGGTTAAGGGTTCAGGCAACACATTTTCGGATCTGGTCTGAGAACCAAACTTGTTAGACCACTCTGGGCATCACGGCACATGTGTCAAACATGATAACCTCCACGTTGATATGCCGCTTCAGGCAGCACGGCACCTGCCCTGCCAAAAAGTATGTATGTGTTAAATTTGAAACCTCCAAAATACTTACATGCGTGTGTATATATATATATATCTGCACATGTGTGCCTGCGTGTGTATGAATGTACGTACGTGTATGTATGCATGCATGTATGTATGCATGTATGTGTATGTGTATATGTATGTATATGTGTATGTGTATTTGTATGCGTATGCGTTTGCGTATGGGAATGAGTATAGGTATGTGTATGTGTATGCGTATGTGTATGCGTATGGGTATGCGTATGTGTATGTGCATGTGTTTGCGTATGTGTATGCGTATGTGTAGACGTATATGGATATGGATATGTATATGTATGTATGTACATACATATATATATATGTATGTATGTATGTGTACATAAGTATATACATATGTGTACGCAATATGTTTAAGGGTTATGTGTTATTTAACTTACATCTCCCCAACCTGTTAGAAGCTGCTGCCCGCAGGGACCCTAATTCAGAGAACTACGCGATATGGGTTCCGGAGATTCTTGCTGGGGCTTAAGGCCTTCTGAAATCTTTCATAAGTTGTGTAAGGGCTGCACATGGGTTCTGCAGAGGCCTTTAGGGTTCTAGGGTTCGTGAACAGGGCTGAAGGCCGGCAAGCGGTTTTCGGATTTGGGCCGTTATGCGGCTTGCCAGTTTAACATCATTCTACATCAAAGGCTTCTGAGGGCGTATACAACACAGTGCTGCCAGCAAGGACCTCGGACCCCAAACTCTAAATCACCGCGACCCTACACCCCTAATTAAACCTCATCTGCAAACCGAAAAAATGCTCCGGGAGACCCCAAACCCTTAACCCTACAGAAAACCCGAAGCCTTCAAAAATTGCTCCGAAGACTCCCACACCGCCGATGGTGTTGCGCGTGGCGACGAACGGATGCCGAATGCGGCCAGTCAGGGTCTTGTCCTCAGCTCTGCTGGCTTGGGCTTGGGGGTTCAGGGATTTGGGGCTTTGGGGTTTAGGGTGTAGGTTTTTGGGGTTTAGGGTTTAGGGTTTGGGAATTTAAGGTTCTAGGGTCTTTGGGTTCAGAGTCTAGGGCTGGCTTTTGGGGTTTGTGGGATGAGCGGGCGGAAGATTTAAATCAGACTCGTTGATTCATTCATACCTTCGAGATGACAGGCTTACAGAGACCTTCACCCTGCAGTGGAAGCTCCAAGCCCAAAACTTCTGAAGTCGAAACCCTGAACCCTCAACAGCTCAAGACCCTCAAGACCCTCAGAACCTTAAAGGAACACCCACTCGGCCCCGCACCTCATTGAGGTTGACCTCGGAGGCAGAGAGGGACAGGGCCAAACAACGAGCTGAGGGCTTTCGGGCTCAGGGTTTAGGCTATGTCGTTCAGCGTTTAGGGTTTAGGGTTTAGGGTTTAGGGTTTAGGGTTTAGGGCCCGGGCAAGATACATGAAGCTTCGACCATGGGCGCGAAACCCTCGACTTTTGCAGGAACTTCTCGACCCCGTGGCACGGGCCCCAGCTTAGTAACAGCTCATGAGCTTCGGACAGAAACTGTCCCTGAAATCAAAACCTCAACGGAGCTCACAGTAGTATTGCAGATTGAGGCAGAACCCAAATTTTGCAAATAGGGGGCCCTAACATAGTACCAAAAAACGGATCCTTAAGGACCCCCCAAATAAGGTACCCCTAATTTTCGAGAAAGCCCCTGTCGCAGCCACGGTGCCAGCATCGGCTGCGTGTCACCCACGCGCAGGGAGCTCCTCCGGCGGCTGCGCGCCGCCTCGGGTTCTTGTTTTTGGGATACTTTGCTTGGAGGTTCATGGGTAGTTATAAGCCGGGTAAGAAGCAGGGTAACTATGATTATAACCCATATTAGGGGACTTATAACCCCACTTATAACTACCCATGAACCTCCAAGTAAGGGTTTTCTATCAAATCCACCGGACAACCATGATCCTCCTCACCATCACTATCACCATGACCAGCATTGGCCTCACAATCACTTATACCTGTCGATTCGTCTACTATGACTGATGTTTCTCCCTGCTGCGGTTCTTCTTCTACCAATGTGGGAAAGCTCGGAAAATGAGGGACCCTAATGTACGCACGAAAGAGTGCTACATTGACGCCGGAAAACGGGACCCCCCGCAACCTGAAACCCTACCACCTGAAGTTCTCAACCCCTGCCAACCCATGAACCAACCCAAAACCCTAAACCCTAAACCCGTTTAACTTAGTCTCCCCACCAAAGATACCGGCCGAAAGCCAGGCGAGCTTCTCATTATGAGAACCCCTAAACCCCTAAACCTTTTAAAGGCAAATGAAAAACAAAAAGATAAGGGTAGTAACCCAAGAAGGAATAAGCATGCATATAAACAAAAAGACCAAAACAACAGAGAAAGGCTCGCCTCCTGTTGCTCTTTGGCCTCGGCTACCTTCTCGGCCCAGCCTGGGAGAGCTTTGAGTGGGTTTTAAGGTTTAGCGGTTAGGCTTTTAGGGTTTGGGGTGTAGGCTGCATGGTTTAGGCGTTAGGGGGCTTAGGGTTGTAGGGTTTTAGGGTTTAGGGTTTAGCGGTTTGGGGTTTAAGGTTTGGGTCTGGGCTTTAGGGATTGGGGCTCGGTAAGTAGGGCTCTGAAAGGATTCCAGGACGATTCCACCCGGGGAGTGTTTACTATCGGCTACTCTTACCTTTGGTGAGTAGGGAATGGAGGAATGGGCCAGGAATGGGGTACAATTATAGGTACTATTACCACCATTCTTCCATTCCCTACTAACCAAAGGTAAGTACTATACAAAAGGATGCGAGAGACTGAGCATGTCTGGCTTCGGGTTTCCAAGGGTTCCTATAGGGGTTACTATACCTAAAGGATCGTGAACTTGGTATCTAGGGGTTTTGTATGGTGTATCGGCTGCTACAGGGTTTTAGTAGGTCGGATTAAGTACTGTAATTGGGGTATTAAGGGGTTCGATAGCTGTCATGAGTCATTAACTTTCTTAAAGCCCTACTTACTAGGTCCCCTGATGCTCTCCCGCTCTGCGGCATTTGTTTCTCTAGAGTCAAGAATGCCAGAGCTTCGCAGATGCGAAGTTTTGGTGTCTTAGGGCTGCTTTGGGCTTTTGCTTTTAAAGGTATGCAAAGGTAGTGTGGGGGTTTTATACGGGTTTTGAGGTGATGGAAAGTTTTGAGGTGTTGCCGGGTTGAAAACGGTGCTAGGGACTTCTCTTGGCACCAGAGCCCACAGTATCCAGAAAACCCTTTAAAAGCTCTTGAGACTCGAAACCCCGAATCCTACACTCTAAACAACAGACCCACTAGGAGTCACTCGTAGGTATGCAGACAGGTCAACCCTACGAAGGCCTGTTGAAACCTTGTGAAGCCTTGCGACCACCCTTCATTAAGAAAAACCACGCAGTCAAACCCCACAAAAACCCCCTAAACACCAAACCCTTGAACCATTAAACCTTGAACCCTAAGCCCCTAAACCCTAAACCATAAAACCCTACGAACAGCCCAGTGGCTCTTGTTCTCATTCGCCAAAGCCGCCTCGATGGCCGCGATCTCCTGCTGCCTGGCGCCCATTTCCTTTGCAGCTGACCGGCCGGGGCTAGAGGTGGCCAGCTAGGGTTTAGGGTTTAGGGCTTAGGGGATTAGAATGGGGATCCTTTTAAGGGGATCCTTTCAAAGGGTCCTATATGGGATCTATAATAGGGTTCTATAATATAGGGGCCTTAATACTCTAATCATAATAAGGAGCCCCAAAATAGGACTGGTAATTATTTAAGCCCCTATAGTAGCTAGGGCTGAGGCCTTGGAGTTTAGGGCTTACTGGTAGGATTATCCGCACCGGATTGTTTAGCATCTATGGGATTTGTACAAGGAGCCACAAATCTGGTTTGGGTAACTTAGTCAGTCAGTTGGGTGGACCCCAGACCAGGCCCTGAACCCTGAAACCCTAAACCCTAGATCAGAGCTAAATCCTAAACCCTAACCCCTAAACCTAAGAAACCTAAACCGTTGTCATCTTAAGTCCACGAAAGCAGGGGTATCGGAAAAGCGAATCTGGCAGCGAGGAGTCCAAAGCCGCTCCAAGCACTCGAACGGCTCACAGAAATGGAACGCTGAGTCTTCTTTTCAGGTCTAGGGCAGACCGGCATACGGGTTAGCCCTAAACCCTAAACCCTAAACCCTTAGGGACTTCGAGCCATGGGCTTGATTGCCATTCCCAAACAGTCCGAGAAGCTTTGATGGACTGGGCATCGGGCATCGCGCCACCTGTGGCCAGGAAAAGGGATATTGGAGTTTTGGGGAACGACAACTCAGAAAGCATCATGGTCTCCGTCATCACGAACAACCAATCATCTTGTTCTTAGGCTTATCATCACTACAGTTGTCATCACCGTCGTCAATACCACCGGTTCCGAACGTCGGCGACAGTCCGCGACAGGCCGGATTCTGCACAGAATCTGGAAGTGAGGTTTGGGTTTGGCTTTGTAGGGCTGAGGGCTGAGGGACCCGCAAAAGCTCAGACTGCAAAAGTGCTTAAAACCCGACAGCGCTTCTACGAGCTCAACCCCCAACTCCGAACCTATGCTATGAGGCAGACCTGCCCAGAGACTCCGAGATCCCTCAAGTACTTACGTTGGAGTCGGAATCTTTCCTCGCCCATACTCTATCTCCCACAAACTGTATACTAGACTAGACTGTATGCTTCCCGGCGCCAGAAAGGCCTAGGGGGTTTCGGAAGAGGGGCCTTTGGTTTGGGGTCATTATTGAAGATTAGACTTCGTGTCGTTAGAGTTCGGGATGAGACTTCAAGTACGGCTACTGCTGTTTCTGCGACGACGACTACGATTTAGGTATTACTTATTACTACTACGTACCATACCACCACAACGACGACGACTGCCCCCGCCTTAACCCAATCTGTAGACAAACCCCGAACTCTGAACCCCTCGACCCAGGACACCTCAATGAGGCCTGCCTACAAAGCCGAACTAGGAACTCATGGAGTAGCCTTTGCAGGGAACCTCAAACAACATAAGGCCTGCCATGTCTTGGAAAATCTTCTTGAGCTTCTCGTTCTCTTCCCGAAGCTCTCGCATCAACCGCTCCTCGCTAGGACTTGCTGCAAGAGCGCAGTTCAGGGCCATGCGGCGTTGTCAACATGCTTTACAAGAGATTATGTTATACTTACAGCGAAGGTAAACCCGAAACCCCCAAAGCCCTAAACCTTTGCAGGAACCCTTCAAAGCCCTACAGCCTCAACCTTAAACCCTACTCCCTAAACCAAACCCCTAAACCCCACAGAAAGCCTAATCACCTAAGCCCTTCAAAAGGAACCCTTTGAGGGAAGCCATGAGCATTCAAGCCAGAGGTTGCAAGGAACCTGCCTGGGGGTTCTCGTTGACCACCGCGTGATTCCTTGTCTTCTTGGGGACTCCCTACAAACAGGGCTGAGGGACTCGGACAGATGGCTTCGGGGGTTGGGGTTCTTTTGGCTTCGGATTCTGGATTTTAGAGCCTTCAGTGTTGCGCCTTCAAGGCTCTACTTTTCGACCTTTGAGTCTGGAGCCTGAGGGAGCTTCACCTTCTCAGGGTTTGGGCTCCTTTAGGTTTAGGGTTTAGGGTTTAGGGTACTTGGAGGATCATGGGACTTAGTAAGTAAGGTTGTAAGTACCCTGATTGGGGTTATAAGTATAGCTACCCGAATTATAACCCTAGTTACTATAAGTCCCATGATCCTTCAAGTAGGCTCATGATCGCTGAGGCTCCTGCATGGCCAACTTTAGGATGCTCAGCTCCAAAGCCTTTGATTTCAGGGCCTCCGAGCTCTCTGCGGTCGAACGATGGGGCATTTCTGCTCGACTTTGCTTTCACGAAATATTGCATCAAATCCGATGCTTTGCATCGATTTGGACCACAACTCCCATGTAACGGTGGGATGCACCCAGCTCAACAAGAGGGGAAGCGGTGAAAAAAGCGCCGTCGGCTGTGCGATCCTGGTGCCTTGCTGGCATGGACGATAGACGGGAACTGTGGCGGAGGCGCTCCGCTCAATGGTACTTCCTGCTTGCCACAGCAGCCTGTCTGACTGTCTTGTAGCCTTTCAGCTGCCTCAGCAAGGGCTAATGAGGCCGCAGTTGTTCACTAGGTTCTCTGTGTCGATCATCTTCTGGATGATATCGTTAAAGTTTTGCCTGTACGTGTCCCCACAGCAGCCGGAATCCCTCACGCAGTTCATGTACGTGCGCACTCCATCGCAGCCCGGCCTGGATGGGCAAGTCACAGCTTTTCTCGGTTCGCAGCCACATCCCTGAAGGACTACAGCCAGCAGGGCCATAACAGTCACCGCGGCCACCGCGCCCCTCCCTGCCATGGCAAGAGCCGACCTATCAGCCGGTCTAAACCCACGACTCGAGCCGAGATATGCGTGGAGGTTGCTACGGAGATCGAGCTTTGTTGAGACCAAGGTTGCTTACATGTTCCTGCATTTCGCCTGCCAGCTGCATGCTGTCACCCTGTGGGAGCTTTCATGAGCAACGTGTGTGCCGCGCTGTTTACGCGTCGATTGGGAAAGGCTCCAGGGATTACGGCAAGGCGAAGGTCTGGGGTTTACGGTTTAGGGTTTGGGGTTTAGGTCACCTGTCACGGCAGGAAGCTCTGATTCCCATCCCTGAAAAGAATGCCGTAGCAATGGTTTGGATCTACATAAAACAATATGGTTTCTTTATTGTAGTAACTTAAACTAAATCCCTTAAACCCTTCATTTTAAGGAACCCTTATAGATCCCTTAAAGGACCCTTACAGATGCCTACTATGGTAACTTAAATTAAAGCCCCTAAAAACCCCAATCAAGAACCGTTTTATAAGAGCAGCAACCCCAAAAGCCCCTAAACTCCTAAACCCTAGACACTAAACCCTAACCCTAACCCTAAATCCCTTTACACTCAGCCCCTTAACAAGAACCCTAGCATAAGAGCAGACGAAAGGCTTAATCTTCTTGGCGCGGTCTGCGTAGCGCAGGGTCGACATGGTCTCCTTCATGCGGCATGCGCAGAAGGAGTTTATGCAGGATCAGGGCAGGGGGTTTAGGGTCTAGGGTGTAGGATCAGGTTCGGGGGTTTCAGGCTTCCCGGTTTTAATCTTTAACCCTAAACTCTGAACCCTAAATCCTAAACCCAAACTTACTCCAGTGAACTTCCCACTCGGCCGACACGTCCGAACACCGCATGCAGACCGCGGGCGCATCCCCTCCCCGATGAAGGCTGCGACCACCGGGGACCACACGAAGGCCGGTTTAGGGGTTTAGGGTTTAGGAACACGGTAACCAAGATACCCCCAAATTGGGTACTTCAACCCAAAGTCGACTTGATAGCCTGGTGCTCGAGATTCGTGTGGGGGAACAGGACCGACCAGGCTCAAGATGTCAAGTTCTTATCATAACCTCAAGCTGATAGCTGATCTGACATAAAGGTTCAAGAAATACGAAGGTACCCTTGAAAGTCCCTTCTATCATTAGACTGCAATATGTCCTCAAACCCTAAAAAACCTGTCCGAAGCAACTCCTGCAATAACCGGCCCCGACACGGTCCTCGTGATTCGAAGAGGCCGGGGACAAAGCGCAGATCCTGGGTTCAGGCTTTCTGCCTGCCTTTCTGGCAGGATGTCTGCACGTACGTATTTATGTATGCCTGTATGCATCTATGCATGAATATGTATATGTATATGTATATATATATATATACATACACATTCATGTAGGTCTGGTAGAATCAACCATGGTGAACTGATAAAGCAACGTGATCATAAACGGCTGGGCGCATGATCGTCTTGCTGGAGCCCCCCAGGGCATTCTGCAGCAGCCGGGTGAGCTTGGACTCTCTGTAGGGGATGACGACCTCAGCTTCTCGGCTTTTGCAACCCTAAATAAAGAGCTTGAATAATTAGAAGATGAAGGCTCCCGTGCTATAAGGGTTACTACAAGGGTTTAGTACAGGGGCTTACATAATTAGAATAAGGTTTTGGGTTTGTGGGCATTTTATACAATGGTCATAACAGGGACAGAGTAAACTGTGCTGAGGTATGTGTTTCGGGTATGCGAGGGTTGAGGGGCAATTGAGTTCAGGGCGCTACACGTTTGGTTGTCAGATTTCAGATATCCTGAAAAGGACATCTGCGAGAAATCCTCAACTCCCATTCAAAAGCTTGTTCCGCGGCCGTTCTGCACATGGTTTGAGGCAGGTCCAGATTTTCGGGTTGTTGAGGTAGTCCTTAAAAGTGTCGTAGAAGGCTTTAGATTTGCAGGACATTATGAATCAAATTCGGCATGGTTCAGAAGCCATTATTGCTACGCTTCTCTGCAACTTGGCTCACTACAGTTGGTATGCAGCATCGGCTGACTTGTTCAGATGTTGGTGCGACTCTCCTGTGCAAAGAAAGGCTTAGAGTTTAGGTTTTGGGGTTAGGGACTCTCCGCGCTTTCGACAGCTTGACAGCAAGCTGCATTCTTCTTCTTCTCATCAGCCAGCTTTTCGATGACGTTGCCTCAGTCAACGCTCAGATCAGAACCCTCTAACTGAAGAATATATCTTAAGTCATCAGATTAAGCCCTCGATATTTTAAGCTATAGTTCTTAAGTAAAGGGTATGAAGCTCTTGGCTTCGTAGTGCAATTACCAGGCTGTACTATGGTTACACAGCTATACAAGACACGTGTATCACCAGATTCACAGTGGATCTAGACAGGGGCTGTTCTGCCCCAGTTGAACAGCAAAGGGAGCTCGTTTCAAGATCACCTTGGAAGAGGGAGCCCAGTTTGAAAAACCATACACCTGTGCACAACATATCTAGGCCCGGTCACATATGCTACAAGAGTTGCTCAGTATTTGTTTACTTACGCAAAGCCTCCGCGGAACCACCCCTCGATGCCGACAGTATCGGGCGAGGTGCCAAGGGCACTCAGCGACTTGTTGATGTGCGAACCCTCCTGATGAAGATCTCGGGCTTCACTAGACGACTAGATTCGAAACCTAAGGGTTTGGGGTTTAGAGACGCTGGGTTTGAGGACGAAAAAATTCGGGAATTACCGTTGGGGTTGACGCGAAAAGGATTTCTCAACTTACTAGATAGATTCTGCTAGATATTCCCGCGAAATCCAGGCCGTTTGAACCTCCTTTAAACCGAACCCGCTAATCTGCATGCCCTGAACGCCATAGCAAAAAACCAGAGCAAAGCAACGAAGATGGCCAAAGCCATGGTCCTTGAGCCGATCGCCAGTCGCCCCGGTCTGACCGGCCTGGCATGGACACCGCATTGCGGCAGCCGGTGTTCTCACTATGGCCACCGCCATCAACATCATCGACATCATAATCGAGGGTTTCGGGTTTAGTGTTGGCTCGTGCTGCCAATCGGAAGCTCGTGTTGGATCTGCCGTGGTAGTTTCCGCTGTCTCTCTTCTCTTTTTCTCGTTCTCTTTCTCTTTCTCTTTCTCTCTCTCTGTCTCTCTCTCTCTCTCTCTCTCCCTCTCTCTCTCTCTCTCTCTCTCTCTCTCTCTCGCTCTTCCGCTGCCATCATCTGCATGATCTCGATTGACAGAATACTGTTCCTCGTTCGACAAACTCTGAGCCGTAAGCAGCTCTGAAACCGAAGCGCCAAAGCCCAACTATTCCACGCGACTTGCGGAAAGCCTTCATACCCATGTCCAAGTTTTACATCCGGGTGATTGCTGCTTTGTCGCTGCAATGAACTATTCAGGCTCCAGACATGTGGGCCCAAGGACCGCAGACTCCAACAAATCCAGGGCCCCCAAGCCTTGTAGCGTCCAACACGTTAGGCCCGGAACACCGCGCCCCGGACTGCGACGTCAACGCCTTTCATTCAAACCACAACGCAGACCTGAACTCAACAACTTGCAGTGTCGAGCGCAGACACTGGAGAAGAAGTTTCACATGTCGTTCCGATGGTCTGGGCATCATTGGAATCCTAGACGGCCTTGGCCAGATATCAAAACAGGCAGGAACATATTGCACAAAAAATGGTGGTGATGCGTTGCCATCATAAGCAGCTACATGGATCTACAACTCAGGGTAACCCTATACTAAGCCCTTACAGTGAACCCGTTTAGCGAGACCCCTTGAAAACAATCACCTCTGAAGTTCTCTAGGCGAGTTGGGCGATGACTTCTTTCGGCGGTTTCGTCACATACCAGGAAGAAGAGGTCCTTCCCATGAATTCTCGTGCAGATGCCGTATGTACTCAATGTACTCAAGCAACTGCTGATTCTCATAACGGGCTTTCCGCAGCTCGTGCTCGTCCTTGAGCCGTGCAACCTCACGCTGCTTGGCGTCCGCTTCTGCCTCCAGTCCTCGTCGACACAAGCAGGCAACTTGTCGTTGTGCTGAAAGGATCTTCCTCGCCCGATTTTGGCCTGCAGCGTCCAATCTCCTCCCAAACCTTTGGTTCCCGCTGCGGCTGGCAAGCTCTGCCCTGACTTCAGCCGCATTCTCCGGCGTCAGGCTCAAAGCGAGCTGCGCTTGCTGCACTTTGCAAAGCAATCCGGCGTCCAACAGGTGTTGTAGTATCTCCTTGCACTTGGACAAGCTGCAAACCCAAAGTTCATATCCATATCCAGTGAAATTCCCAAGTGTTGCATCTATGCCAGATGTTGTCTGCAAAAAAGCACGAAGACTCCGCAGCGCTCGGGGATGCTTTTGCGACACTTTCACTTGTAGCGAGGCTACTCTGGGGTCCAGTCTGATGCAGCCCTCTGCATCGAAGAAGCCGGCAAAGTAGCTCCAGCTGCACGGCCCAGCGACCGCCGAGTCGTACTGCTTCAGCGCGCACAGCTCGGCCTTGCGGTCCTCTCTTAGCGATTTTGTCTTTGGCCATCGGGCTGCAATCAAGAGCTGCTTCTGCTTGGTGATGCTATGAAGCGCCAGGAGCCTGACTGCCCGTCGGGCCGACTGGCCGTATGCTTGCCACTGAAGCTTTGGTTTTCCTAAACCCACGCCCCTTCTTTCCCGTGAGATGCTCCCGCCGAATGTCTGCCGGAAGAGCATGAGGACTTCCGCCTGGTCGAAGGACTGACTCACCTTCAACGCGGCTCCGGTCAGTCTCGTCTCACAGCCAACGTAGCCATCGCCATCAAAGAAGCCGGCCAAGTACTCCAGTCTGGCTTGTGCCGGCCGATGCGACAAATCTCTGCTCTCGGCTCGCAGAGGCAGGCTGTAGGTACGTCCGTTTGCCCAAAAATACTTTAGCATTGGCCATGGAAGCTTCTTCAGCTCCTTTCGGAGGTCCTCGTTCTCTTTTTGGATTTCTTGCAATGTAAGCTCTTTTCGCAAGTCTTTGTTTTCTCTTTGCAGCGTTTCACAAGGATTAGCCTTTAGGGTGCGGTGCATCCCGGCCGCAGCAGTAGCAAGCCCTTCAACACAACATACCAGCATCAGACCCGTGATTAAGGCCTTCCACTTTCCTCTCTTCCTTCTCGCATACTTCGCTCCGCGCATCACTGGCTTGTCGAACATGTTATCTTTTCTCGAGCAGTAGCGGGGGCAGCTTGAGCTCAGACCCACCGGACCGCCGCATCCTTGGCAGAGGCTGCAGAAGTTACACCTCTTGAGCTTCTAGCAAACCTGCAGAGACCGCAAGCCTCCGCCCTACCTACGGGCATCAGCACACTACACAGACCTTTTGCAAGACCTGCATGTCTTGCTGCCCAACGTAAATCTGCAAGCCTCCTGCTGGTGTTCATGTGTGGGGTTTTGCTTGAGGAGGACGTGCCAAAAGCTGCCACAGATGAGCCAGCGCAGGGCTGGCTGCTACAAACCCCTGGCCTTTCCTTCAACTGCCAGTTCGTCCTTTTGGGTACCTAGAATGCCCTAAATCGACTCGTTGTGGCGGCCGGAAGCCTATGTCGGACAAGTCTACTTCGGTGATTTCCGGCTCGAATTCGCCCAAGTTCATGGGGCCCAGGAAAGATGAGAGCCCAAGGAAGTTGAGGTATCGGAAATCGACCTTCAAAATGCAAGAGGCCGGCCTTCTCGCTTCCAGCCAGGTCTACCTTGCTTCGGCGCAAACTCTTAGACGCGATTCAGGCACTGCACATGTTTGCTCCCTTAGAGCATGGAGTTTCCACAAGCTGCTTCCTCGAAACGACAAGCTTGGCTCCACTTCTCTAACATGTCAAGTTCAAGTAACTGCCAAACAAGCTCGGACTTCAGAAGTGAGCATGTCTGCGCTGCACACAATTCGAAGTAGCGTCGTCAGCACGACAACTACGATTGTAAAAGCTGCGCAGTCTGGTGGATGCTCTTCTAATCCTGGCGGGAGCTTCCATGCAAGGTTAGACACCTTACGCCCTTTCTGCGCTAAAGATGAGGTAAGCTGCGAGGTTGATCATCGATACCGTGGCAGACCCGTCCCGGATGGCCTTCACAGGACATGCGATTACGGTTCAAGATTTCGGGCGTTGAGTTTCGTGCTGGAAAGGTTTGGATTTGGTACGTAGGGCTTGGGTAAACGGTTCTGGGCTTTAGGTTTGGATGTGTGTTCTTAAGACTGTGGGATGCATGTCACGGTCCGCGAAGAAGCAACTACAAAACTCCAAAATCAGACTGACACGATGGAACGCGGAATCCGACGACATCCACCACTCCCAATAGTGAACTTTAACATTGCTCGACGACTGACACTGCAGAACGGGATGCCGGAGACTTCCTATCGAACAATGTGAGGTGGGGCTGAAGGGACTCCGAACAATCGAAAAATAACCTTGGGTTTTCAAGCTCCCGGCGATCTAAGCAACCAAGTATGTAAGGGCAGCCATTCCTCAGACTGCCTAAGTTTTTCGCAAAAAATTGCAGCTTCAGCTTTTCCAGGAGCCAACAGCACAGCTCTCGCAGAAACGATAGATATGGCGTGGGCAGTTGTTGTCGCGTGGGCCGTCTCAACCCTGGAAGCCATAAACAAAAAAGCCTAAAGGCTGAAGCCCCAACCGCCGGAGACCCTGAACTTCTCGTAAATCGTAAAGTCGTAAAAACCACCCGGACTCTGAAACCAAGACCCCCTGAGCAAAAAAAACACTCACCAAAACAAGCAGCCAAAAAGCGAAAACAGCAACTCTGAACCCCTAAATCCACTAAAGCCCCCAAAAATCAAAAAATCCCTGAAATCCCTTTTAAATCCCCTTAAACCCCCCCAAATCCCCGAAGCCCTCGAATCCCCAATGGCGCCTTGAACTCGATGATCTGCACCGTATGGGCCCGGCTCGAGGTCGCATTCATCAACGTGGAGCCCACGGTGCCTCGGCGATTTTAAACAGGTTATTAGGGTTTGGGGCTTCGGGGTTTAGGGGTTTAGGGGTTTAGGGCTCAGGGGTTTAGGGCTTAGGGTTTGGGGGTTTAGGTGGGGCCAGGTCGGGTTGGAGTTTGGGGTTAGAGTGCAGGACCCGGAGCTTGCTTAGGGGAACCAGGGCTGCCATGCTTGAGTAACTCCTCTGAACTCTCGACAAACCTCTAACTTCTCGTTGGCTACCACCGTGCAAACCCTCCAATGCTAAGCGCTTCCAGGGTGCGGTGTTCCGTCGCCTCTTCGATGGTCGTCTCGATCGCCTGCAAGTAAGCCCCCCAAGCCCAAAACGTGCACACGTCTTCTCTCTCATTCCCAAGAAATCTTCATGCGCGCTTACTCTAGGGTCTAGACAATTCCCTTTCAGTCCCACGCCTACTTTTCATGCAGCTCCTCTTCAAATCCTCAGGGGTTCCTCGAACTTTCCAGGTGCCCCGACTGCAGATCCTGGAGTACTGCTTGGTCTTCTATGTTGGGGGTTCCCCCCATTCTGGAAACTTTTGGATGCGTGTATGTGTATATGTAGATATGTATGTATATATGTATATATACATATGTATATATACATATGTACATATACATATGTACATATACATATGTATATATACATATGTATATATACATATATAGATAGATAGATAGATAGCTGCACCTGCGGATCCCTGAGAGAGCCTCGTAGCACTCTACAGGTCTCTTGATGACCCCATCGATGTAGATGCCCAGAGCCTCTCATTGAGCGCGCGTCCGTCTCTAGAGATTAAGGTTCAGGGGTTACGAGTTGGAGGACTGGACTTTCCAGCCCAAATCCTCAACATTAGACCGCCACCTCTGTTGCAAAACCCTGACCTCTGCGACCAAAGCGCAACTGAAACGCTTTTGCGTTTACTTGGAGGGTCGAAGGACGTAGAAATACTGGGGGCCAACTGCCCAACTATGAGGTCTTGGCCTCTGGGGTCTTGCGGTTTAGGCTTCCGGAACCCCTCCGGGACGATGCTGAGTCTCAAAGCCGAAACTCCAAATAGTGGGCAAAGAATGCTCAGCTGCATGCCCGAGAGCCTGAACCGGGAACCCAGACACAAAACCCCAGTATTAACAATATACCACGATTGCTACTGCTGCTGCTACTGCTGCTGCTACTGCTGCTGCTACTACTGCTGCCACCGCGAAGCCGACTGCTGCTGATACGACATCGCCGACAACAACGCTGACTACAACGAACACCGAGTCCGAACCTACCTGGCCTGACACTTGGGTGGTTGTGAAAATTATGGTCCCTTTTCGGGTCCTTAGTACAATACGGCACCTAATATTTAGGGTACCCAAAAAGGGTCCACAATTTTGACAGCTACCCACTTATTCCGAAGTCCTCTTGGCAAGCAAAGAGAAGCCCCCTTGCCTTGGACTCTCCTGGGATCAGACATGCATCAGCTAACCAGGATTTTGAGTTGCCCAGTGGCTTTCGGGTACTATAGGAGCCTTAATAGTTAGAATAAGGTTTTGGTGCCCATGATACTCTAAATAGAATACGGAACCCCCAAAATGGTACAGGTAATGACTGAGGCCCCCATCGTGGTTGTGGCTTCCGGTCTTGGGCCTTTTGTTGGCGGTGCTGTGGGCTTTCAGACCCATGTCGTGAACTTCCACCGATTGCCATACAGCGACAAAAGTCTGAGGGCAATTGATCTATGTCTGAACTGCAACATCAACCCGAACCGATGGTGATGATGCGATTGCATCTTGAACTCTCACCCAGGGTCGAGAACTTCTACTGCAGCTTGCTGCACCCGTAGCTTTGCGCAAAGACACGAGAAACTCCGCAGGATTCTCTGATTCCTTCAGACTTCCGGCGCTTTCTGCAACTTAGAAGGGTCAGGCTTGGCGGCCTTTGCCAGACACCGAGTGCTGGCCGCTAGGAGTCAAGATTTTGGCTTGTAAGCCCCTGAAGCCTTGTGAAACCCGGTAAAAACCCACCCAGCATTCTCGCTCAAAACAGACAGATGAACATGAAAACCGCCCTCTACCGGCCCCAAAAACAAAGAAGAACACTGAAGAGCCCGCCTGTCGGCGTGCCAAAGACCTACCCAGAACCGAAGAAACCGACAACCCAAACCCTAAGGGCTGGAAGCACCCTTCTAGTACGTGCCAAAGGAAGCCACCATAAGAACATTTCCTGGAGCCTCATGAGGGTGGTTGTCAATAATAGGGGTAGGGTACCCAAAAAGGGACCATAATTTTGACAACCACCCATAAGAACCCTGGTATAGGACCCGCAGAAGACTCCTCAGATTGAAGCGAAGGCGAGCGGCGCACCTCGAGGCCCTTCTTGGGCCTCAGCGAGGGGTCGATGAGGAGATCCTGGATCGCCTCGGGAGGAGGGCATGGGCCCTACATATAGGGGTTCCCTAAGGCTCCTTTAAGGGAAACACGGTGGTTTTTTTTGTGCTTTGAAGGGTTTGGGACTAGGGGCTTTTTTGGTTTTTGAGGAAGTTCAAGGCTTTGGGGAGGTTATGGGGGTTGAGCTTCAGGGCTTTGTAGGTTTGTGGGCTTTTGGGTTGAGGTTTCAGAGTCGTGGACGGTTGCTACGGGCTTGGCCTAAGACATAGTAGTTAGAACTTGACAGGGACTACAAGTGTACGTTGTTGCTAAACATTCAGACCCCCATTCTACGCATTCAGGGTTCAGGATGCGAGCTTCGCTCATCGGACTTCTTTTGGTTCGACCTAGTGTTGGGTGAAGAGCCTTGTCTACGAAAGCCTCTCGCATCTCGGCTCAAGGACAAGCTCTAAATCCGTCGAGCCAAAGTTGTTCAGCGTTACGGCTATGGCAGGAAGGTTCGGCGTTCCGGGTTTGTGTCGACATTTTAACTAGTCCGTGGTTGGGATAGTATCACGAATCGAAATTTACATTCCCTCTTGGGTTTGAGCACAAGCATGCAAAATGCTACCCAACTGTGACAAAGCTACTTAAAGGATCATGAGACTTAGTATCTAGGGTTATAGTTAGGGTAACTTTTCTTATAACCCCAACTAAGGTATTCATAATCTTACTTACTAAGTCCCATGATCCTCCATTATAGAATCCTTGTAGATCCCTTTAAGGAGCCCTTTATTATAGACCCCCAATAGTATGCTTAAAGGAACTGCTAAGTCCCATGATCCTCCAAGTAAGGGCTCCAAGG